GTGTGGTGCTCATGGGATCTGTTACAACCTTCTAGGAAGCTTTTAAGGTCAGGATTGACATTACAGTTCAGCGTTTTATATATAATATACACGTGAGAGGATGTGCAGTGACTTAATATCTAACATATTCAGAGATTTGAATAAGGGTACCGAGTGATGTCTGGGGCCAAAGTTAGAGATTGTCCTAATAGCAGCTTTGTGTTGGGTAATTAGAGGACGTAAATGATTTTGGGTAGTAGAACCCCAAGCACAAATACCATAGTTGAGATAAGGATAGATGAGAGAGAGTAACAGTGTGTTACCAGGGTTGGGCGCGGTACATAATATCTGATCTTAGAAAGAATGCCAACAGTTTTTGAAACTTTTTGATATATTTAGAATGTGTCCCTGGAAATTCAGCTTGCGGTCAATGAGAACACCAAGGAATTTGCCATCTACTTTGTTACAAATTTGGGTATTGTTAATCCTGAGATTTACTTGATTTGAGGATTTATTGCCAAACACAATATAGAAAGTTTTGTCACTACTGAGGGTGAGTTTGTTGGCAGTGAGCCAGTGATGGACTTTATTTAGCTCAGTATTCACTGTGACATTTAGAGCAAGGGGGTCAGGACTGGAGTAAATGAAGGTCGTATCGTCAGCAAATAGAATTGGTTTGAGATGTTGGGAGGCATTTGGGAGGTCATTAATGTAGATGAGAAAGAGGAGAGGGCTAAGTATGCTGCCCTGGGGAACACCAATGATGATGGGCTCATCATAGCTCACCTATAGTTACGGGCTCACCATAGCCCATGCTACTTGGAACTTGTTCCGAGTAGCTGAATCTATAACAACAAACAACAATTATCTTAGGATGCCCAAGAAATGCTATGATTGAGATAATGAGGATGGAGTTGAATGTGAAGAGTATTGGGGGATAGAGTTTCAGAAATAAAAGTAGCCTCTGTCATTAAATTAATGAGAGGTGGGGAAACTAATGAATTAATCCTCTCAGTTCAAAAGGTGGGAAGTAATGAACCATGTACGATAAAGAAGAGAGCATATATGAGTACCTTATGCTCTAATGTTATAATCTATCTATATCTATATCTATCCTATATCTATCCTGCCAAACTTGTCAAAAATTTTTGAAAAACTAATCTATAAGCAGCTTTACTCATATCTAGCCAAACTCAATATACTTAGCCCTTGCCAATATGGCTTCAGACCCAAAAAAAGCACTAACGATGCACTTATTAGTATGCTTAACTCGATTCATACAGCTCTTGATAAAAATGAGTTCCCTATTGGGTTGTTTGTGGACCTGCGTAAAGCTTTTGATACTGTCAACCACCAAAACCTTCTTCTTAAATTACATCATTATGGAGTCAGAGGACACTCCCTACAATACCTCAAATCCTACCTTACTGACAGGCTCCAATATGTTTCTGTGAATAATACAATTTCTCCCACCCTACCCATCAACATTGGTGTTCCCCAGGGCAGCATACTTGGCCCTCTCCTCTTTCTCATCTACATTAATGACCTTCCAAATGCCTCCCAACACCTCAAACCAATTCTATTTGCTGACGACACAACCTTCATTTACTCCAGTCCTGATCCCCTTGCTCTAAATGCCACAGTAAATACTGAGCTAAATAAAGTCCATCTGTGGCTAACTGCCAACAAACTCACCCTTAACATTGACAAAACCTTCTATATTCTGTTTGGCAATAAATCCTCTAATCAAATAAATCTCAAAATAAACAATACCCAAATTTGTAACAAATTAGATGGCAAATTCCTTGGCATTCTCATTGACCACAAGCTTAATTTCCAGGGACACATTCTAAACATATCAAAAAAAGTTTCAAAAACTGTGGGCATTCTTTCTAAGATCAGATATTATGTACCACGCCCTGCCCTGGTGACTCTCTATTACTCCCTTATCTATCCATATCTCAACTATGGTATTTGTGCTTGGGGCTCTACTACCCAAAATCACTTACGTCCTCTAATTACTCAACACAAAGCTGCTATTAGGACAATATCCAATTCTGGCCCCAGACATCACTCGGTACCCCTACTTAAATCTCTGAATATGTTAGACATTAAGTCACTGCACATTCTCTCATGTGTATTATACATATATAAAACGCTAAACTATAATGCCAATCCTGATCTCAAAAGCTTCATAGAAGGTTGTATCAGAACCCATGAGCATCACACCAGAAATAAATACAGTTTTGATATTCCTAGACTACGACTTAATCAAACTAGAAATGCTCTACAAATCAAGGGGCCCAGAATGTGGAATGACCTTCCCAACCATGTTAAAGACTGTACCTCTCTCAACCAGTTTAAGTTAAAAGCGAAGCTATACCTAATAAATTCCCTGTAACCTACCTTACCCTTCTATTGTCAACCAATGTCTGTTTTTTTCTTTAAAGAGCGCTGTTTGTCGACATAATTGTATTTGTGCTGCTTTTTCATCTATGTTTTCATTTCTTGTTTTCATTCTACTCATTATGCTCAATTAGTATTAAGCTTGTCATTTAAGTTTATCATGCCCGAAACGCTTTGCGTAATAGTGGCTTTAGGCATTGTATGTACTAGCTCTACCTATAAGTCAAACAATCCTTGTAAATATTTATTGTATGTATGTACCTTACCTAAATAAAATTGTATTGTATTGTATTGTATTGTATAAAGTATGATGTTAGTACAGAATGTATTGTTGTGCCTAAGAGACAATTCACACCACCAGGGGAGGATTGTAATGTAGATGTAGTAATTATTCCATTGCAAAAGAAAAAAAGTATGTATGAGATAGGAGAGCTGAGGGCAACATGATTGTATAATTAGAAAATTACTTACAGAAAACACTCTACATGTATATTGTGATGGGTCAGTAGCTAGGGACGGGAAGGCAGGATGTGGAGTCTTGATCAGGGAGTACACTGACATCGGCACTGTAGATACTGTTATTGGACGCCGCTTAACTGACAATGTCTCTTCAACGCAGGCTGAACTCCAAGGAGTATTAGCAGGATTACAGGAAGTAGTCAAATGTGGTAAAAATGCTTGCTTCTTTATTGACAGCAGAGGAGCGTTAGAGTCTTTAAATAGCAGACGCCCAGTATACCAGAATATTGTGATAGAGTGTAGAGAGAATGTTAAGAAATAGAAAAAACTGGGTATAAAGTAAGATTCATGTGGATCCCTTCACATGTGGGAATACTGTTGAATGAGGTAGTTGATGAGATAGCGAAGAGAGCAACGGAAAAAACTCTTGTTGATGTTGTATGTCAGATAACCTTGAAACAAATAAAAACAAGAATCAAAATGATCCAAGAGGGAGAAGAAATGATAAAGAGAATGGCAATGTGGACAGTAGTAACACAATTAAGAATTATTCAATAATAAATACAAATTCGTCCTTCACCTATGGTAGAGGAAAGTCTTCTTGGAAGGATTCAATTTACAGGAGATTAAGATTAGGATACAAATATATCTGGCACTACGGTATTGATGTCAGTGAAAAAAATAAGGAATGTAAATTATGTAGTATGCCGCAAGCCCAATTCTTGGAACATCATGTATTAGTGTCAACTTATTGATATCTGTAGAAATAAGTAGTGTACCACATCAAATTGTTTGGTTGTGTGATAAGGGCATGATAGACAGAATACTTAGGAGCTACAAAAATTTTGCCCCAATGAGTGTAACACTTATATGCTGTGCTTACACTGCACTACACTACACTACACACAGAAATCACAATTGAGTGATGCATCAAATGAACAAATCCACAAGGGCCGCCCTGTTTCCTGTGCTTACTATATTAACCTGTAATGTTAAATGGGATTCTTGTATTGTGATTTGTGGATTTGTACTCACTGTATTTGTGCGCCCCTTGAGGCACTTGAAGTAGAGTGGGGTAGAAATAGCCATTTTCAATGCATTTCCTTGCACTGGTTCCTCAGAACCAATGCAAGGAAATGCAAGAGATTATGTTTCTTATAGTATTTCCAAATTATTTGTTATGGTGGCATCCTTACCAAGTTCAGTTATTGCATAATATTTTCCTGTTAACAACTGCCATGCATGGCACTACAGCTTCCCATAGCTTGCAGCCCCACCATATCCAACTCCAGCCCTACTCAGTTATCCAATTTCTTCCAAATAAAGGTCAAAACTTAGTTAAAATCTAGGCTGTCTTATGGCATTAAATATAAATATTTACAAATAAAAAAAAATGTTTTGGGCCCTTAATTCTGATAAGTTGCTTTGTATACATGTACCATACTGTGTGCATATAATTATTTTTATTTATTCATTTGGATACATGCAATGTTCAAATTTATGATTAGTACATAACTTGACAAAAACGTTAAAAAGTATCATTTAAAAAGGTAATTACATCATATTACCTGAATTTTTAGGAATAATTTGAAAAATAATATTTAAAACTAAATTACTATAGTAGTATACTGCAAAAGAAACGATGAACAGTAGGTCAGTGACACAGCAGCTTCAAAGACAAACTGACCTTTTGTTACACTGGCATTTCCTGGTCTTGCAAATGTGTCAATTGCTTCACTACAAGATTGATGAGTGGTTTATGTTGTCACTAAAGTAAGTGCATCAACTGCTTGCCAAATTCTTTAACAAGCTCCATGACATACATTACAACAATCCTCTACTGTTAACTATTTCTTTATATTCAGCAAAGGCAACATTTACTAATATGTTCATCACACTTTAATACAATATAGAGATGTCCTTGCTACACACATAAGAAAGGGTCAGGTTTATTTTGGGAAAAATTATAAATTTACTTAAAAGCATTTATATGTTGCTGTATTGTATTCTAAATTGCCATTTCACAGGATGGATTCAAATAAAATAGTAATTCTTAAGTTTTCTGTAATGTTTTCTTGGATTACTACATTAGTGAGAAAGAAGTGTAATGTTTTATATTATTGGATTAAGGAGAACAAGAAATCAAAGGCTTAGTGTTTCGTTTTTAATACATACTGTACTTCTTTACTAAATAGAAAATATACATATAAACAAAATTTTCTAAATTACATAAAGATCTAAATATAATATGCATGATGTAACTCATGAGTTAAATGAAAAGTTGTAAATTAATAATCATGTACATACATACATACAATACACAATCTCATACAGGCTATTCACAATCTATCTCATACAGGCTATTCACAATCTTCAAACCATTATATCAGGTCCAAACATACTGCAAAATGAACACACTTAATATACTGTTGACTTTATTGAAGGTTTGTATAACTTCATTTGAACTACTACATCAGATAACACAGCTGAACTTCATGACCACCCATTCACCGGATGTCTATTGTGTGCTAGTAGCTCCTCCAGAAGGCGCAACAACTGTAATGCAGTCAACGTCTCGGTCCCATAGTTATATATTTTACGGTGTACAATATCTCCATAATCCTAAGTATGAGCTATTCAAGAGAGTTTAGCATCAACAGCTGCTTAAGCACTTTGGTCTGACTTGTTTCACGGATTTCACCAGCCAGAAACATCTCGTCTACTACACTGTAAGCCTGTAGGAGAAAATGAAAATACAGTAACTGTAACCATTGCATCTACCACCAATATTCATATCAGTTTTGCCATCTTTCATTATGTAGATGAGAAATAGAAAATTCAGTCACAATTAGCATAAAACATGGAACGAATTTTAGTCTAATCATTCAAATACAGTTTAACAGGCAGCCATCGTGAGTGTACTTGTTGAAGAGAAGTGTACTTGTACTAGAAGAGAAGTGATGTGTATTGCAAATTGATGGAGATGTGTAGTTCTTTTGAGGGCAGAGGTTGCTCTGTTAAGAAAGATCATTTTCCTTTGCCAGCAAGTAGCACCAGAGATGGATAACATTAGCCTGATCCTGAAGGATGTAGGAGAGTGGAAAATACAAAAATAAAAGCCTGATGTTTACAGTGAAGAAATCTTTCATTCCTACTGTTAGTATTTCAAATGTCTACACATTGTTGGAAGATGAGTCTTGCAGGGAGGTGACAGCCCAGTCTCCAGGTGGGGCAACATAAGGAAATAAAGCAAATGTTGGTTGTAGGAGATTCCTAGGCGAGGCATCTGAACAGGACTTTTTGAGCTAGATAAGGAAAACTGGTTAAGGGTATGCTATCTGGGATTGAGAACTGTGAATATTGTTAATAATACGAGTGATATTATGGCTGGTAATGAGAACAAATCTGTTCTTTGTATTAGTGCTGGAGAAACTGAAGTAGGAAGAGTTAAGAAAGAAGCAGTAATACAATGTTTAAACCAGCCATTGAATTACTTTCTTGTTTCTTGTGGTTTCTTTCAAGAAGAGTTAATTGAAAAAATGGCAGGTTAGGGAGTCAATTTGGAGTCAATTCCCAACTCGGACAAATTTTGCCAATCAAATGCAATATTCATTGATAATTGGAAACAATTCTAAGGAAAGTATGATATGTATGCCCAGGATGGGGTTCATTTATCTATTACCTTGTAAATTTATTGGAATCTGTGGTTGGAGGTCTGGTTTAAAACTTTTATATGATAAGAGGTATGGGAATGGATATGGAAAAACAAGGCAATAAAACCACTTGTTGGCAGGGAAACAGTTAAGGCAAAATGAACAGGGGCAAAAATGGGCTTCAAAATAACACCCTTAAGGTGTACTACACAAATAGCAGGAGTCTTGGAAACAAAATACACGATTTAAGTGCTACAGGTTATTATATGACATGATTGCAGCATTCGTGTGTTCTTTCCGAGGTCTTTCAGGAATGTATTAAGAACCTTCCTGTGCTTTTTATCTTTTAATGGTCCAGGGGTGGTTCAAAAAAATTCCTGCTGTATCAAAGATGATGAAAGTTGCATCAACCCCATCCAGGGTCTGCCAACTCATGGGGGAAGCTGGACTATTGCCAAAAGGGAGCAAATAAGTACTGTAGTTTCAGTTAAACTATTCTTTCCATTATGCTTGCTAATAAAAGCCTAAAAATGTATAAAAATACCTAAACAAAGATTATAATCCTCTAGAAATTACCATGCTGAGTCAGTCTACATTTTGCTTATTGTTTTCATAATTTAGATCCTCTTCTGGATTTGGATGATTTGGTATGTTAGCACAATCATTCAGCTATTTCGAGGCACCTTAATTCAGGAAAAAAAGTCAAGAGGTTGTGCTGCATACATATATATTTATACACATACTGTATATATATATTATATGCACACACACACACACACATTATATATATATATATATATATATATATATATATATATATATATATATATATATATATATATATATATATATATATATATATATATATATATATATATATATATATATATATGCAGTATTATTGAGTGTGACCAAAAGAGTGAGGTAAATAATTCTAGCATGAGTCTTCTCCATTTTCCTTACATTGTCTTCAAATAGAGAAAAGACACTTGAATCATTTATCTCACTCACCCTTAAGGTCACATTCAATTATATATGCCTACAGGAAACACTGCTACCAAAATACACCAAAATAAATATATACATTATACAGTGTGTGTGTGTGTGTGTGTGTGTGTGTGTGTATGTATATAATATATTATATATATATATATATATATATATATATATATATATATATATATATATATATATATATATATATATATATATATATATATATATATATATATATTTATATAGTGTATAAAAAACAGCCCACTACACACTGTAAACAAAGTTATGGGAGGTTAACAAGAACAATTTTTATATGTGGTCTCAGCCTGTAGACTACTTGGTGGGCAACAATCCTGAGTACAGTATGGAAGGTGGCTTTGGTCAGGGTAGCCAAAGATTTGTTGTGGTGCTGCTGCTGCTGCCTGGTGATAGCTGGAGGTGGTGGTAAAGCAGGCAAATTGGTAATTGCTGAAAACCCCTCTCTTGAGTCACTAGTGTTCACACGTGAAGAGATAGAAGGACTTTCAATTTTATGAATTTAACCATTGGTCATTTTGAACTAAAGTGATTTGAACTTGCACTTATTAAGTCCCTGCAGTGAACACTTGAAAATTCCATGTGGAGCAAGTGGCAGTATATCTAGAGTATACCTAGAGTGGTTTCTGAGTTGTTATACTTCCCAAGCCCAGTCTAAGCTTTCTTGTTATAGTTTGGTATATTTCATTTTTCCTAACTGAACAGAATTCTAAGGATTATGGGGATCTTACTTTATGTAAAAATTTTGATTCTTAAAGAATGAAGGGACTGAGTGAAGAGGTTTTTGGAGAACAGACCCAAGGAACTATAGAAATTCAAGGCAGAGGAGGCCTGAAGATACAATGGTAATAAAGGAATAGCAAACAGATTCCTCACAATAATTCACACAATTATACATAGAAAAAGTTCAAAGGTCATTCAAACTATATTTTACAGTACTGTACATATTGCTTGTATTATCTTGTTAATAAAAATGTTTGCCCTGGATCACCCAATATTTTTACCATATGACCTTTTAATACATTCAATAGCACAAAGTACAATACTGTACTGTATAGTATTTGGGTATGCATCCCAGCATAAAACTGGGAGTGTTCCATTGTAACATAGGTCAAACATAGCAGCTCATTAGAACAGTAATAAATAAAAAAACTAACATTTGAATATCACAAAATTATGACACCCACCTTATAGAAGTTGAATACCAAGTCAAGTTCGCAGACATTGTGGAAGTACTCATTGAGTACCTCAACAAAGTTGTGTATGGCTTCAAGATATGCAAGATTGTTGTCAGCAATGTCTACACAGATGCAAAAATACAAGCCTGCATAACGTCGGTATACAATCTTGAAGTTTCGAAACTGTTTGAAAAATAAATATTTATTGGCAGAAGTTTATGGAAAGTAAGAGACAATATTTTTATCACTTGCATCATAAAAAATAAGGCTTTGAATGAATGTAAAGTTCTGTTTTAGGCATTGCATACTGTTGCTTGCTGCTCCCAAATGCAGGGTCATTTTTTGTTCTCACTGCAAAGAATCACCAATTATCAGGGCAAGCCAACATTCTGCACTGGCATAGCAGGGATCTTTCCAAAGATCCCTGCTGGGTCATACTGGTGGTTGGAAGGGGTTGCAGAAAGACTCAAACCAGTCCAGGGGTCAGATTCACGAAGCAGTTATGCAAGTGCTTACGAACCTATACACCTTTACTCAATCTTTAGCGGCTCTGTTTACAATTATTAAACAGTTAAAGAGCTCTGAAACACCAGGAGGCTGTATATAACAATAACGACAGTTGATTATAAGCATGAAAATGCCCCAGAAGCACCAGGAGGCTGTATATAACAATAACGACAGTTGATTATAAGCATGAAAATGCCCCAAACTGTTTAATAAATGTAACCAAAGCCGTCAAAGATTGAGAAAAGATGTACACATTCGTAAAAACTTGCGTAACCGTTTCGTGAATCTGGCCCCCAGACCTCTAAAAATTAAATTCACAATCACTTGAAAGCACTACTGAAAAAAAGAAATCACTTCAAGCACTACTTGGAGAAAGGAAAAGCTGAGTAACATTCTTATTAATCAATATGAAACTTTTGTTTTTTAACAAATTATTGTTATTGTCGAGCCTGGCCTCAGGCCGGGCTCAGGGAATAGAAGAACTCCCGAAACCCTCCCCAGACATGATCCAGGCACACTATTCATTTACATACAAAAGTAAGATACAGTAAAAAAATTTGTGTGTATGTATTTACTACAGTATTTACTATTTGTGTCTGCAGAATCAAGCTATTAGCGCTTGGATCCCGCCTTTCTAACCACTATTTTTCCCTTTATTATACAGTATCTACTACATATATTTCTCTCTAACACATGCACACACACTTCTGTCTAATCTTCCAGATACCCATTTACTACTAGGTGAACAGAAGCATCCGGATGAAAGAAATTCTCCCCCTTTGTTTTCGCCTCAGCCGGGAATCGAACCCGGGCCCTTAGGACTACAACCACCAAGCGCTGTCCACTCAGCCGCGAGGCGCCGTGTGTGTACTTGTGCCTGCAGGATCGAGCATTGACTCTTGGATCCTGTCTTTCTAGCCATCAGTTGTTTATAGCAATGACTCCTGTCCAATTTCCCTATCATATCTAGTTTTAAAAGTATGAAGAGAGTTTGCTTCCACAACCTGCTCCTTCAGTTAAAGTAATTATCAAAAGAAGGCCCCAAGCCGGGGAGGCTATGTAGCACCGTCAAATGTGCAGGATATTCAAAAGGCACTAAACATCACTAAGGATGCTAATACGAGAACAAAAGCGTACAAGGCGAACAACATCAAAGGTATCCAATTCACCAAAAATTACATCGAGGGACAAGTGACTGCGAGAGACAGTCGGGAAGCAAGACATGCACACATCCTGGAAGTCAGGACATTCAACTAGGATATGCACGACCATAAGACGGACAATACAGTTTGGACAATAAGGAGCAGGGTGGTGCTCCATTAAGTGCCAACGAGTTAAATGGGTATGGTCAATACGTAACCTCACCAAGCCATTTCCCACCGCTGGTTATGGTGATAGGAGGAAGGCCATGGGAAGCAACTACCAAAACCCTCTAGAGGAAGAGCCATCATAGGTACCCTCCCCAAAATCTGTATAAGCACTTGTGGTTTTTGTGTTGCTTTGGATGGTCTTGGTTGTAGGGTGGACATAAAGCCATTGCATGGTTATTAACTTTAATGATACCTGTACTGATCCATGATGAGCAGTGTACCAAGTGTGGCAGGCCTCCTGTACACTCTTTCTGTTTACACACAGCTAGCATATGAAATGTAGCAGCATTCAAATGGATGGTGCCATTTGCTATGAACATAACACTTATAGATTAACAAATACTGTGTAGTGTTTATATATAAATTCAAGAAAATTTAATTCAGAAAATTGGTGTGCATTATAACTTAGCTAACACGAATTCAAATACATTATTATACAAGTATTAACAATGGTAATATAATAACTTAGCTCAAATTAATATTTGAGCACTGTATACACATATACACTATATATTTTGTTTTTGCAAAGTACTGTGGAACCTCGGTTGACGACTGCCCTAAAGTACGAATTTTTGGTAAGACGACGTCAAATTCATCGTAAAATTTTAATTGGTACACAACGGTTTACTTGGGAGATAACATCTGTTCGTAAACATATGGGGTCAACCGAGCGCATGGTGCTGGGGGCGAAGGGTGAGGCACTCAATTTTGTTTACACATTTACTGCTCGTAGTGACAACCGCGCTTGAATTCTTTTTGAAGAATTTCATTGTTTGCATGCTTTTTTTGCTTTTTTAACAAAAAAGTTATTATATATCACGACATGGGTCTCAAGAAAGTCAGTGCAAAAGTTCAACCAAAGAAAATAGTCGAGAAAGTAAAAATAAGAGATCATTCCTAGTGAATGAATGTGATGTCTCACTACAGAAGTGTTAAAACAGAGAAAAACAAATGTCTTTAGACAAATTCTTAGTAAAACAAGCAAGCAGTGAGCTGCAAGCAGTGAGCCACAACCAGGTCCTAGTGGTATGCCTGCAGAAAGAGAGTACCCCAGAAATGTCATCACTGCTGTTATAATAAGAAGGGGACTCCCCTTCCAAACACTAACAACCTCTCTTCCTCCCCCTCCCCAACCACTTGAGCTGGACGGTAGAACGACAGTCTTGCGTCATGCAGGTCGGCGTTCAATCCCCCGACCCTCCAAGTGGATTAATTGAATTTACATTATTTCTTATGGGAAAATTAGTTTTGGTTGACGACGCGTCTCTGGGAACCGATTACAATCGTAAACAAAGGTTCCACTGTACATGTATTGTACTGAATAAAGTACTGTATTCATAAAATCATCTGCATTATTACAGTAACTTTGAACCCTTAATATGTAGGTCATAAGTAATAAATTACTCCCTAGAGACTATGTTATACTGTACTGCAATAATCTTTAATAGCACTGATTATATTAGTACTTGTTTTCAGAAATGCATCCCCTGCAGTAGCAGAGAATGCCTATACTGTAGAGTATTTAAGTTATAAGGATCCCACAGCATAATCTTTGACATACTGTACAAGTTTGTGACTTACCTCTACAAAGTTTGTGTGCTTGGCATCTCTTACTGTCACTACTGCATGCACTTCTTCAATTAACTTCTGTTTCTCATCATCATCAAAGTTCATGTACCATTTAGCCAGGCGAGTTTTGCCAGCACGGTTTTGAATTAATATGAAGCGAATCTAAAAATAAAAGATTCATGCTCAATTAGATTACAATTTCACCCAAGATATATTCTATATGAATTACTGTAGTCCATTTGCAAACAAAAAAAATCACATAACAGGAGGGGTGGAGCAACACAAGTTATGGGAATGAGCGGGACAACACATTAGTCCCTCTAGACTAGCCCACTAAGACCAGCTCAGTCTGCCACAATATCAGCAGCCTTTCACATCATTTGAACACAAACTCCATATAAACACCATAGTAACCCTACGGTGATTATTGCACAATACCCAAAATAATCCACACCTCCAAGTAATAGATGCATCTAAACAACGGATATAATCAACCCCCCCCCCCCCCTCCATTAGTTTCTACTCTTCCTACTATCCGGATCACCTGTCTTCTCCTGATCTTTAGCTTTGCATTTTTGTATTGGTCTGCATTTCTCAATTCCTTTAGTTTGCTTCTTAGCACCCAGTCTCTTTTTGCCGTCTCCGTGGTGCAGTGGTAAGACACTCGCCTGGCGTTCCGCAAGCACTTTGTCATGGGTTCGTATCCTGGCTAGGGAGGATTTACTGGGCGCAAATCCTTAACTGTAGCCTCTGTTGAACTCAACAGTAAAATGAGTACTTGGTTGTAAAAACAATTCTTCACGGTGGGGATCGTATTCCAGGGACCTGCCCGAAATGCTACACGTACTACTGGCTGTACAAGAATGTAACAACACTTGTACTGTATATATATATTAAAAAAAAAAAAAAAAAAAAAAAAAAAAAAAAAAAAAAAAAGTGAAAGATCTGGAGATACTGTATACTTTATTATACCTTTCTAGATCCCCAAGTCTGCAGGCCCTACTTAGTATCAGCCTTTAGTGCTCAAAATTTGCAATGGTTATTCATACCATATTTGCTTCAGGCCTACCCTTTCAATCTTTGATCAATTTAATTCATCCACCCTGCCTAACAGTTCTACAATCATTTCCTCAACGATATATATCGTTGTTCCTCAATCATATATATATATGTATTATATTAGGCCTCAGATTGCATGTATTAGGCCTAAGAAGGTTAGGTAAGGTTAGTTTATCTTTGCAATATAAAACTTCCAGTTTGTCTAAATTCAATAGTACCAATTTCTACTTTCTAATTGTGTTGTACCTTGGTATATGTACTATGATCCTCATCGTTACTACAAGTACTGTACTACAGTACCAAAACAAGAGGATGGGCTGGTCATACAGTATACAAGGTTCTTAATGATTCCTTACACAAATTTCTAAAATGCGGTTCTGATGTTACCCAGCCTCGCATTGTTGCTTCTTTGCTTGCATTCCAGATTTTGGAGCTGTAGCTCTTGGACAAGTTTCCATTATGCCAAAGGGTGCATAAAGGCATTTACTATAGTTGTTTTGTGGTATACCCCCCTTTAACCCTCTTCTGCATGTGTATCAAGGTTGGGGTGGTACATTTATTCAGAGTGGGGATGCTTTATAACTCCTCCTATATTTTGTAAATTGTCTTGTCGCGACTCCACTTCAGGTTTTATTCACTGTGTCTGTTGAGGGTACTAATGTTCCGAACCATAATGAAATCTGATCGTTCTTCTGCCAAAGATTTTTGGTTTAATAAATTATCAAGATGTTTTCAACAATATTCTTGGAGCATTCGCAGATTTTAACTTGGGCGACCATTGTGCAAACGCAACACGTGGGTTGACCCAATTGACAATCTGGTCAGATTATAACAAGGGTTCGACCACTAACATTTCAGTCCTGAACAGGTACCCCTCCTTTCTGCCTCTTACAAGCACAGCACAACTTGCCATTATTAATTATAAATAAACCAAATTGTATTTTTGTTTTTTCTGCCATGTTTCCCCCCCACCTTTTTTTCATTTTTTTTCTTATTTTTTCTCAACACAATTTATACTTTAATCTCAATTAGTATTAAGTTTTAGTCTTAGTGTTTTTCCTGCCCGAAACACTTTGCTTAATAGTGGCTTTAGGCATTGTATGTACTAGCTCTATCTATAAATCCATCAACTTTTGTATCTTACCTTGTATGTATGTACTTTACCTGAATAAATATTTGTATTGTATTTGTTTTTGTATTACTGCTGCAAGCAGTAACTAAATTTTTAGTTATTTAGCAAGCATGTTAACTAAATTTAATTCGCTCACAGATATTAGGTTTGCTCATTATCTATGCTCATGCATTAGCTAGTAAAAGCTACTAGACAAGACTAATAGCCTAGTACTGTAAGACTGTCTAGTACGTAGATCTTGCTTCAGTACTGAATCCTAGTCTTATGGAGATATAGACTAGGATCGAGGTTCCTCTAAAACTTCCTGTTGGCAGTATCACAGGTCCCTGGCAGGTCCCTCGTTAACTAGAAATATGTTTTCAGTGTACACTACCATACTCTAATTGCACTACACTACCATACAGTGCTCTACTCCCATACATTGTTCTCCCATTACCATGCATTGTTCCCATTACACCACCACCACACTGCTTCCACTACACTAATGTACACTGCTCCCACTACACCAAACTCAACCTCCACGAGCACAATTAGGTGCGTACCGCTGCACTCTTCTCCCACTACACTACCTGCTACACTGCTCCCACTACCTGCTCCCACTACACTACCTCCTACACTGCTCCCACTACACTACCTCCTACACTGCTCCCACTACCTGCTCCCACTACACTGCTCCCACTACACTACCTGCTACACTGCTCCCACTACACTACCTCCTACACTGCTCCCACTACACTACCTCCTACACTGCTCCCACTACACTACCTCCTACACTGCTCCCACTACACTACCTCCTACACTGCTCCCACTACACTACCTGCTACACTGCTCCCACTACACTACCTCCTACACTGCTCCCACTACACTACCTGCTACACTGCTCCCACTACACTACCTCCTACACTAGACGGGGCCAGTGGGTGTAGTAGTGGTGGAGGGACTGACCATGGTGGAGGTGGTGCAGGAGACGACAGTGGTGGCCGCTGACGCCCTGCTCTGCCCCTCCCCCTTCCCTCCCATCCCTTCCCACATCCCATCCCACACCCCCTTCCTACTTAACCTACATTGATATATTTTCGAAGCCTCGTGAATATTGCACTAGATTCACACACTATGTAATTATTAAAGGTGGTTAAACAGCTAAAATTGTTTAATATTCATGAAAGAGATGACGTTCATTATTGGTTAAAGTTGTAACATAAACTGATTCTTTCCGCATCATAAACTAATAAGATGGCAAATACTCAGGTGCAGCAATTAACACTAAAACGCGGCTCATATGTAAGTATTTTATTATAGGGTGTGATGCGAAGGAATCGTGTTTAGTCAGTCGTGAATGCTGGCCCGGCCACCTTACAGTATACACGTACTAAAGAGTATTTTTTGTTTTATTACTCCGAACGTTTGACCATTGAAAATTCCAAATTTAAGAAATTAATTTCGTCCTCAGTGAGGTTGATTCTGGTAAGACTAAGAACGCCAACTCTAAGTCAAGGAACCGCAATGAGACCTTAAACAAAAAAAAATCTTCAGATTTTTGGTGGTCTTTAAAAAAAGGTATAGGAGTTTTGATCCACTATTCACTTAAATATACACAAAGTACACAGACTCTTTTTAAAGGACTACTATCTACTATCGCCATGACTACCAAATTAATAGCATTACATTACCGTAGACTGATGAAGAAAAGAACCTAGCACGTTCAAGTATGTTTATTGACACAAGAAAAAAATATATATCAAAGGGATAGAGTAGCTTAGGTTATTTCTACCCCACTCTACTTCAAGTCCCTCCAGGGGCGCACAAATACAGTGAGTACAAATACACAAATCACAATACAAGAATCCCATTTAACATTGCAGGTTAATATAGTAAGCACAGGAAACAGGGCGGCCCTTGTGGATTTGTTCATTTGATGCATTACGTATGCAATTGTGATTTCTGTGTGTAGTGTAGTGTAGTGTAGTGTAGTGTAATACAAATTCGTCCTTCACGTATGGCAGAGGAAAGTCTACTTGGAAGGATTCAATTTACATGAGATTACGATTAGGATATAAATATATCTGGCAATACGGTGTTGATGTCAGTGAAAAACTTAAGGAGTGTAAATTATGTTGTATGCCGTCCGCCCACACCTTAGAACATTATGTATTAGAGTGTCACCTTATTGAAAAATATAGAAATAAGGAAATAAATAGTGTACCACATCAAATTGTTTGGATGTGTGATAATGGTATAATAGACAGTATACTTAGGAGCTACAAGAATTTTGCCCCAAGAATGTAACAATTATATGCTGTACTTGCTGTATGCAATGTTAAATGGGATTTTTGTACTGTTATATGTCTATTTGTACTCACTGAATTTGTGCGCCCCTTGAGGGACTTGAAGTAGAGGGGGGTAGAAATAGCCTAAGCTACTCTATCCCTTTGAGATGTATTTATTGCTTATCTCAATAAACATACTTGAACTTGAACTTGAAGTGTAGTGTAAGCACAGCATATAAGTGTTACACTCATTGGGGCAAAATTTTTGTAGCTCCTAAGTATTCTGTCTATCATGCCCTTATCACACAACCAAACAATTTGATGTGGTACACTACTTATTTCCTTATTTCTATAGTTATCAATAAGTTGACACTAATACATAATGTTCTAAGAATTGGGCTTGCGGCATACTACATAATTTACACTCCTTATCTTTTTCACTGACATCAATACCGTAGTGCCAGATATATTTGTATCCTAATCTTAATCTCATGTAAATTGAATCCTTCCAAGTAGACTTTCCTCTGCCATACGTGAAGGACGAATTTGTATTTATTATTGAATAACTCTTAAGTGTGTTACTACTGTCCACCATTCAGAAGTACACTTACATCGCATCAGGCTTGGATACCCATGTGCATGGGAAATAGGCTTACAGGTTCCCCAAGATGAGAGGAAATGTCAGCACTGTGGAGAAATGCCCGACAGACCACTGGAACATTATCTAACACAGTGCACAGTTACAAACCGGAAATTATCCGGATTTCAGCTTAGATTCAACAGAACAGAAGAAGTTGTTAAACACATGGGGCAAAATCTTACTGAAGCGACCATACGAGTCATAAATACTCATACTCCGCCCAAGTAAAACAGAAACAAGCAACACTTAGTGAGCCAGCCAGAGGCTTAGGGCCCGCGCAGGAATATCCCTGCAAAAAAAAAAAAATGTCATTCTCTTTACCATTTCTTCACCCTCTTGGATCATCTTGGTTCTTGATTTTATTTGTTTCAAGGTTATCTGACATACAACATCATGGAGACCTAGGATATCTGCTCTGGAGAAGGTGCAACACCGAGCAACAAAAGTCATTCCAAAGTTAAATCACCTCCCGTATCAGGAACGCTTGAAGGCCACAGGGCTATCAACATTGCAAACAGCTATCTCATTGAAACTTAAAATACTGAACAAGTTAGAGGGTGTTGATCCGGATACTTTCTTCAGAAGGTCAGATGTAACACAAACAAGGAGCAACGGTTTCAAGCTGAACAATCCACAATGTAGGACTGAGAACTGGAGATGCTTTTTCGCCCATAGGGTTATTAACCCATAGAACCGCCTACCCGCCGAAGCCGTAACTGCCAAAAACTGTGTTTTTTAAAATATACCTGGAAAAGATCATCAAGGCAAATGACGGGACATTCAATAAGCCGCTAGTTTCCTGTCCTCATCGAGGCCACTAAGGTTAGTGGCCCTCAGGTAAATCATTTCTACATTGTGGCTTGTTGAGCTTGAAACCATTGCTCCTCGTTTGTTACATTTGACCTTTCGAAGAAATTGTCCAGATCAACATCCTCCAAATTGTTCAGTTTATTCTTGTATGATGCGAAGTCGTATGATTTTGTATGATGTATGCGAAGTCGGATTGCGAAAGGGATCTGGGAGTTATGATTAGTAAGAAATTAAAACCAAAGAATCAATGCATGAATGTTCGTAATAAGGCAAATAGGACATTGGGATTTATTAATCGGAGTATTAGTAACAAGACACCAGTTGGTGTTGTTCTTCAGCTATATTTTGCTCTGGTTAGGCCCCATTTAGATTATGCAGTTCAGTTTTGGTCGCCGTACTTAGAATGGATATAAATTCACTTGAACGTGTCCAGCGTAGGATGACAAAGTTAATTCCCCAAATTAGAAACCTTTCATATGAAGAAAGATTAACAAAGCTTAAATTGCATTCACTGGAAAGCCGAAGAGTTACTGATGACATGACAGAGGTTTATAAGTGGATGAATGGATATAACAAAGGGGATATTAATAGGATATTAAAAGTATCAACACAAGACAGAACACGAAACAATTAGTTTAGATTTTTGGGTACTGGTTCGGTAACAGGTTCAAGTTCAACCCACATAATGAGGATGGGTTGAACCTGACCAGTGCGAGTCTTACTATGCGCGCCTCTCTCTAGTGTGTATATGCTCTAAGCTCTCATTTTTCCCCCCCACCGGAAATCAAAAGGCATTACGGGCTCACCATAGCCCGTGCTACTTGGAACTTATTGTTCCAGGTAGCGAATCTTTAACAACAACAACCACCGGAATTCCTATGAAGAAATTTCACACCTAGTCAACTTATCCCACATATCATTAACATAAAATACAAATATTGCCTAATTAAATATTCAAAAAGGCTATATATTAGTGATCTATGTTCAATTTTGTACTCCACTAAAGCCACTTTGCCACTTTGCGTAATAGTGGCTTTAGGCATTGTATGTACTAGCTCTACCTATAAGTTAAACAATCCTTGTAAATATTTATTGTATGTATGTACCTTACCTAAATAAAATTGTATTGTATTGTATTGTATTGTATTGTATAATTTAGCATTTTACGGGTGCAGGTATAAATAAAAAAAAATTATGTATTATTATTGTATATTACTAATAAATTTAACAGAATGAATAAAACTAAATACGAGGATTATTTTATAGCATACAATAAACTCAAATACATTAATATGTGTGTGACCCTCGCCAGGACATACCTTGGAGGGAGGTGTTATTGATCCTTAATGGCCCCTATGCTCGCTTCATTCACACAGTACCTCAATGTGAATCCTATATATAGCAACGAATGGTTGTGAAATATACATTTTAATATCTTAACACATTTTATTGTATCGTTAAGAGGGCTTGTGGTATTGAATATTTTTGATAAAGAGTTCAGAGAAAAGAACCATAAGCTCAGTATTCGATGTTGTTTGTGGTAGACAGTTGTGGCGGCAAGTGTTCCCTTGATTGTGTGGGTTGTGCCAAGTGTTAAGCAGTGTGAGTGTTTCCAGGTGAGGGCCTCACAGGCAGTCGACAACACAGCTACCACGGCAGACAAAGACAGGTCCAGGTCGCAACACCTCGCCCGCCGCCACCTTGTCCAGTGTTGCCTGGTGTCTAGCACAGAAAAATGTAGCCTAGCACAGGGGGGTGTTGCGTGGTACCTAGCACAAGGGGTGTTGCGTGGTGCCTAGCACAGGGAGTGTTGCGTGGTGCCTAGTACAGGGGGTGTTGCGTGGTGCCTAGTACAGGGGGTGTTGCGTGGTGCCTAGCACAGGGGGTGTTGCGTGGTGCCTAGCACAGGGAGTGTTGCGTGGTGCCTAGTACAGGGGGTGTTGCGTGGTGCCTAGTACAGGGGGTGTTGCGTGGTGCCTAGCACAGGGGGTGTTGCGTGGTGCCTAGCACAGGGGGTGTTGCGTGGTGCCTAGCACAGGGGGTGTTGCGTGGTGCCTAGCACAGGGGGTGTTGCGTGGTGCCTAGCACAGGGGGTGTTGCGTGGTGCCTAGCACAGGGGGTGTTGCGTGGTGCCTAGCACAGGGGGTGTTGCGTGGTGCCTAGCACAGGGGGTGTTGCGTGGTGCCTAGCACAGGGGGTGTTGCGTGGTGCCTAGCACAGGGGGTGTTGCGTGGTGCCTAGCACAGGGGGTGTTGCGTGGTGCCTAGCACAGGGGGTGTTGCGTGGTGCCTAGCACAGGGGGTGTTGCGTGGTGCCTAGCACAGGGGGTGTTGCGTGGTGCCTAGCACAGGGGGTGTTGCGTGGTGCCTAGCACAGGGGGTGTTGCGTGGTGCCTAGCACAGGGGGTGTTGCGTGGTGCCTAGCACAGGGGGTGTTGCGTGGTGCCTAGCACAGGGGGTGTTGCGTGGTGCCTAGCACAGGGGGTGTTGCGTGGTGCCTAGCACAGGGGGTGTTGCGTGGTGCCTAGCACAGGGGGTGTTGCGTGGTGCCTAGCACAGGGGGTGTTGCGTGGTGCCTAGCACAGGGGGTGTTGCGTGGTGCCTAGCACAGTGCAATATATGTGTGTTAGCAATATATGAGTTAGGGAGAGAGTTCAGTGAGTTAGGGAGAGTCAGTGTTCAAGGGAGAACTGGATAAGCACCTCCAAAGGATACCTGATCAACCAGGCTGTGACTCATACGTCAGGCTGCGAGCAGTCGCGTCCAACAGCCTGGTTGATCAGTCCGGCAACCAGGAGGCCTGGTCGACGACCGGGCCGCGGGGACGCTAAGCCCCGGAAGCACCTCAAGGTAACCTCAAGGTAAGGTAGGGAGGTAGAGGTGGGATGCAGGTGGTGGAGCCATGACTGTCATGGCTCTCTAGTCCACTATGTGTCGCGTCATCTCACTGCTGCCGAGGTATGTCTCCTGTTGGTTCAGGCGATGCTACTATCTAAATTTTTCATTTTGATGTAAAACATTTAGTTGATTGTTTTTATAATGTGGGCAGCTATAAGTATACAAACACAGTACTGAGGAGTACTACTTATAGGGGTAGCACTATAGGGGTAAGGGTAGGTAGGCCCAGCCCACAGGGAACTAGTTTCCCAAAATGTGACGGTCTGCAGTCGAGAAGCAGATCGCCTAACCCTAGTCACAGGGGGGGGGGGGGGGGGGAGGAGGTAAACTCCAGTTACAAACTTACACTTTTAAAACCCTAAAACACAAAGTACAATACAATACTCTACCACATCTACTTTAACTCCAAGACTCCACATAAGCTGGAGACGAGTCACATACTAGTAACTAGTGGTATGAGGCTATGATTCCTTAAGGGACAATTAAACTTAACCTAAATAAATATACAGTATGTATATCAGACACATGCTCTTATGGCCAGGATCTCGTTTTAACTTTCATGAATCTCCAGGTTCTAACCAGGGTAACACAGACAAAAGTACACTTAGAACAGAAGGCTTGCACTTTAACCCTTAGACCGCGCCTATTACTGAGCATATTGGGGCCTAGCAGCGAAAAATATTCAAATTATGTAAAAATAACTTAAAAATGTTATGCAGATCTCCAACTTATTGGCTTCATTGCGGTGAAACTCAAAATATTGTGGAGGAGACCCCACGTGGTACAACAACAGTATAGTAATAGTTCACCTTGAGTTGTCGTTGGGGAAGGTAGGTCTGGGAGGACAGGTGAAGCAAGTCTAGGCTTCTCAGGAAGGATAGGATAGAGGGAGTCAAAGCCTCTTCAGTAATCCTAGTAGCACTTATCCTAAGTGCAGGTGGTGCCGGGTAGGCGTCGTCCGCGTTTTTAGGTTTTCTGTAGACACTAAACTTTAGTGAAAAGTCTTCCCTATGAATAAGCACATCATACTTATTCGTATGATGTACTTAGATGTACTTATTCATAGGGAAGACTTTTCACTAAAGTTTAGTGTCTACAGAAAACCTACGAATAATTTATCTTATGTTCATTATTTTTCAGGGCATAGATACAATATGAAAAAATAAATTTTTTCTTCAATGTATCTAAGAGCTCTTCGAGTTGTGAGTCCAGAATTCTTAGATGAAGAGTTTAAGAATATTGATTCGATTGGTCTCAAGCTTTGTTACCCACTGAATTTTTTGGAAGTTTGCCGTAGCAAAGCACGTCGTACATATTATAATAATATGTACGACGTAATATGTAATAATAATAATATTATAATAATATAATAACCTAGGTCCCTAGGTTTGTTAGGTACCTGAATGCCCAATTGTTAGGTACCCTAACAATTGGATATTCAGATCTTCATACGATTCTGGCTCCTACATGTTACAATAGGGGTCAGTTCGTAACAAGTGTGGTACCAGATAGTGAGGTAATTGCACTTTCTTTGAACCCTTATACAGTGGCTTGACACTTAGTCCTTAAACATGCTAACAATAAAAGCTCTTCACACATAATGTTTAGTGTAGTAATAGAGTATGATTCCCATAATCAGAAATAAGAACATAAGAATTAAGGTAACTGCAGAAGGCCTATTGGTCCATACCAGGCAGCAGCTATTTATACCCACCCAATCTCATTCATATATATGTCTAACCTACACTTGAAACAATCAAGAGATCCTACTTCTATTATGTGTTGCGGTAATTGGTTCCACAAATCAACATCTCTGTAACCGAACCAGTATTTACCCAGGTATTTCCTAAATCTAAATTTACCCAATTTATGTCCAGTGTTTTGTGTTCTGTTTTGTGTTGATACTTTTAATACACTAGTAATATCCCCTTTGTTATGTCCATTCATCCACTTATTCACCTCTGTCATGTCACCCCTAATTCTTCGCCTTTCTAGAGAATGTAATTTAAGCTTTGTCACTCTTTCTTCATATGACAGGTTTCTAATTTGAGGGAATAACTTCGTCATCCTACGCTGGTGTACTAAAAATAGAACGTGAAATAGAAAGCTTGTTAGGCTTATTGTGGTCCGGTTACCTTGCAATGATTTCGGGGCTGGCTGATCGCAGCCTGACGTATAAATCACAGCCTGGTTGATCCAGGTATCCCTTGGAGGTGTTTATCAAGTTCTCTCGTATGGTATGGGGTGCATAATAAAAGAAAGAAGAACTCTTGAACACTGCGAGGGGTCAGTCAGCAACCTGCTCTCGCACAAGACAGCACATATATGACTTATTGCTTATAGTCATTATTTTGCTTATAAATAAGTATATTGACATATTCTAAGCCATATTTTTTTTCAAGGCACTAACTTTTTCTGTTTTATTAAACAATAGAGATTTTATACAAAATTTGACAATATCCTGAGTTACTTTACAATTTATTTAAATATTTTAGTTTTGTTTTATTATTTTTATAAAACTGTAATATCAATATAGGTATAGGTACTAATTGTAATATCTTAACATACTGAGAAGGTTATCTTGAGATGATTTCGAGGCTTTTTTTTAGTGTCCCCGCGGCCCGGTCCTCGACCAGGCCTCCACCCCCAGGAAGCAGCCCGTGACAGCTGACTAACTCCCGGGTACCTATTTACTGCTAGGTAACAGGGGCAATCAGGGTGAAAGAAACTTTTGCCCATTTGTTTCTGCCTCGTGCGGGAATCGAACCCGCGCCACAGAATTACGAATCCTGCGCGCTATCCACCAGGCTACGAGGCCCCTACGAGGTTAGGTTAGGTTGTGGTTTTCTATTCAGCTTTTCAAGGTAAACTCAAATATTCACAATAAATTAGCATGTCACATATGCACTTATTCATAAGCAAGATATTGACTATAAGCAAGTGCGAGAATGGGTTGCGGCCAGTTATGCCCCTTATGTGTAGTGAGAGCGTGTTGAACAGTCTCGGGCCTCTGATGTCGATAGAACTGCTCATCACAGTGCATGCTAGCCCTTTTGAGGATCACGTTTTTGACATTACAATGTGGGAGGGGCAGCTGGCTCCTTTATCCCAAGCCTGTACTTGTGGCAGGTGGGCTTGCCCTGGCTTCTCAGAATCTTTAGTGTGGGTAATCTTCAATTCCTCTCCTCCCCTGTGGGGTTGTAGGTCCTGGGCCAGCTCCTCTGCTCAGTCATTATGGGGTGGTCGAATTGATTCCCTGCTATGGGGGGCCCTGTCCTGCAGGACTTGCTGAACCTATGATTCATTCTCTACCTCTCAGGTCTGAGCCACTCCATTCACTGTCCAATCTTCCACATGACCATTTTCAGTCATGTCTGTCTGGCTTTGTAGACAGGTGCCTGGATGGTGTTCCCCATTTATCCAAGGTTCAGGGACTGGGTATGTTTTCATATGGATTTCTCGGTGGCTGCTTTTAGGTCCCTTCCTTCGCTGAATCTGGCTTCCTGGGCTTTTATACCAGATTGGCATGAATCATAGTTTCTCGTCTTCGCTGTTTAAGGTCTGATTCTTTGCAGAAGTCGATGACTCTGGTTTTGGCTCTTATTGTCCTCTTATGACTTATATACAAAGACGATCTTAATTATCAGTACTTACACGACATTGTAGTGTTTGGCAGCTCAATGCACACAAGCGTCTTTGATATACATACTATGTAGGCTGATCCCACCCTGTAGCCTATACCAGGGCAGGTATTTATTCACTGATGGAAAATTAGTGCAGTAGCCTGTAGGCTAGACTATCTTCACCCAATCCAGAGCTGATACACTAAGGTGATACTAAGCTAAATTCACTTCCAAAGTCAGGCAAATAATTTTCAGAGTCATACCTGAATATTCTGACAGAATTAAATTTCTAATCCTATATTTTTTGTTTTTCAGATGTCATCCTTACCAGGAAACAAGTAGGACTTCTTGAGATTTCAGGTTTTGCTCTTTGAAATGTAAGTACATTAGCAATAGTGTTCATTAAACATAGTATAGTATAGTAAAGGTTTTAATATCCTGATTCCAGGTTCTACTTTGACTAGTAAATTCATTTACAGTGCTAATATACAAATTAATGTTGAACAATCCTCAGAATCAGACAAAGTATTTGCCAGGGTCCTCAAAGAATGTAAAGATGAGCTTAGTGAGCTCTTGTATATCTGTATATTTAATAAGTCTTGTGTATTTAATAAATCATAAAAATGAAGCGTGTTCCAGAACTGTACTGTAGTACTGTACTACGATTATGGCTTCTGTTTTTAAGAAGTGAAATAGATCACTTGCATTGAACTATAAATCATTTTGCTTGATAATTATTGTAGAAAAATTGCTTGAATCAATGATCACAAAGGTTATTCATTTACATTTTGAAAGACATTAATAAAAAAATTCACAATACAGCTTTACAGAACATCACTTGTTAGCCACAGCTAACAACACTGCAGACCAGGCATAACAGGGCAGATCTCATTGAAACTTTTAAAATACTGAACAATTTGGTGGATGTTGATCCAGAAAATTTCTTCAAAACGTCAAATGTAACACAAATAAGGCGCAACGGTTTCAAGCTCAGCAAGCTACATTGTAGAACTGAGAACAGGCGGTGCTTTTTCATCCACAGGGTTATAAACCCATGGAACTGCATACCTACCTATGCAGTAAATGCCAAGACTGTTGAATTTCAAAATCAAACCGGAAAGAATTATGAAGAGCCTCGATACAGGGAAGATACCAGCAGCACTTAAATCTGCAGATATAGCTCCTCTGCACAAGAAAGGTAGTAAAGCTTTGGAAATAAATTATAGACCAGTTGCATTAACATCACACACAATAACATTTTTTGAAAGAGTGATTAGGTATCAAATTTCCAGTTTTGTGGAAAATAATGAACTTCACTACCCAGGTCAAATGGATTTAAAGTGGGAAGATCCTGTCTGTCACAGTTACTCAACCACTATGATAAAATCACAGAAGCCTTAGAAGAAAAGCAAAATGCAGATGTTGTATACACAGACTTAGCAAAGGCATTCGACAAATGTGACCACAGAGTGATGGCTCATAAAATGAGATAAATAGGGATAACGGGTAAAGTGGGGCATTGGATTTTCAACTTTCTGTCAAACAGAATGCAAAGAGTGACAGTCAATCAAATAAGATCAAGCCCAATTGCAGTGAAAAGCTCTGTACTCCAGGGCACAGTTCTTGCACCACTGCTATTTCTCATTCTTATCTTGTATACAGTATAGACAAAAATACTAGTGACAGCTTTGTGTCATCCTTTGATACAAATATCAGCATAAAAATTGTTTCTGTACAAGACACTGAAAAACTTCAGGCAGATATTAATAAAGTCTTTGATTGGGAACTGAAAATAACATAATGTCTAACGGTGATAAGTTTCAGGTACTTAGCTATGGTGAAAACGAGGAACTTAAATGAAACACAGGGTTGTAGTGTCACAATGTCCCACACCATTGCTGGTAGCATAGACCTTTTTTAGTAAATCAGCAAAAAGCCACCTGGCCTCAATAAGTAGTCTAGGGTAAGGGAAAGTCCAGAAAAAATCCACCAATTTACTGTGGCAAACTTGTATACATGACACTGCTGTATATACAACACAAATCCACAACTATTACTTAAACTAACAACAGCACAAGTCCAGCAGTTAACCCTTACACTGCTCAGGGGTCATATGGACATTTACACCCCTGTGCGCAAGAAAAAAAAAAATTCAAAAAAATTTTTTTGTCTTCTAAACATGTTAATTTGTGTCCCCTGAGCACGGAAAAAATAACAAAAAAATCGTAGGTGACATATTTTGGGCGCAATTGACCGAGGAAGGTTATTACACTATATACAGACGTTATATATAAGTATGTATATATTTTGTTCACCACAACTGTACAGCTAAGCTGATATAGTTAGTTCAGGCACCAAGAGTCGTCGCTATACACAGATGGCGGCTGGCGGCTCCCTCACTCATTCAACGTCACACGCACTAAACTTTCTCCCCCAACAATACCAGTTGTGGTGTTATTACACTATATACAGACGTTATATATAAGTATGTATATATTTTGTTCACCACAACTGTACAGCTAAGCTGATATAGTTAGTTCAGGCACTAAGAGTCGTCGCTATACACAGATGGCGGCTGGCGGCTCCCTCACTCTCTCAAGGTCACACGCACTAAACTTTCTCCCCCAACAATACCTTTTGCAGTGTTATTACCCTATATACACATATTATATATAAATATCTACATGTTTTATGCACCGTAACTGTACACCTAAGCTTGTAGTGCGTCCAAAGAGCATAGTGGCCACCCTCTAAACAGCTAGACAAATCATGCAGACGACGTCACCTCCGTCACCCATATGGCTCCTCCCAGCATAATCCTTTTGCTGTTATTACACTAATACACACATTATATATAAGTATCTATATTTGTGTTCACCATAGAGAACCACTGACCTGGTATAGTGAATGCAAACAATAACAGGTGGCCACACAGTCACTAAACGATGCTGTCTCCCTCCGTCTCTCAGCATCACTCCTCTCACAGCGCTAATTATTACAACAATCCTGCTATTATCACAACCCTGGTTATTTATATCACAGTCATTGGTCATCTGTAATATTGTCATCGCTAAATAATAACAATTATATATTTATTTTGACATTTTTCGGCGATGCTGTGGTCACAAGCTGAACATCAATGCTGTTCGCTCATGCTGCGTGCGCCAGCCTTGGTTGCTCCAACAGTACTGTGCCTCTCACACCTGAGAATATTGCCCATGATTTTTTTTAAAAATGGCATCTGTTTACAAGAGCCCTGAGGTAAAGAATGACCACAGTGTATCCAGTCATAACTGGTATATGCTGAGTCATGACAGGAGTACAGGACACCATCAGATCTGCTCTTAGAAGGAAAGCAACATGTAAAAGATCTGGGCATTTTTATATCTGACGACCTGACATTTAGTGAACATAATCAAGCAAATATAGTGGCTGCCAGGAAGATGACAGGATGGATTATGAGAGCATTCCTGCTTGATAGGGTGCTGGGAGTTCTACTTCCCAAGCCTGGACCGAGGCCAGGCTTGACTAGTGAGAGCTTGGTCCAACAGGCTGTTGCTTGGAGCGGCCCGCAGGCTCACATATCCACCACAGCCCGGTTGGTCTGGCATTTCTTGAAGAAAACTACTATCTAATTATCTCTTGAAGATGTCCACGGTTGTTCCAGCAATATTTCTTATACTCGCTGGGAGGATGTTGAACAACTGTGGACTTCTGATGTTTATACAGTGTTCTCTGATTGTGCCTATGGCAACCCTGCTCTTCACTGGTTCTATGACATCACTATGATATGGCCTTAGGTGCCATGGAAGATGATCAAAACACAGATGTAATATACATAGATTTTGCAAAAGCTTTCGACAAATGTGACCATGGTGTTATTGCACACAGAATGCATGCAAAAGGAATTACTGGCAGAGTAGGGAAATAGATCTTCAACTTCCTAACGAACAGACTGGAAGTTCAACTTCCTAACAGAACTGTGAAAAGCTCAGTTTCCCAAGGTACCGTACTAGCTCCGGTACTTTTTCTCATCTTAATATCAGACATAGACAAGGATACAAATTACAGTACCTTATCATCATTTGCAGATGACACTAGGATTTTCGTAAGAGTCACCAATATAGGGGATCCGGCAAATCTCCAGTCTGATGTAAATCGGGTCTTTCAATGCCCACAGATAATATGATGTTTAATAAAAATTAATTCCGGCTCCACCGCTATGAAAAAAAATGGAAACCATATATAAACAGTCAAATCACATTATAGAACGAAAGAACAAGGTAAAGGATCTGGGAGTAATCATGTCGGAAGACCTTACATTTAAAGAATACAATGAAGTAGCTGTCACGACTGCAAGAAAATGACAGATTGAATAACAAGGACCTTCCGAAACAAAGGACCCCATGCCAAGGATGATACTTTTCAAGACACTAGTGCTCTCTATGGTGGAATATTGTTGCGTACTAACAGCCCCATTCAGAGCCGAAGAAATTTCTGACCTAGTGAGGGACTGGTTTCAAATCTGAACACAGATTACAGCACATGAAACCAGTAGGCATGGCAGGATGTGCAAAATACCCCCGTTGAAAAGCAGAGGTGCAGTAGGTACTCTGAGAGAGAACTCCATCAACATAAGGTCCCATGACTTTTAAACACACTCCACATAAGGAGCATAACTGGCTGGCCTCTTAGTGTTCAAGAAAGAACTTGACAAACACCTCTGAAGAATACCTGATCAACCAGGCTGTGATTCATACATCAGGCTGCGAGCAGCTGCATCCAACAGCCTGGTTGACCGGATGACCAACTGGGAGGCCTGCCGACTGGGCCGTGGAGCCGTTGATCTCCGGAAGCTACACATGGTAGCATGTGACTGATATGTGATATAAAAGAGGTGCCATAGTGATATATGTGACATAGAAGATGCTGGAAGATCAGGTTCCTAATATGCACAGCAAAATAACAACGTACTGGAACGAAAGATATACAGTACATACAGTATTAGGAAATGCAGAATAGACTGTGAAAAGTGCCATAGGTACAATCGGAAAACAGTTGGCGCATCAGAGGTCCATGGCTCTTTAATATCCTGCCAACAAATATAAGAAATATTGCTGGAATAAAAGTGCATCTGTTCAGAAAGCAGCTAGATAAGTTTCTGCAGGAAGTGCTGGACTAGCTAGGTTGTAATGGATATGTGGGTCTTCTAGATTAAGTTAACATAATGCAAGCCTGGCTCTAGGCTGGGCATGAGTAGAATAACTTTCAGGACCCACTCCAATTATACTCTTATACTCACAGTATAGTGGCCAAACAATTGTAAGAAGCCTTGTGGTAAGAATTATCCTTCTCTAAATCTGTTTTCCAGGGTTTTGTAGGCAATTGAATATATTTTTTGTGATTGTACTTCTAAGCATCTTATGAAAAAAAAATTATGATTAAGGCCTACTTTAATTTATAATTTAAGGGTTTTCTTTTATTTTGTATTTTGTAGGTTGTCCATGGCCAAACGCAAGCGGCTAGATGGAGAAGATTGTGGGGGAGGTCCATCTACTCCAGCTACTGAGGGACGACCAAAAAGACGAAGGAATGACACAACACTTGTGAGTCATTATTTGTGAATTGCTAATATCATGGTAATTGTTGCATATATGTTTAGTATACACCTTTAAATAGAGACTGGTAATGAGCACTTTCAGTGTTTCAAACTTGGGTCCATTGATGAGTCTATAGACTGACATCTTAACATATCAAGTAGTTAGAATTACGTTTTTTTATGTGACATAAACTTTATAATAACTATAAAATAAAACAAACATTTTAGCAAGCATATTTGGGTCTCTTTAACCACTGAACTGTGCCAACTGAGAAAACTCGGTCGGTGGGAAACTGCGCTAACCAAGAAAACTTTTTTTTTTTTTCGTACCCATTCTAAATGTGTGCTCGGTTGGTTGTGTACGAAATGGACTCTTAGGACCTCCAGTGAGAGGCAACCATCTTGGAAAAAATTCCCAGAATGCCCTAGGGCTGCTGACTGGGTTAGTACTAAGTGACCAACCATGGGTAGCGCACGCGCCTCTGGCTCCCAAACGCCTGTCCAATGCGGTGTTGAAAGATCGTGCTCTGTCGGTTAAATTCAAACTTTATTGTTTGAAGAACATAAGGGTCATAATATTGGTGAAGCTAGGCACAATAATGACCTAACACAAAGGTCGAATGCAAGTGATACAGCATCTATGAGGATGATACAGCGAGCGTATCCAGCTGTAGCTCTGACCGCTACCCTTGCCCACCTATGTAATCTCCAATTTATATAGATAATACCTAGATGAATCGTATTCTGCGTTCAGTGATGATGCATCTGATACAAGTAGCATAGATGAACAGTGTTAGCGGCTTCCATAGTGGTGTTTTCCATAGATATTTTCAAGAATAGCTAAATCTCTTCTTGACTAACTGACACTCTTCGAGGTTGGCTTAATCTCTTCCTGTATGGGACCTTACAAAGTGATTTTTATCTATAATCTCTTCAAGACTACCTTATGCTTTACAAGCTTGGCTACATACCACCTACAGGTACTAAAGCCAAGGATGTATGTGAGTGCATTATTTGCAAGCACACAGAACGAAGAAACAGGAAGCGAAAATCTATCTGTACCTGGTGCAACGAGAGCGAAGTCGCGCTGTGTACCATGGACTACTTCGTTGATTATTACTCCATTCCGAAGTACTGAGTATGTAATACAGTATGTTACTGTGTAAATAGTGTGTGAAACTGTACATATTGTAATTATAGGGAATTTTTAACAAGTAATATTGCGACAACATTTATTGTGGATAAATTACTGACACATGTATCACAATTCCATGGAACATTATGAACGTTCTACTGTATACATATTGTAAAGGACACAAATATGTATCATATACGATTAAAAAAAAAAAACGCATTGGAAATACATAGAACAAATAATTGAAAATATATTTGTGGTAACACCCGGTGCTTGAATGGCCCGCGCGACTATGTCTGGGTGTGTCACGCACGGGCGACCAGCCCCTGATGACGTCACAGCATACCTTGTCCATGTCCCCACAGCCAAAGTAAATGGAATTTGGTATTTACTTTTACAAAGACATATTCAGGGAAGGGAATTTATCATTTTACAAAGAAAAAATAATTTTTTGGGAACACTTGATTTCATGCTCACTGGGGGAATTTCACAATAAACTGAGCGCATCACAGTGGTTAATAACTGAAAATAGTTGAAATACTGTATATGTAATTATAATGAAACTTTTTTATTTAATAACTTATTTGTTGTATGCATTCTGAAAACTGTTAATCATCTGTCTGCCATATCATCAGTTCATCAACAGCTCATTGATTTTGTCACAGTTTTATGTACAAGGCTCATGATATTACAGTGCAAACTCAATTCAACAAACTACGTATATGGACCAATCCCAATTCATTGGAGTGGGGGATTCATTTCAAACAGAGATGGCTCCTGGAGGCCTATACTTGTGAACGAAAACTGGGAAAAGTCAAAATAAAAACAACCATAGATTTTGGTTTTAAATGTCCTCAATGGCTTTCCCAAGGACCCAATTCTTTCTTCTAATGCACCCATCTACGAAAATCATTAACAAACGTGATTAGAGCCATATTAAGTTACTATTCATACCCTAAATGTTTCCCACACACTGTGATCTGATTTTATTTAGCAAAATTTTAATTTCAACCTGTCATATGAAAGACAGCTACCAAGAGAACCTATCTGTAAAGAGATTTTAACCACATATCTAGCATATTTGTTATGCCTTTGCCTCAAAACCTCATTTTTAAAGAGAAATGGGCCCATATTTGTGAACAAAAACTGGGAAATGTCAAAATGAAAATGAACCATAGAATTTGGTTTTAAATGTGTTCAATAGTTTTCCCAAGGCCCCAACTCTTTCCTTTTATGTTGCGCCCATCAATAAAAATCATTAAAAACTTAATTGGAGCCATATTACTGTAACAGTTACCATTCATACCCTAATATTTCCCATGCTCTATGGGCTGATTTCACTAAGGATATCTTTATTCAAATGATGAGTCCCAATAATGTGGTTGAAGATATGATTGACCACATATATATGATATATGTGTTTATTTTGTGAAACTCATTTTGTGTATACTTGCAAGTATTTTGTAAGTTTGTATATTATAATTAGAGTACTGTATATATATTTTCTGAGGAGAACCCTGTTGGCTCCCTGCAACTATTACACTGATTAAGTGCCATATTACTGACAGTCATTGGTAGCAGAGTTCTTTTTGCCTACCATAGACCACAAGCCAGAACCTGGTCCCCTCAGAAAGGTGCAGGGAGCAATGGCCCATGAACACTTTAAATGTAAAGTTTCTCATCTTTGCCATCAGCAGGGAATGGCTTTCCCTGCTGTAGGCAAAAAGAACTGCACGACTGATGACTCCAAGTAATGTGGCACTTAATCAGTGTGATAGCTTCACCGAGCCTCTGGGGCTCACCCAAAAACTGACTTCTATTTACATTCAGTGCTGGGTTTTTTACTATTTTCAGTTATGAAATAGAGACCCATATAAAAGCATATTTTTCCTTTACACTGTTAGTAAAAGGTCTGAGATGTTATAAAGAAGAAAAAATATCATATCAAGTACAGGGTACAATTAATATTAAGATAACAGTCCATAGACTGGTCAATGGACCCAAGTTTGAAACCCAGAGTGTGTTCCTTACCAGTCCTTACATGCTTTTATGTAAAGTGTAACTTGATTAGCTATGATATTGAGGGGGTGGATGTTACTTGTGGTAACATAATAGTAAAAGGCTGTTTGTTTATTTATTTTGTTTATTTATATACAAGAAGGTACATTGTGTTGTGAGAGTACAAAACATTGGTGTTCATAAATTCTTTTCTGAAGAATGAGATGGTGGGCTTCTGGAGGGGGTCCTTTGGTTTTGGATGCTGTAATGGTTTGGCTGCGGGTGCATCATGCACTGTGTCCAATGGCAGCTTTGTGCTGTTACCTGCAAGCCACCAGTTCTGTTTCAGTGGATTTGTTGTGGGTTGATTTGGTGTCCCTGGATCCCTGTTCTGTTGCAAAACCACTAACATGCATAGCATTTTGAGCAGGTCCTTAATATAATGGATAAGAGTAATTAAAATGTACATTACAGCAGAATTTGATTTCAACATAACTACAATAAAAATTGATTGTATTGATTATACTGGTGATGCATGTCTTAAGTACTGCAATTGGGTGAGTGGGTAGCATAAGAGACAATGTAAGTTTAAAGCACAAGGTAGGAAACTATGGGGATGTAATTAGGTACTTTTTGTTTTTTCTTTTGAATAAAGCATAGCTTGGATAATTTTTTAATTCATTAGGGAGAGAGTTCCATAGACTGGTCCTTTTATTTGCATGGAGTGTTTGCATAGATTTAGTCTGACTGGGGATATCAAAGAGATATTTATGTCTAGTGTGGTGTTCATGGGTTTTATTACAGCTATCAAGGAAGAGTTTCAGATCAGGATTAGCATTTAGGAACAAGGTTTTGTAGCAATGTAAATAGCACAAGAGAATGTGTGGAGTGAGTATATGTTCAGCATGTTTAGGGATTTAAACAGAGGAGCTGTGTGTTGCCTAAAGACAGTTTGTTATAATTCTGATACTCTAGCAGATTTTTGCTGGGTGATGATGGGCTGGAGGGGTTTTGCAGTGGTTGAATCCCATGCACAGATACCATATGTTAAATAGGGATAGAATTGGGTCTGATACACAACATTCCCAACATGAACCAGAGTCCTGGCTTTGTTGCTGTTGACTCTTCCCTTTCACAGTATAGACTCAAATGTTCTAAACCTTCTAACAAACGTGACCTAACATAAGCGTAACATAAGCCTACCCTTCCTTTTATCTTCCTTTAATCTTTCTTTTTCTTTCCCTTGTTTTCTCTTACGATCCCTTCCTTATTCCCATTATTACCCCCGTTATTTCACCTTGCTTTCTGTACCTGTTGCCTTGCTTCTTCTTCCTCTAAGATTTCCTTCTCCTCACCTCTCTCTTGCCTATTTATTGCCTTTGCCTCCTTCCTCTCATCACAATCGACGTGATAATGGTCCAGGACGGACCGAAACGTCTCCATCTCTTCACTTTCTAGTGTGTGGTTTGGTCAACAGGGATAGATTAGTGAGTAGTATAGTGAAAGGAGAGAAGAGTGAGGAACATAATATATGATTTTTTTTTATGCTGTGTGTTGTATGTGGGTGCTGAAGTTTAGTCTCTAATCTATATGTAGGTCAAGGAACTTTTCATCATTTTTAATGCTAATGTTAACATTGTGTATTTGAAGGTGAATTTGGTTTGATGATGATTTACCTCCAAATCAAATTTAGTAGATCCGTGCTATGTTTAGCGTGAGTTTGTTGATTAACATCCATGAATGGACTTTTTTTTTTTTTATATTTATTATTTACAATATTACAGTACTATATTTAGTGTGTGGGGGCTGTTGTTTAAATAGATGAAGGTAGTATCGTCAGTAGCAAATAGTATTATATTTCAGTATTATGCTGAAAGGCACATTATGCATAATTTTGCTTATTTTCCTTTTGTGACTTATCACTTGCAGGTTGACACAATACAGTATATATTTGACGCTCTGAGAAACAAGAAGAAGGATGACGAGACATATCTGTGCGAGGCGTTCCTTCGTGTTCCACGGAAGAAGACGGAACCTCAGTACTACGATATGATCAAAATTCCAATAGACATGCTGAAAATCCAGCAGAAGATTAAAACAGATGTTTATAATGAGTTGGAAGAGTTTTGCAAAGATGTGCAGTTGTTGGTGGACAATGCCAAGCTTTATTATGCCAAGGTATATTGTAGCTGAAATTTGTTCTCCTGTTAGGTTTACTTACAGCATAAGTTCATCATGCGTGTATCAAGGTTATTTTTACAGACCCTGCCAACCTCAGAAATGCTTTGTCGATGTTAAGGTTTCCATGGCAAAAGATTGTGATTCAAATGTGTCTGAGAAAGGTGAGTATTTATGTACAGTAGAGGTTTTTGCACTTCATCTTTACAAAATAATATCATTGTTAAATCTTGTTTGTATATACATCATGATGATCATTTTGTATATCATTATAAACATGTTTTATAATACATAAATAAATATCAAACTTTAGTTAACCCTTAGACTGCGCATATTACCGCGAATATAGGGAGCATAATAGCGAAAAATATTAGAATTATGTAAAAATAACTTAAAAATGTTAAACAAATCTCCAACTTCTTGACTTCAGTGTCGTGAAACTTTCATCAAAATATTTTCAGAAATTGGTTTTGATTTTTGAAAAATAAAAATGTTTTATTGATAAAGAGAACAGCTCCTAATAACTGGAACTGAAGAATTATGCAGTAATAAAGAGATGCAAGCACCTGTCCGATGCTCAAAGAAGAACAATAGTAGTAAGAAGTGTCCACAAAGTTGATATGCACCTGGTGTCCTTATATCATTGCTGAGTAATACATAATAACACAAATAATAATGAATAACTATGTTAATATGATCTATTTTATATATCATATAAATGCATTGTCCAATCCGGACAATACGAACCCCTGGAAACCATCGTAGTTTGGCCGCACCACCAGGATGCAGCACCACCTAGAGCAGCTGGCTCCCATGCCAGCAGTAGTCAGCCAGTTGCCTGATGTTCACCTGTGTGGATAGCTTTTTGAGTCACAAACCTTATGGGTCCCAACTGATTCTAGAGTAGTGTTGGCCATCCCTTGGACTCTGTCCTGTGGTACCTATTTTCTTGTGTATTGTTTAAAGTTTAGTATTAGCTTCATGTACATATGTTTAGAACCCTGACTTGTTATGTGGACTTTGGTTACTATTTATCTTGAGTTGTATGTGCTTAGGGCTGCCCTTCCCTTAGGAGCTTGTTTGCCAGTGCCCCCACCCTGACAGCAACTTCTAGTGGGTTTGGGAGTTTGTCCCATGGAGGCCAGCCTTCTGTGTAGGATGCCTTGCCTAGAGTAGTGCAAGGGTAGGGAGCCGGTCGGCCAAGCGGACAGCACGCTGGACTTGTGATCCTGTGGTCCTGGGTTCGATCCCAGGCACCGGCGAGAAACAATGGGCAGAGTTTCTTTCACCTATGCCCCTGTTACCTAGCAGTAAAATAGGTACCTGGGTGTTAGTCAGCTGTCACGGGCTGCTTCCTGGAGGTGGAGGCCTGGTCGAGGACCGGGCCGCGGGGACACTAAAAAGCCCCGAAATCATCTCAAAATAACCAGGGTAGTGCAAGACTCCTCTGGTAGGCTCTGATGTTGAGGTTATTCAGGGATTATTGTTTAAAGGGTGCACTAGGGTTCACATGCTTGTACATACAGCATGCCTCTAATGCCCTTTGCAGCTGCATTCATCTTTTGGTCTGCACTTGTAAACAACCCTCTTTGTATTTTCTTTGGAGCTTGACATGATTTTTGCCATACTCGAATGCTCCAATGGTGAGAAGTGGGTGTCATCATGTATACTTCGGTGGTACTGTACATCCTTTGCACCACTGGAGGCTTGCTTGCTTGCTCTTATTCTGCCCAAGGACATGAGCATGTGGGAGCATGGAATGCCTCCAAATACATGGGGGTTTCCATAGGCCATTGCTCCCTTGCCTCTCTGAGCGCGGGACAGGCTCTGGCTCATGGTCCTCAGTAGGCTGAACTCCAATTGACTGATGCCTCAGACTAATATAACAAATATCAGCCTGATAGTTCCAGGAAGTCTCCAGGGCTCGCCTAGAAAATGGCGTTTTATTACTTTCAATGCTGGTTTTTTGTCTGGAGGGTGATTGTAAAGAATCCCCTGCTCCCTACACCTGTGTGAGGGGCAGGTTCTGACGCTGGTCTCTGATAGGCTATTAAGAACTCCTAAAATTGATGCGACTTGTGTGGAGCGATCTCAATGTGGCTAGCTTAGGGAGTCACCAAATTCAATTAGACAATATTTAATTAGATTCATAGCTGGTGTTTTAGTGGGCTTGGCAGTCCTTATGTAACACGGGAAGGGTTTCTCGACTTAACTTTCCTTCTTCTTTTCCCTCTCTACCCGTATTCTTACTTTTTATTCTCTACAAGGGACTCCAAGACTTTTACCAAAGCCGACTCCACGCCACGTGGTCCTAAGACGATTGACCGACTTAAGATTCTACAACCCGTATGACGTGACCTAGGCTTTGAGCAAAACCCTAGAGTCGCCTCCGCCGCCACCACCAGACCAGTAACACAGAGCAATGATCGAGGTCTGGATCGATCATGCTAATTAATCAACCTTGGGGCTTGATCCCCACTAGTAACCGATGACCTTGGAAACTTAGAGTGTGGAATTAATTACACGGTAAAGATGACTTCCGATTTGGTGTTAGAATCGGCGCCCAATCCAACTCTGCCTCGTGTGGACCACGTGACCAGGACAAGTTCACATAACTTGAACATACACATGGAAATAATACAAATGCAATTTATTAACTAATTAATTTATTAAAAGAAAAACTAAAACAAAATCTAAAGATGTTCACTCCCTGTCACTTTAACACTCCCTACTTGACCTGAACGGCAATGAGTTGACTATCCCTATAAAAACTCATACAGCAACTCTACCTTGGGCGACCAGCTAGATGTTGGGGGCTGGTCTTGGGAGAGGTAAGATGGTTGACCTCTCCCAGTAGATCTGGAGTCCACACTGATCTCTCCTCGTCTGGTCTTCCCCAGACTAGAGCATTGTATCCTTTCGCATCGCTTACCAAGTTACTTAGCCAGGTTTAAGTTATAACAATTAACCTCTGTTGTACTTAATTGATCCAGACTGATTGAATTATTTTACTGAAGTTAAATTACACAAGCATCTAACGGCAGAGCTGTTCCCGATCACCAAAATGGTTATTTGAACTTTGAGAAATAGTGGACATGTCAACTCTGATGACCTATGACCGCCGGTCACTCGTGCCTTACAACTTAGATCTGATTCGTGACGTCACTGATGGTGACTTAACTCAATAATTAGAATACAGTACTCTTGATATTGTACCCAGTACTATTATACAATACAATTTTAATACAAAATGAATAAAGGCTAATTTCTCTAAATAAGTGAATACTATAGAATGGTTCATTATACGAAGCTATGAACAAGGCGTCAAAATTTTTTTTTATTTCAACTAAAGTTTTTTTTATTCGTTCGAAGTTCGAAATTTTTCGAAAGTTTGAAAAGTTCGAAAGTTTCAAAGTTCGAAATTTTTTTTTATTTCGACTAAAGTTTATTTTCCAATAAACGTTAGGTGTGTTCCTTAGCATGTCAAGGTTGACATTGAGTGGGGAGTGGGTAGTACACGGATGTGAACTTGATAGTTCCGTAGTACGCTCCCGGATGACTGAAAGTTCAGTCTGAAGATATAACTTTAATGTTTATGTTTGAGCACGGTGTGGCCGGCTCTAGAGGACACATGAACTTGGCTAGTGAAGAGCCAAGAGAGTTTAATAGCTAGTCTTTGATGGTAGAGTAGGGACATGTTATTTAGCTATGTCAGTAAGGATAGGATGTATGTTTCCTGATGTTAGAGGATTGCTGTCAGTTGACAGCTGAGAAATTTATGAATTTAAACATGTTGATGTTGGACACTATTAATTGTCAAATTTTATTAGTTAGGTTAGCTTTTGTTTGTGGCATGAGTTGAATTGTGGGTTTGGATACTAAACCTCGTGATTTTTAACAAATTAACAAGGTTTACTAAGTGCTTGTGCGGGGGGGGTTGTAACAAACTAGGCTGGTTGTAAGAATCATCCAGAGTGGTTTATCGACAAAAGAGAATGGGAAGCTGGGCCCGCATGGTGACCCGGGACCTGACCTCTAGGGAATTCGCGGTGAAAATAATCGACGCCTTGTTCATAGCTTCGTATAATGAACCATTCTATAGTATTCACTTATTTAGAGAAATTAGCCTTTATTCATTTTGTATTAAAATTGTATTGTATAATAGTACTGGGTACAATATAAAGAGTATTCTAATTATTGAGTTAAGTCACCATCAGTGACGTCACGAATCAGATCTAAGTTGTAAGGCGCGTGTGACCGGCGGTCATAGGTCATCAGAGTTGACATGTCCACTATTTCTCAAAGTTCAAATAACCATTTTGGTGATCGGGAACAGCTCTGCCGTTAGATGCTTGTGTAATTTAACTTAAGTAAAATAATTCAATCAGTCTGGATCAATTAAGTACAACAGAGGTTAATTGTTATAACTTAAACCTGGCTAAGTAACTTGGTAAGCGATGCGAAAGGATACAATGCTCTAGTCTGGGGAAGACCAGACGAGGAGAGATCAGTGTGGACTCCAGATCTACTGGGAGAGGTCAACCATCTTACCTCTCCCAAGACCAGCCCCCAACATCTAGCTGGTCGCCCAAGGTAGAGTTGCTGTATGAGTTTTTATAGGGATAGTCAACTCATTGCCGTTCAGGTCAAGTAGGGAGTGTTAAAGTGACAGGGAGTGAACATCTTTAGATTTTGTTTTAGTTTTTCTTTTAATAAATTAATTAGTTAATAAATTGCATTTGTATTATTTCCATGTGTATGTTCAAGTTATGTGAACTTGTCCTGGTCACGTGGTCCACACGAGGCAGAGTTGGATTGGGCGCCGATTCTAACACCAAATCGGAAGTCATCTTTACCGTGTAATTAATTCCACACTCTAAGTTTCCAAGGTCATCGGTTACTAGTGGGGATCAAGCCCCAAGGTTGATTAATTAGCATGATCGATCCAGACCTCGATCATTGCTCTGTGTTACTGGTCTGGTGGTGGCGGCGGAGGCGACTAGGGTTTTGCTCAAAGCCTAGGTCACGTCATACGGGTTGTAGAATCCTAAGTCGGTCAATCGTCTTAGGATCACGTGGCGTGGAGTCGGCTTTAGTAAAAGTTTTGGAGTCCCTTGTAGAGAATAAAAAGTAAGAATACGGGTAGAGAGGGAAAAGAAGGAAAGTTAAGTCGAGAAACCCTTCCCGTGTTACACTTATTCAACACATCACATCCATTGTAGCTATAGGTATCTCTCTATTTGGAGGATGACTTGTATAATGATGTATTAAGCTAGTTGACATTTACTCTTTATCATGTTTTCAATAGAATTACTGAGAAATATCTTTGGTTTTAGTCAACAGATGAGTACAAAGATGCGTGTGAATTGTGGGCGATCTTCATGGTGGCAAAAGATCGAGCTCCAGACGAGATAAACAAGGAAAAACTTCGGCAACAACAGATGGAGGAGGAAGAACGACACGGGAAGAGGGTATTGTTAAGTGTATTTTGCATTACTTAAATTATATTTAAAGTTTTCAAAGATTGATTATTGAATCATATATACTGGGTATCCATATAATGTACAATATTGTATGTCAGCTTAAGTTACTGTGATTGCTTATGATCCTTTTAATATAAAGTTTTGCTTGCTTGAGCCTGATATATTGACCAAGTACTGTACATCTTCCTCAATCAAATTTGGTTGATCAATATTCTATTGTCATATACATTATTGAATAAAATTGTAGATGTGTGCATTATTGTACACTATTATTGTACTTACTGTGTACCTATGTATTAATATGCAAGCACATCTTTTATGCAGCCTGAAAGAAAAGGAGAAAAGGTAAGTCGCTTTTGTATTTTTAATTACATTTACAAATATAGTTTTCTTTTAACTAGTGAGGCTTGGATAGGGGAACCAGTGATATTGGCTTTGATTGGTCACAATTAAGTTATCTTAATACTGTATACAGTTTTCTGTTCTACGTTCAGTCTTTTGGAAATCCTGTAATATAAAATGTACTGTATGTGAATGCAGTTAGTTGCCGATACATATTAGAACATTAGGTTTGACTGAGGCCATTGTCTTGATAAGATTAATATTTGTCAGTTTGAATCCAGTTGCCATATGAGGAGAAATGTGAAAACTGTAATGCTTGTGTAATACAATGCTCCATATTTAATTATTCTTGAGGCAATACTTTAGTTTATTGCACATACAGTCTACTAAAGTTCATTCCTAATACAGTACAGTAGTTTGAATGTATATTCTTTTGTTCTTTACTGAAAGTGGATTTTGATCTTTAGAGAAACTAGATTTGGTCTTCCTTATTTATTTCTTCACCGTTTGCTATACTGTATTTCTTACAGCGTGGACGACCCCCCAAGACACCGCTGGCCATGTCGGCACCCATGATTCTGGAAGAGGATGGTGAGCCAATGACAATGGAAGATGCTATTGAGGAACTCTTTGGGGCTGTAATGACTGCTATGGACCCTGATGGTCGTTTATATTCGTATGATTTTCGGCTCCTTCCCTCAAGACAAGTGAGTTATCATACAAAATACATATTTTATTTGAATGAAATAAAAACTTAAATTGATCCCTTTTATCTATCTTTAAGTACTTGCTCAGTTGTATTTGTGGAGGATGAACCATTTCTCTTGAGTTTTGTCTGTTGACTCTTAATCGACTGGTGTATTGGTCCCAACTCTGTATTAGTGTATTGGTCCCAGTGTATTAGGAGACACCCCCATAAAAAGCAGATAGAGTCCAGCTCGTCAGAAAGCGACATTGATGAGTCAATTTCAGGTCCACTAAGAACCTATACACCGAGCCTTGTCATATGTATATTTAAAATTGTTTATGGCATTTGCTTCCACCCATTCATATCTTAGCACAATTGTTCAAATTGTTCCTATTGTTCACTATCATGACAGTGAAAAACTTACTTCTGATGTTTGTGGCTTATTTGGGTACCTAATTTCCATCTATTCTACCTATGTTAAATAATCTGTCCTTGTTTTTCATGTATATCCCTGTGGGTATTTTGTATTTACCAGTCTCCGTGGTGTAGTGGTAAGACACTCGCCTGGCGTTCCGCGAGCGCTATGTCATGGGTTCGTATCCTGGCCGGGGAGGATTTACTGGGCGCAATTCCTTAACTGTAGCCTCTGTTTAACGCAACAGTAAAATGTGTACTTGGATGAAAAAACGATTCTTCGCGGCAGGGGATCGTATTCCAGGGACCATAGGATTAAGGACTTGCCCGAAACGCTACGCGTACTAGTGGCTGTACAAGAATGTAACAACTCTTGTATGTAACTCTTGTATGCGGTGATCATGTTTTTGTTTCTTCTCCTAAGGTAACATGAGGTTTAACTCATCTAGTCATTCTTTGTATCTCATACCTCTCGGCTCCTGGGACTAGTCTGGTGGCATACCACTGAACTTTCTCCATCTTCATCTTATGATTAATGAGATATGATCTCTACCCTGGTGCCACATATTCCAGAATTGGTCTGACATGATTGATATGCAAGGTCCTGAATGACATTTTGTTCAGGATCCTAATGGCAGTTCTTATAATAGTAAAACTTCACTATGCAGCTGCTGATATTTGCTTGATGTAGGATTCTGGTGATAGGTTCGGTGTTATTTCAACCCCCCCCCATCTCTTTCTCTGTCTGATTTGAGGAGCATTTCCTCTCCTATGAAGTACCTTGTGCCCAGCCTCCTGTTTCCAGTACCCAGCTTTGTTACTTTGAATTTACTTAACCCTTAAACCTCCTGTCATTCTCAAATGATTAACCCATAGTGTTCCTCTCATTTTGACTTGATTTAACATGCCTCTTATTAATACTTAACGTTCCTAAATATTTTGTGTGGTTGTCATTCTACACTAGAGACCTCTGACAATAATTTGCCTTATTGAGAAAAAATCCTGAGAGCCTTGGCTATTTTCCTGGACATTATTAAAAATATTGGCACAATTTTAGGTGTCATCATCCATTTATGGATGCCTATGCTCAGAAACATTTACAATGAAAAATTTCAAGTAATTTTATGGGCCAGGAAGACATTTGTGATAGAAGAAATTCATTACAAATAGTTTATATGAAAATTGATTTTTAGAGTATTGTCATCAGCATTTCTTCGCCTCACTACGGCCAAACTAAAATACAGTACAGTAATTAGAATTTCATTTTTGTTACATCATAAATACAGTAAATGTTTTATGATGTATAAAGGACCTTTATACATCATTACCGGGTACCGACTGTACTACCGGGACCCTTTAGAAGGTCCCGGTAGTACAGTCCGGTTCATTCTCGATACAAAGTTGAAAATTCTGGGTTCAAATCCTGGGGCAGGACTGAAATGGTTGTGCAAATATCCTTTCACCTAATGCCTCTGTTCACCTAGCAGTAAGTAGGCATTCAGGAGTTAGCTTGTTATGGGGTTGCATCCTGGGAAAGGGACCTCGATACAAGCCTAACATATATGAATACACTCTGGCTTCCTGTCCCCTGACACAATGAATTATTATTATGAATTATATATAAATAAAAAAAAAGAGAGAATTTTGTAGAATTTCTTTTGTGTGTATTTAGAAAGGGACATAAAAACAGTGTGCAGTTTGAGTGTTGGGTTGAATTCAAGAAGCCACTTAAGAGACCATATTTTAATTTTGTCCTGGTTATACTATAGTTTCTTGCAGTCTTCCATCGTATTTATCCTTATAATTTCTTGAGGGGTCAAATGGTGGCTCCCTATAGCTTGCCACACTGAGATAACTCCACACTCTCCTAATGTAATTTAATTACACTTAGGTAATTACACACATGAATCACATCAGCCCTAGGAGTCCTTAATAGCCTACTTTAGGCTGGTGTTTTCCAGCCCCTCAGTCAGATTCATTCACAGAGAAGTTCTGTCCCTGTTGCTTGGAGGCAAGGTAGGCTTCCGTTGTAGCTGAATTCTTGGGCTGTAATGCTTCCTTTGGTCTTCACCACTTCTAGTTGGCATTGTTCTCAGTTGTTTTAGAAGGGTACTTCTGCTTTTTTTTTTTTTTTTTTTTTTTTTTTTTTTCTCTCTAACCTTTCATAGTTCTCGTTTGATGGTGATGTGGGGGGACATCTGGCGCTTTTAAACTGGTGACCCAAGACCCCCCCTCCTCTCATGTTGGGGTTCTTGGGTCATAAGTCTATCCTGCAGCTCTGTTCATTCATTGTAACTTGGTTGGACTCCGGCATAGTAGATATAACCCGTTCTGCAGTGGGTGTCTCGGTTATTTCCTGTTCCCAAGTGGGACTCGGCAGACTTATGGTACATTCTTAACCTCACTGGATTGAATCTTTTCATTCCTGGTCTGACCTTTTGTTTGACCACTTTAGCTCACGTGTTTCTGGTCTTGCAGGTGGATTCCTGGTTGGTGCTCCTTGATCTTCAGGATGCTTACTTGCACGTCCCAATTCACCTGAATTTCAGGCACTAGTTAGTGTTTGTTAAATGGTGTCAAGCTTACGGCTTTTGGGTTATCCTTTTCGGCTTGAATTTGGTTCCTCATAACTTTACCAAATTAGCATGGGTGGATGTGACCTAGCCTCTCTGTGAGGGGGGGCTAGGTTTTGAGCTATGGTTCCTTTTAGGCTTTTAATGACTTGCAGGAACTTGATATGACTCAATAGGTGGGAAACTGACCAAAGCAGGTAGCAACAAGGAGCCATGGAAAGCCCAAGTAAGAGGCATTTCAATACATTTAATGTTATTTTTTTTTTTTTTTAAAGTCTACTCGGGTAATAAAGATGTTTTTATTTTCAGAAATACCCAGATTACTACCAGTTGATTAGCCACCCAATTGACCTGAAGATAATAGCACAGCGCATTGTGTCAAAACAATACAAAAATGTTGACGATCTTGAGGACGACTTTTCTCTCCTGTTTAACAATGCATGTGCCTTCAATGAACCAGGCTCCCGAATCTTTAAGGATGCCCGCACTCTCAAGAAACTGGCACAACTACGGAAGGGTGACCTGCTTCAAATTCTCAATGCCAAGAAAAGTGTTCGTCTCAGGTAACAAAAAAAAATATAACAATGGGTTGCTTGTAGTTGATGCTAAATATAATTTTAGGCAAGCCTTCACTGAATGAATATTTACTTATGATTCACTTCATAAGGTTTAATATAAAGAAAACATATTTTACTTGAGGGGGGGGGGGAGGGGCTAGGAGAGAAACATCACTGGCTTTTTAGTTAGCAACTAAGTAATATTTCTCTTCTCTGTAATTCATTCTTGAAAGTATTCATTCATACCTTTATTTTATTATCATATACATATTAACTTTGCTCTCTCATTTACTTTTTTCTTAGACTCATGATTGTATTTGGGTTAGGTACTTATACTAAACATCCATGTCAAAATTAGCTCACACTTCTTACAGGGGTCAAAAGTATCTAGAAGTTAACCCCCTTGTCAGCTGGCGTCACTATCATACCGAGTGAAATATGAAGACCAATATTTTTGTATTTGTGAACCATTTTCTGGGTTGGCCTCTGCAACAGCTCCTTGAAGCTTAAGTACTGATACTACTAACCCTGCAGATTGTACCTGGCTTCTGAGATGTGTATGGGTCTATGGGGAACAAAGACTAGAATCTGCTTCTCTTAATGAGGTAAGAGGAGAATGGGGATAAGAGATAGATCCAAAACTGAAGGAAATTAACAACACAAACTAATGCCTGGAAGAAATGAAAAGACAAAAAATGCAAACAATAGCTGGTACCGGGTAAACCACTCTTACAGCTACCACCCGTCTACCACCCACTTCCCTCACGTGCTTGGTACTGTTTAGGTTGTGTTGCCTCTTTTGATATCTCTTTGCTACTTTTTGAAGCCAAGCTTATGCATGGCTATTACATTTTTGTCTTTCGTTGGAGGGCTACTTTGCAGTAAAGGCACGCTGTAGCAAAACACTGGTCCAGCAAAGCCTTTGGGAGATGCACCAAGTCACTACTAATAAATGGCACCCCCCAGAATTGGACTAGCCCAAAGGAAGACACTAAGCAGTCCACTAGGAATGAGCAGTATACAAATTTGGTGCACAAATGTAGATGGCATTACAAATTATGGGGTAAAACTGCAAGAATGGGTGGCAGAACTGCATCATCATATCATCACAGTTACTGAGAAAAACTGACAAATGTAAAAGAGGAAATAATCACCAAAAAGGTAGAACTAGACAAAACTGACAACAGCAGGCAATGATAAACAAAACAGAACACATGACACCCAATAGAGGTGTCACAACACAATAGATGGAACTCACAACACAAATGTAAAGAAGCAACAGAATGGTTCATACCTCTCAGGAGGGAAATGGAAGAAAGGAGAAGAGCAAACCCATGGTTCAACAAAGTAAGGAGGAAGAGGTTATCTTGAGATGATAAGAGGAGGAGAAAAACAAAAAAAAAGTAATGAAGAAAGCATGGGGACATGGGTACTGAGGCAGCCAGGGGATGAGTACACTAAAATCAGGAAGGCAGCAGAGTAGCAGTTTGAAAAGACATTAAAGCAAAGAGCTGTTGCACAGTCATATATGGAGAAAAACAATGGATTATGACAATGGAATGTGGGACCCAGGAAGGAATATACTTGGCGAATTACAAAGAAGTGTGTGTGAAAAACTCAACAAGAGGTTCCAGGAGGTCTACAAACTGGAGTTAGATTGGTGTCTGAGCAGGGGTGACAACAGATAGCCAGAAACAACACTAGACAGAACTGAAGTTAATGTATTTGACGGACTGGGGGCAAAAGGGTGATAGTCAGAGAGGATACGTCAGGCTGTAGTGGAAAGTGGTGTTCCACAGGGTTTTAGATCATTGCTCTTTTTAATTTATATAAATGACCTCACAAAGGTAATTTGCTCATATCCATTGATGCATATTGATGTTTGCTGATGATACAAAAGTTAATGAGGAGAGTAAGAACTGCAAGAAACCCTTGACAACTTCAGGAGTGGACAGACGAATAGCTGCTGGAATTCAATTCAAATTAGTGTAAAGTAAGGGAGATGGAAGGGAGAAGCTCAGTCCCCACAGTACCCTGGGGGACAGATCTTCACGATTGATGGACCGGATTTGATTTTGTTGACTATTACACATTGGGTTCTGTTAGTCAGGAAATTGTAGATCCATCTGCCTATTTTTTCCGGTAATTCCTTTTGAACGCATTTTATGTGCAATAACACCATGGTCACATTTGTTAACACTTTCGCGCTCTCGGCGAAGGTCACTCAGCCAACCGTATGTGCGCGCGGCGTTTTTATCGCTTAAGCGTAAAAACAAAAATGTGTATACTCTTTTTACTTTTCTGACCTTAGTTTTCATGCTACGTATTTCATTTTGGTACCAATGTGTTCGCAATAAAATTCTCTAGAAGAACATCAGTAAAAAAAGTCACGAAAGCTATAGAGATACCAGCATGAAATAAATAACTACGAAGATGAGTCGCCGTGAGCGCTCAACAGCAACAAAATGTTTTTACTCTTGGGATTATTATCACCTCTACAATTGTCCTACAGCCTTAATTTTGGTATCAATGGACTCCCAATAAAATTCCCAACACGGTGATATGAATATAATCGTAGAATAATGGTCCCGGCCCACCCGCAAGAGTGTGGGAATTGGGCGCACTGTTACCCGGTAACGGTGACCGGACGACACACGCGCGAAACGTTGCTTTGAAAGTTTATACTTATTTCACTGTTCTGATATTATTATTGTATGTATGTCATTCATTTTTGTGGCAATGTTTTCGCAATAGAATGTTCTATGAGCTAAATTATACTACACAAACTTGGACCAAATAGGTGTACTTACCAAGGGAAGGCTGGTTGTGGAACAGTAAGTTGAGCATTTGTTCTTCACTCCACCTTCTTCAGGTTCTTCATTCCTGAAGATGCTCAACAGATGGTTTGTAGGTGGAGTGAAGCTGTTGCGGGTGGTTACTTCTTCACCCAATACACCTGTTTCCGGTGGTAATTGGTGTAGCAGGGAACAACACAGAGTGCATCACCACAGGTCTTGCATCCATAGTTCGTGTCCTTCCTTTTACCGGACCGTGCGCATGCATGACACTTGAGACGTTTGGGCAGTCTGTAAATTTCATGTTTCAGTTTGTAGTTCATGCGATTTTCTGAATCAACAATAGGGCGGCCAGGTCCTCTCGCTGGAGGTGTAACAGGAGTTGCAGGAGAGTCAGATTCATCTGACAAAACAGTTTCGTCAACTGGCAGTGTGGCAGACATGTCGGGTTCAGATTCGTTGTCTGCTTCATCTTGAGGTGGTGTAGTGAACAAAGGCCGCCTCACACCAGATGGTCCGGGAGTTGGCATGGCGTCAGCATTGGCAGGAGCTGTGTCATCATTTATGTCTGGAGCGTGCCGCAAGTGTTGAGATGATGATGATGTTTTAGGCCACTCCTCTGTGTCCCAGTGCAATAGGGCCCAGATTGCCACTTCGTGGAACTGTAGCAATGTTAGCTTTTTTCGATCAGTTGTGTTGTATTTGTACAAAACATAGGCATTATGCAATGCCATTTGCAGGAAATAAAAGGTAATCTTTTTGGTTCACTTGTGAGTTTTCCTGGTAAAATGGTAATATTTAACCATTTGATCGAAGTGGTCCACACCTTTCATGAACTTATTGTACTCGCAAATTGCAGTCGGTTTGTTCACTGTTACCTGTTGTATTCCACTTGTTCCGTCTCGGTTGCGAATTCGCTTCCTTCGCTGAACTCGCTGAGTGTCTGCATTGTGGATGTTGGTAATGATTGAAACCACTCGCTTGTCTTTCCACAGGAGAATGAAGGTATTATCTTTGCGGCGGTATACTGTGGTATCCAGTGGAAGTTTACCCTTGGCTAGAGCTTGCAATACCTTTGGGGCGCCACGTAGCATTCTAATTGTGCCACATGTGTACACCCCAAGTTCTCTCAATGTTTCTGTCAGGGTAACCGAGTTGTAGTAATTATCCATGTACAAATGGTAACCCTGGTTCACTAAAGGCTGCATCAACCCCGTTACTGTATCCACTATCGTCTTACCAATACCTGAGTATACGTCAAAGTCATATATGTACCCAGAGACAGATTCAGCAAGCATATAAAGTTTCACACCATACTTGTCTGGTTTGTTTGGATTGTACACTTTGAAGGATAGTCGGCCTCGCCATGCCATTGTACCCTCATCCAAACACAACTCTTTCTTGGGGATGTAAACTTGAGCAAACCTCTCTTTCAAGTAATCCATCACTGGCCTCACTTTTATCAACTTATCACGATTGTTCACGGGCACTGCATTGGTATTGAATGTGTGGAAAAACTGGTTTATATGCTGGAATCGTCTGGACGTCATGAACAAGCTGAAGAAACGAGCATGCCATGGCTTTGCTGTTTGCCAATACATCCTCATAGTTGGGAGCCTAATTATGCCCATCAATATGAACAGTCCTAGGAATCGCGCCATTTCACTCACCTTCACTGGGGTCCAAATATCTGATACATTTTCATTGGCCATCCGGAATAACAGCGAGGCGTACAAATTTGTTTCAACGGTAAAGAACTCAAGGAGGGCACGCGTGATGAACAATTGAATATAAGCCAGTGCACTAGTAGGCTTGGGAATTTTCAGTCCAGGATTTCCAGTAAAATCATCAACAACTGGAGAAGTATTGCTACGACTCCAGCCCTCACCAGCCCTAGCCTGCCGAGTACGTACTGTACGTGTATGCCTTTCAGCAGGCTCGAATGAATCCTCATCACTTTCCTCATCACTTATACTTTCAGAATCACTTGGCGCAATTTGTCGTGTGTTCCTACGACGAGTAACATGTCTGGTAGCTACTTTTCTAGGTAGCCTAGATGCACCACGTGTGCGCCGAGATGGAGGAGGAGGAGGGGGGTCGCGGTGCCTCCTCTTCCTCGGTGAGGGCCTCAGTCTCCTCATCACTCGTTGCCGTATCATTCCCTCTAGCTCTAGGTACACTATAATCGTTGTGGGTTCCAAAATCTTCCTCCAATACCTCTACATCACCTTCAGCTTCTGATAAATCCTCCACAAGGCCTGGAATTTTCGTTGGTGTGAGCTTCACTCCGCTCCACTTCTTAAAAATTTGGGTTATTTTGTCCACTCTCGATGACCTGGAGGCTTCCTTGGGCGTAGAAGTGCTTGGGCCTTGACCTTGATCCATTTTTGATGAAGTAATTGGGTATAATCCACACGGAAACGGGTAAAAATGCTCGAGTTTGGCGCGAGGGGAGCGTGATCGACTCACGACACGTGACACGAAAACAATGGGCCCGTCACGTGACCGGGTAGGCCGACGCGCCAGGCGGCCTAGTGGTGAGAAAGAGAACTTCATGGCGCATCGTTTGAAACAACCCCCAATGAAATCGGATTAAAATTGAATTTTATACAAATATTTTAAAAGAAGACATAACTTTATGTGCACTATGCACTTACGTTAGACGAAACCGGACGCGCCGGTGCGTCCAGATAGCGCGAAAGTGTTAAAATTAAAGGCTTTTGCAAAATCTGTGTAAATTGTACTAACTGTAAAACTGTGAAAACTTAACTGTGTTAATTGTGGGTTGCAAAAGATTAATTATTATACATTGTGTTTCAGAAGTAAGAGGAGTATTAACAACAAGAATTGGTCAGTATTAATGGCAGAATTGGAGGAAGGCATTGAGTTGCCACTGCCTGAAGAGGACAGTGGAGGGACAGAGATGCCTCTGGGTGCTACTCATGAAGAAGAAGAAAGTGAGGAAGATGTTGATCCAGACAACCCTCAGTGGCAGCTTTTCCTGGCTGCCAAGAATCTGTCTTCTCCTAATGGTAGGTTTAGGGTACTGCCCCTAAAGGCAGGTGTCAGGTGCTGCTTCTAATGGCAGGTGTTGGGTGCTGCTTCTGATGGCAGGTGTCTCGGGCGCTGCTTCTAATGGCAGGTGTCTCGGGCGCTGCTTCTAATGGCAGGTGTCGAGCGCTGCTCCTAATGGCAGGTGTCGAGCGCTGCTCCTAATGGCAGGTGTCGGGCGCTGCTCCTAATGGCAGGTGTCGGGCGCTGCTCCTAATGGCAGGTGTCGGGCGCTGCTCCTAATGGCAGGTGTCGGGCGCTGCTCCTAATGGCAGGTGTCGGGCGCTGCTCCTAATGGCAGGTGTCGGGCGCTGCTCCTAATGGCAGGTGTCGGGCGCTGCTCCTAGTGGCAGGTGTCGGGCGCTGCTCCTAGTGGCAGGTGTCGGGCGCTGCTCCTAGTGGCAGGTGTCGGGCGCTGCTCCTAGTGGCAGGTGTCGGGCGCTGCTCCTAGTGGCAGGTGTCGGGCGCTGCTCCTAGTGGCAGGTGTCGGGCGCTGCTCCTAGTGGCAGGTGTCGGGCGCTGCTCCTAGTGGCAGGTGTCGGGCGCTGCTCCTAGTGGCAGGTGTCGGGCGCTGCTCCTAGTGGCAGGTGTCGGGCGCTGCTCCTAGTGGCAGGTGTCGGGTGCTGCTCCTAGTGGCAGGTGTCGGGTGCTGCTCCTAGTGGCAGGTGTCGGGTGCTGCTCCTAGTGGCAGGTGTCGGGTGCTGCTCCTAGTGGCAGGTGTCGGGTGCTGCTCCTAGTGGCAGGTGTCGGGTGCTGCTCCTAGTGGCAGGTGTCGGGTGCTGCTCCTAGTGGCAGGTGTCGGGTGCTGCTCCTAGTGGCAGGTGTCGGGTGCTGCTCCTAATGGCAGGTGTCGGGAGCTGCTCCTAATGGCAGGTGTTGGGTGCTGCTGCTGATGGCAGGTGTCTCGGGCACTGCTTCTAATGGCAGGTGTCTCGGGCGCTGCTTCTAATGGCAGGTGTCTCGGGCGCTGCTTCTAATGGCAGGTGTCGGGAGCTGCTCCTAATGGCAGGTGTATTTCCATTCCCCCTTTGTTCCCATTTTTGTTGCCCTTCCCATCTTTCTTTCTCGCTTCCTTTGATTTTTCCTCCATCTTCCTCCTCCACCCCCCCCCCCATTCCTTTCCAATATGAAATTTGTAGAGTTCTCATAAATGTATAAATATGTATTTGCATATAACTACTACACCACATAGATTAATGTACTGTATATTAATCCTGTAAAGGAAACTTTGTTCCTCTGCTACAAGCTATGGTATTAACAATAAATTACTTCCAGGAATATTTTCATGTGAATGACCTAAAGTTGTCAAATAATGTGTGACTTATTGTTTGCTGTGACCATCATAAAGTGATAAGTGAAATAAAGAATATGCAGTACTTCTTTAAATAAATTAATGTACTTCTGTATCTTGTAAAAGAACTTGGACCACAAATTCAGTAATTTGCTATTTTCTTATTGTCAAATTTACTAATCAACAATTTTCTTATTGCCAGATCCCAACTACCAGCTAGTTGAGCCCTTCAAACGCCTGCCCAATAGACGGTGGCATGCTGACTACTACATAGAAATTAAGAACCCAATCTCCATGTCACAGATCAGGAAAAAAATAGTGGTATGTTTTCTCAAGTTGGAATAATAGATCAGATATTGTTTCCGATATCTGGCATTTAGTGTATTTTAATTTAGTTTCATTACTATGTTTATAACACTGTTGCTTTACAAAAGTCATTGCCCCATAGAAAACAAAATTTAGCCTCGGTTTCAGAGGTAGCTTGAAGTATTTCAGATGCTGCATGTGACTCATGCCTGAAAAATTCCTAGTTTTAGTTAAATGATCATTAAATTCTGGGGGCTGGTTTATGGGCAGGTGTACCCATCTCAAGGTATGGGGCAGTGCAACATCACATCAGGTTTTGTTTTTCACATCTATACCATTCCTGTGGTAATATTCCACCACCATGTTACTTTGCTACAGTCTCCCTGCCTGTAAGGATGTCAGTTAACATTGTTCAAGATGGTGTTTGTGTGTTTGAGCCCCTTATTATTGAGTTTTTTTGCTTGTACTTTATAATTGGGCTATCAGATGTATGGTTATTAATGTGTGGCTTGCAAAATAATGGAGTATTTTATGATGTATGCATATGTGTAAATTCTTTTGGCTTTAAATTGTGTAGGTTTGTGCATGGTATTAGTTGAGAGTTTTGTTGAGAGATATCAGAGAAGATTGCTAAAGGTCACTATGGACACAAGTAAAATAGTAGTGGTGGGGAGAGAGAGAGAGAGGAAAATTTATAAATGGTGCTTTTCTAGGTAGTGGTTGATCTCCTTAAGTGTCTAGATTCATTGTTTGACCAGATAGATTTGTTCATGTGTAATTGGAAGTAGATTAAATTGGGGAGGAATGTTGCTGGTATGGCCTGAGTGAGAAATTTAGATTAGCATCCATTTCTGCTGCTCAGTGATGTTCATTTTATGTTGAACTTGTTGGACTTTATTTAAATTATGCAGCTTGGTCTATTGTAGCATTCTATTGAATGATATAAATTCTATTGAACCTGTACACAGAAGGATGGTGTAGTTAATCTCAGGAGCCGGTCAGCCGAGCGGACAGCGCACTGGACTTGTGATCCCGTGATCCTGGGTTCGATCCCAGGCGCCGGCGAGAAACAATGGGCAGAGTTTCTTTCACCCTATGCCCCTGTTACCTAGCAGTAAAATAGGTACCTGGGTGTTAGTCAGCTGTCACGGGCTGCTTCCTGGGGGTGGAGGCCTGGTCGAGGACCGGGCTGCGGGGACACTAAAAGCCCCGAAATCATCTCGAGATAACCTCAAGAAGGAATTAAGAACCTGTCATATAAAGTGACAATAAGAATGTATAATTATCAGACTAGAAAAGAGAAGAATATGGGAAATGCTACTTAAGTATCTGCTCATCACCAAAATGGTGGTGAGCAGATACTGAAACAGTTGATTGAATGTGAACTGAACTTGATGAGTTATAATGAACATGATTAGGCAGGACCAGTTAGACATAGGGAATGAGCAAATTAAGTTTTATGTAACTCATAAGGAATGCTTTACACTTAAGAGTTGTGAAACAGTGAGGTACTGCTGTGGATGATTGCTGGGGTGTTATGGTGCTTGCTCCCTGTGAATATATACTGTATTGTGTAGAGCAGGCATGTCAAACTGAGGGTCCCCCGAGGGCCATATAGGTCACATTTGTGTTGTGAGAGCCACACATGACAACTAAATGAAGTCATTTAATAAAAATTATTGCAGAATATAGTATCCTTTGTATTACATAGTAATATACAGTAGTACTACAGTATCCTTTGTTCAGGGCCACGTGTGCTTGCAAATGGCCGCATGTGGCCTTTGGACCGCATGTTTGACATGCCTGGTGTAGAGGATGTACTGAATGTATGGATTTTTTTGTGTACGTTTTAACTGTTTCCCATAGGCCAATGCTTCCCTGTCATCACTGTGCAAATACATTCCTACCCCATGAAAGTGGAAATTGATGTTTATTAGTTTTTTTGTAAGATTTTGCTAGTAGGTGTGATGGCCAACAAATAGACTAAGATGTAGTAGTAAAAGTAATGATGTAGATGGTGTTTATTGATGCAAGGGGAAATCCTTAACTTTACTAGCTGTTGTAATATCCCTTTATTCAGTTATTAATGAATTGATATAAATTTGTCAAAAGTACTAGGGCACCAATAAATTTGGTAATACCATCTGCAAGGAAATTTGCAGATGACTCCTAATTTAGTCTTGCTTTTAATTTGCTTTTAATTTTTCATCATGAGTCTGCCATGTGACTGATGTGTAATTGTAGTAGGGATACTCCTTGTGATTCCCCTCAGAAATAGACTTTGTGTCTAGTGTAAATGTATGCAGCTAGATAATCATATAAAATGAGAGCCACATGGGTTGTTAAATTATTTAAAGTAAAATAATAGATCTGATCATAACTTGTAATTCACAGAAGGGAGAATACCGCTTCATATCTGAGATGTTAGATGACTTCAACCTGATGTTTGACAATGCTCAGCAGTACAATCGGCCTGATTCAAGAATATACCGTGATGCTGTGAAGCTGCAAAAATATATACAGAATAAAGCTGAAGAGATAATAGCAGTGGATGAAGAGGTAAGGATTACCATTTGAGTAAATTGTGTTTACAAGAGACTTGAGAGATGAGTTGAAGAAAGTGCAAGTCATTATTGGTCAGGCGGAGTGATTTTTTTCTATGGAGGCTTCCACAAATTTGTGTGAGAGCTGCGAGGCAGTGGAAATGAAGACTGGGAAGGAGATAAGAGCTGAAGTATGAGACAAACCCAGTTAATCAATGTTTGGGATGTTTAGGACGTACTTCGTGCAAGAGTTTTGGACCCTAATTCTTTGTCACACCTTAAGTTTTTACTTGAAAACCTCGCTTCAATATTATATTTACCTCTTGAAATTACTCGCTCATTCTTTTTACAAATTAAATTATCGTTTAAAATTACTGTTTGCATTTTATTCCTTTACTAAATAGGATGTAAAGTTCTCTGAAAGAGAGCAAATAGTAAACAGTACCAGGCACTGAATTTGCTATTTGTTTTGTATCCTGTGGAGGAGCAATTTATATCATAGCATCAAAATTCTGTCTTATCTTGTCTGTTAATAATTTTAGAGCTTAGCTTGGGTTGAAATCATTTAGTAAGAATGGTGTGGAAAATGTATTGGTTGTAGTCAAGGTCATCACACCATTGCCAACTGTGTTCTCTCTTAAAGACTCGCTATATTCCTGCAACTTCAACACGAATATTTTGACTGAATTTATGCAAGCATTTTTTTTCAATTACAATGGTACCTCCCATTTTTTAATTTAATCCTTTCCCAGAGATAGTTCGAAAGTTGAAAATTCCTTGAAATTTGAAAATGAAATTTTTTTCATAAGAAATAATGTAAATTTCATTAATCCATTCCACACCCACAAAATTATTAACTTAAAAATACATTTTATACATACTACTACTAATATTTTGTACTACAGTATATACAAGTACATCTTACCTTTATTGAGGACTTGTTTATGTATGGAAGACAGTGAAGGGGGGGTAGGAGGAGAGGTGTTAATGTTTGGAAGGGAAGTCCCTTCCATTATAACAGCAGTGATGACATTTCTGGGAGTATTCTCTTATGTTTTGCAGGCATACCACTAGGACCTGGTTGTGGCTCACTGCTTGCTTGTCTTACTAAGGATCTGTCTATAGACACTTGTTTTTCCCAACGTTTTAACACTTGTCTGTAGTGAGACATCACATTGTCTCACTATGAATCATCTCTCCGTTTTTCCTCTATTGTCATCCTCACAACTATTTTCTTAGATTGAACTTTACTGCTGACTTTCTTGGAACCCATGAGTGATGTATAATAGAACTTTCATGTTCAGAAACCAAAAAAGCACAAAAACAATGAAATTCTTCACAAAGAATTATAGGCAGTCATTACTGGGTGGGAGACACTGCTAAACTGAAGCGCACCACGCACTTGGTTGGCTCATACGTATATCAGCAAACTCGAGCACCGAGTTTGATATTATCATGGCTAAATAATACCAGTTACATATATATTTTGAAATTTTTAGGCGATGCTGTGGCCACAAACTGAACAGCAGTGCTGTTAGCTAATGCTGCATGCACCAGCCTTGGTTGCTCACTTAGTACAGAGGCTTTTACACCCAGGAATATTACCCACAATTTTTTTTTTTAATGGCGTCTATTTACTAGAACCCTGAGGAAGCTAATCTGAATCCCATGTAACCGCGGACTTTTAAACCTTACGCAGTACTCCCAATCATTCATAGCTGTGGTGCGCTGTCCCGCAATAGTTACTCATCCCAGCTATAAATGTTATTGCACTCTTTAAGGGGTTAAAATATAGTAATGTGGTTGGTCAAAGATATGAAGACTTCCCCTTACCCTAGTCAGACACCAACCATTTAACGAAATGCCAGCACAAACATTTTTCCTCATTTGTTGCCAAGAACATTTTTAATCTGACTTCTATTTGGGCATTTTATTATTATAATTACATAAATATAGAACTCTCAAAAATGTGTACATATCAAAACAAGAAAATAACCTTTCATGACCTTGCATTATTTGTGTGCAGTAGTCTAGATGGTGGTAGGCAGCTACCTGACACCAGCCCTCGGACACATTTGAAAGAATTTTATCAGTGTCAGAATAGTGCACAATGGAATACAGTGAGAAGTTAAGTGGCAAGAGGCAAACTGCATACACAACTTGAAATGTAGATAAAACAAGAGTCCAATAGTTTGTTAAACCTATGCACCAGTCTATTAAGAGTTGTAGCTCATTACACACAAGTACAATTAGTAAGTACATAATATTACTTGTACTACACCACTTTCTCACTATTCTATGTGGTATTGTACTCGCTTAATTGTAATGACACAACGAAACTTTTTCTTCTATATTAGCATCATTAGCCTCTATACAGTATAGATGTTAGCATGTACCGGCTTAACAGATGGCTTTAATAGGGATCCTCCCTTTCGCCTCAGTATCTTCCCTCAGCTTACTGCATTGGCTGAGAAAGACCAGACTAGCTGTGCAAGGCACCTGTGAGTGTGTCCATAAAAGACTTGGTCGCTTGTAAATCTCACTTTCTCTCTTCCTGGGGTGGTTAGAACCTGGGGCTCAGTACCAACCTAGTACTGAGTCTGCTGCCTGCTCCCAAAATCAAAGCAATAGAGTAAAATAGGTCTACCTCCTTCGTAGCACACGTAACTACACTACAAAAAGAAAAAAACACTGTAGTAAAAGAACACAATGAAGTAGCTGTCACAATTGCAAGAAAAATCATAGGCTGGTTAACAAAAATCTTTCAAATGAAAGCTGTGAAACCAGAGATAGTATTTTTTTTAACAACATTATTCCTGTCCAGTATAGGGTAGAATATTGTTGCACACTAATAGCCTTATTCAAAGCTGGAGAAGTTAGTAACCTGAAGAACATGCTGGAAAGTTTACTGTCAAAGTCCATTCAATGAAATGTCTTTATTATTAGGACTTAATCAATCAATAAAATTGTGCTCCTTGGAGTGCAGGTCAGAGATTTTTCATAATTTACACCTTGAACATATTTAGAGGGACTGGTTCCAAATCTGTACTCTGAAGCAATTAATTCCTTATGAGACCAGAAGTGCATTGTACACACTTATGGGCAAGTGTGTGCAATGGCTCCATTTTAAAGTAGGGGTACAGTAGGTACTCTTAAGAAATAATTTTGAATAAAGGGCTCAAGTCTTTTTAACACCATTTCCCTAAACATAAGGGAAGTTTGAGAGTTTACACAGCTTAGGGGTGGAAGTCTGTCCTGTGTTCCAAAATGGCATGCACCCTTTCCTAGCATATTCCAGCAGTTCTTCAACCAGTCAAAGCAGATTTCATGCTTGTTTAATAATTACCTTGTTGAAATGTATAAAATTTGATTAAAATTAGTTTTGCACTCGTGTTAAAAACTAATATTGTCCTCCAGGATTCAGACAGCTATAGTGATGACGATGATTCGCAGTCCCACAGCAGGCGTCGTCTGGGTCGTCCTTCCAGACCTTTAACATTTAAAAGGCGAGCAAAGATCCTGTTTAAGACCCTTATGGACTACATGACAGAAGATGGCCGACAGCCTATTGTTGCCTTTATTGAAAAACCAGCCAAGAGGGATTACCCAGACTATTATGAGGTATTGTAGTCTCTGATTACAAATTTGTGTGTTACATTACACTATTGTAAGTCTCGAGGTCTATTAAATGTTCAATATTTAATGGGTTAAAAAGCCTGATTTTTATATGCTGAGCATTGGCAACAGACACTCTTGGTTACTAAGCCTAAAGCCACTAGTATGCACAGCATTTCGGGCAAGGCCCCCAGCGATCATGGGTGTGTGAAGATAATTTTTTTGCATTATATTGTTTCTATTTTTTCTGGAGGAGCTTGTGGTGGCTTCCTGAAACTATCTCGCTGAGATGGCATTTCCCTGCTTAGTCACATCAACAATGCCTGACTTGCCGGTCACAATCTAGAACTTGAGCCCCTCTCTGAGGCACAAGGAGTTGAGGATTTTTATGATCACCCACACAGTGATTTACTCAAAACTAGCTAGAGGCTTCTGCTCCCACCAATGAGTCAGTCCTGTCTCTGATGTCTAAGGAATCTCTGATGTCCAGTACAATCCAATTGGTCTGGCACTTCTTGCATGACCTTGTCCTGTTGTTTCTTGAATACATTCACAGTTGTTTTGGCAATATTTCTTATGCTGCTAAGGTATTGAATAGCCTTGGACCTCTTGATGTTCAATTGTTCATGCAGTCTGTTTCTGATTGTGTCTATAGTACCTCTACTCATCACTGGTTCTATTCTGCATTTTTTATGTTGTTTACTTCAGTATGTTATTTTATGGTGCAAATTTGGGATCTGGCCTTACAGTATCATCAGTGTACAGTGTATGCATTATGCATTACCTCTCGTCTACTTTTTTAGCAAGTACATTTTAAAAACTTTGAGTACTGCACACAGAAATCACAACAGCGTGATGCATCAAATGAACAAATCCACAAGCGCCGTGATGAGGGTTCGAGCCTACGTCCGAGAGAATCCCAGACGCTGCCTTAATCTACTGAGCTACGACATGGTTGTCATAGACTGAGGTTGTCGACTGAGCTACAACCATGTCGTAGCTCAGTCGATTAAGGCAGCGTCTGGGATTCTCTCGGACGTAGGTGAGTGCTGGTTCAAATAATTTTGATACTTTGTCTTATGTGTGTGTTGTCGACGAATTTCAATTTTGGCTGGGCGTCTTGTCTTGTAATGAGGCTTTTTCAGAGATGACCACTTTGATGGAGTGGTTGTTTTGTATTTGTTGTTTGTGACTTAGTGCTACTGTGGATGCCCCTCTGTTTTTTTTTTTTTTTTTTTTTTAATCAGATTTTTGGAGAAGTTAATTTTGCATGCAGTTAGGGTACACATTCAGTTGGAGGGGGTTAGAGGAAATGATTCAAGGACTGCCTCAAGGTGACCTTCAGTGATCTGGACATCAATTCTGGTACCTGCGAGTCACTTGCTCAGGGCCACCCAGCTTGGTGAAGCAAAGTCATCACAGTGGCCTGTGACAGAGAATAGATGGACTACAGAGTTCCAGGAGGAAACGCACTGCATGCAAAGCTAAAGAAACTTCCACCACTACAGCAGCACCCACTCACACGTTTTATGTGTGGGTGAACCTTCTGGACTCAGATTGGCCTCGCCTTCCATCTTCTGACACAGAGCCACCGATCTTCGACCTGATATTGAAATCATGGTCATGTTCGAGTCCAAAGGACTATCATCATCAAGTTTGCTCCTCAGTTTTTCTTCCAGCACTTTTGATGTAGTGCATTGAACCTCTTGTCCCACTTTGCTCTTGGCTTAGAAGCATCAGATCTTTTCAGTTAGGGGCTGATGTTGCACTAGGTGTAGCTGGGCTTTCTCTGGGAGTTGCTCCTATGTTGGCAGCAGAAATAAGTGAGCTTATGATTCCCACTGAGGATCCACTGCCTTTTGTTTCTTGGGTTAATATTGACATACATCCTTTTTCATTGGAGGGACTCCCTTCTGTCTACACTGATGACTTGTGCATAACATAGCTCTGCCCTGGGGTCTTTTTCTTGGTGGGGCCACTGGGGCTGAGAAGGAGTATCCATTGGTGCCCTTCAACATGTCTTAGTCTCTGGTGCCCTCTGAGAAGGCTTTTTTCTCTGGGTAGAGGATCTTGTGTTATCCTCTGTTGATGTTTGAACTGAATTCTTAGGCTGCTCCCCTCTGTATATGATTCTGGGCTCCATCAGATCCTCATGCATTGTATTTGTGGAGGTTTCCGATTTCTAATCTTTTGCCCTCGTCAGTGTGGGTAAATTGTTTTGGATCCTCCCTCGAGATCATGCCCTTATTGCCCTGATGGTTTCGGCTTCCTTTGAGTTTGTCTGCCATGGCACTTTGGATGACTTTTTTAGGTGTTGGATTGCATAGTTTTGTGCTCTTTTCCTGAAGTGCAGCTTCTGTTCTTTTGACCCTGGTGGGTGGGTACTTCATCTGTAGTCTTCTTCTTTTCTGGCTGAGAGTGAGATGGCTGTCTCCCAGGGTGCATCATTTGTTGTGTCCGGATGCGGCTGTCCATTGTTGTTTGGATGCCACTTGGGGTGCTCCAGTTGACATGTTTGTGTACCTGGTGTTCTTGGTCCTTTTTTATATGCCCATTTGCCTCGTGTTGCCAGCAGGGTGTCATAAAGTTCAGCCAGCCTGCATTCTACTCCCCTCGGCCCCATGATCTGCTAAAGCTTTGTCCAATATGTTTGTGAATATGTCATGGACTGATAGTCAGGCTCTTGGGTTAAGGCATTCAAAAAGTTTTGGTGACTCGTTACCTAGCTAATGTGTTGGCACTGTACCATCACAGATTCCTCCTCTTGTGCTCTTGTGGGGGTTCTGACTTCTGCTCTCCTTGGCCCCTGGTGAGTTCCCCCTTTTTTGCTTCGTTCTCTGTGGTGAGATGGCAATAAAGAGCCAGCAGAGCCCTCACAGTAAGTCGTCATTGAATGTAATGAAATGTATCTTTCTGGTGGTTCCTCGGGGGCTCCCTGGACCCACCCTTCCCTTTTTCAGACTTGTCAATTGTTGTTGGCATGTTGGCTCATTACCGAGTGGATCCAAATGACTAATGCTAGAGCTTCATTGTGTTGCCACTTGGTGGTGGTTACTTGCTATTAGTGAGTAAACAATTTAACTATTGGGTGTCTTTTTTTCTGAATTGTTTAGCTGTGTTTTGCTGTTGCCTGTTTTGTATTGCTTCAGCTTTCTGGTAGAATATTTCTTTGTTAGGGTGATCATGAATTACCTGCTTTTTGTGCCTGGAGGTGGGGAGGTAAAAGCCTACTGAAGACAGGTTTAGCCTCCTGTCTTCAGTAGGCTTTTAATGACTCGCAAGAACCTTGTGTGACTTGGTATGTTTTTAGCTAATAGTGTGGTTAGTAACAGGGAGCCACCGAGGACCCACCAGAAATAGATGTTTCGTTACATTCACCACAGGTTTTACCATATTTTATTTTGATTTATTAGACTAATGTAGGTGGGTATTACGTTGTCACTTGTAACATAATCAGACATATCATCACTGATATCGCAAACCATTTTATTTAATAGAAAAAGAATACAGGGTAAATGTAGTTATGGTGTGTTAACCAGTGAAAGCTCTAAGATGGGGACTATCTCTTTGTGATTTTTTATACTTGAAGTATGACATATTTCGGGAAATTTCGTGTAGATTTCTGAATAATAACGTATCTTATGTCAAAGGAGGAATGGGCTAATATATAGGCCTTTTGGTAACAACACTGAGAAGCCTTTACATGCAGGTTTTGGCATTCAATCATTATCAGAGTAATAATTGCAGAGTCTGTTGTCATTGCAAGTTACATGAATATAAATTTAGTGCATAAATAAGAAAAGATAAAAATAACTTTTCATCAGCAACTTGCAAAGTTGGAAGGAATATCCTCTTAATGAACAAATTAGTGTGAAAAATTGAGGAAAGTTACCTTGGTACTATCATTCAGGTGATAACTCAGCCTATAGATATGGAGACCATCGAAGGCAAGATCAAGGGCGACAGGTATGCCAGCGAGGACGAGCTCATCACAGACTTCAAACTCATGTTCCGCAACTGCCAAAAATACAATGAAGAGGGCTCGGTCATATATACTGACGCAACTATTCTGGAAAAGGTGAGTGCACTGTGCCTTGAGTTAACGTTAACCCCCCCCCCCCCAGTTTTAACACCAAAGTTCTTTTGTCCATGATGAACACATTATATAGTCTGTGCTTATTTATGAACTTACCTTTGGTTACCTACAAGGAGGCAGGATGTGCTTCTTGGATGCCACTCCTAGTTATTGGTGCCTGCTGCTTTTAATTTTCAGTGATTTTAGCTCACTATTTTATTGCTACCGGAACTGGAGAGATGTGGCATCCACAACTTCTTGCTGTGCACTCCACTTATCACCCTGCATACAATTATTTTCGTATTTGCCCGTCTCTTATTCATTACTGTGCAAATTTCCACTGGTCATATGCTATAATTTATTAGGTTGGGCTCTATTGGATTCATAACTTTATTTCCTTACTTCAGGCACCGTTTCCTGATTTAAACCTGTGGACTCTCTTATTCGTCACAAAATGAGGATATTATTTTAATGTTTTATTTTCCATATCTGATTTGATGTAGACTTTGTTTACCTAAGTACAGGACCTTTCCTAATTATAATACCTTGAAATGGTCTGTATTTTTTAGAAAGTGGGGTCCATGGACCAAGCCCTTGAAGGATCTGGCTAGCTACTTTTCTCCATTTCAAAACAATTTCTTTGATTCTGACTCTCATGTTCTCTTTCTTGTAAGTGCTTTTACACAGTCCAGTATACGTCCAGTTATTCCAACTTTCCCTTCCATCTTGTACACAAGTCTTTTGTTAGGAATGATATCAAAGGAGGTCCCCTTCTTTGAATATCTGTACTATGATCGACATTTCTTAGATACCTAGGAGTTATCCAGATATATATCTCTGTAGTTTCCTTCAATGGGTGTATCGTGTCTGGCTTTATCTCCTGAGGAATGCCCCTCTTGGTTGCTTCCTGAGCCAGAAATTGCATCTGTCCAGGACACTTACATTCCAATCAGACTGTGTTAATTTGTGCCCCACGGTGAGAACGATATTTTCAAATGATCTTGCCACCCAGTTTGGGGATATTGACATAATAGGTAAAGTTGAATTCACAGCAAATGTCTGTAAACACTCATCATTTCTCTGGCGTAGAACCTTACATTTTTCGGCATTAAACTACATTTGTCACATCTTTTGCTCATTTTAAAAATTGATCAAAGTTGTCCTGTAGCAGTCTTGAGTCTTTATCTGAATTTATTTCTTGCCCAATTTTAAAGTCATGGAAATATGCAAAAATTTATATTTAATCCTATGTCTAAGTTGTTATAATGTATATTGGATAAATAATAGAGGTGCCAGTTTTCTATTTTGACTTGACTGTGTTTATACTGACCCTCTATTTCCCTCTGTTTTGAAATAACAATGCCCTAGTCAATTTGATATTCCCTCCACTACCATACTTCAAATATGCAGGAAAAGAATTGGAGTAAATTTGTTAAAATACTGAAAAGAATTTTAGTAAAACTATACTATTAATTACATAATTTATCTGAATGTGTTCGATTAGCATTTTCAGTTATGAATTCAAGCAATTTTCTTGTAACAAATGTCAGACTTATTTGCTGATAACTCAGTACACATGATTCTATTTTTCCCTGCTAAACATTGGTACCGTATTTACCATATTTCATAATTCTGGTACTCTACTTCACTAATGATTTATTAAATATACAAACCAATGGTTTACAATTAAGTTGTTGACCTATTAAGCCATGGGGTGTAAATGCCTTATAAATACTTATATTAGCTTATCATTAGGCTTTGGTGATTTATTAGCTACTGTATTGTATTGTATGAATTATTAATTTATTTGTCTATTAAAGGTATTGATAGAGAAGATCAAAGAGCTCAACCAAGGTGATGGAAGCATAGTTAAAGGGAAGGTGTACAAACGAAACAAATTCACTTCGTATGTCTGTAGTTCTAAACCCACTATCAAAACTCTGTACAATGCTGTTCGTGATTATCGGGATGCTGAAGGACGACAACTGTCGGAAGTCTTCCTGAAGCTCCCATCGAAGGCTCTGTACCCAGATTATTACGAGGTTAGTTTTTGGTGTGGTGGAGTTGGTTAAAATTCTTTTATGGCAATATGTTTGAGTTGTGAATGGAAAAATTGCTATAATTTTTTAGAAATTAAGTATTACTGTACTGCTTTTCTGTGGGGAGCCCCTCCGGCTTCCCGGAGTTTACCAGGCTGATAGGTGTGTATTAGACTGTGGCAACAGTCATGTGTATGGAGTTTATGCCTACTGGGAACCACATGCCCAAACCTGGCCACCTCAAAGAGGCACGAGGAGCAATGGCCTATAGAAACCCCTATGTGGTTGGAAGTATTCCATGTCTACCATCGACCGGGTCAGGCACCCAGAAAGGTAAGCATCCAAAAACAAACCCCTATTCTAGTGAAAATATTGCTACCAAAAGCCACCGAACAAGTGGATAGAACTCCACTATAAGAAAGCAAGCAAATGAGCATGACATCACATGTCGCCGCGTCGCTGTCTTCGCAGCTTCCCCCACTCCCCGGGAGAAGGAAGTGGGAGCCCTAGACCCCCTACACCGGCTATCCACCCATCAGTTCTGAGGCTGGATGTCAAAATAGGCGAAAAACTGCCAACCAAAGGGAGGGAGGGATGCCGGGAAGCTTCCAGGTCTCATCCCAAAAATGGCATTTCATTACATTCAACGCTGGTTTTCTGGGGCGAGCCCCTTCGGCTACCCGGAGCAAACTTCCCACAGAGAAAAAACAGGGACTTACTTGGGAGGCGGTCGCTGCTCACTCCTCAACTCAAAGTCAAAACAACTGGCTGCAGCTTCTGACCCAAGGCGACACAGGCCTGACTAGGCCCAGGAACGTTCACTAGGTAACAATCAGCCAGGACCCTGTTCAACCGCCAAAAGCCCCGTGCCTGAATGTCCCCCTATTGCATGTTGCCAAAGACGGCAGCAAGAGCAGCGAAATACGTACGTCATGGACACGGGGATAGACCGCAGGCTGGCTAGTCTTAACTCTGTGGACAACTTGGGAGACCCACACCTGCAAACAGGGAAGAAGGGAAACCGGAGCAACCCAAAATGCATCCCTGGACACAGAAGCCGTGGCACGCAAATAACGGCGAAGAGCCACAACCGGACATAAAATATGATGCACCTCCGGCCTGACCAACCAAGCATCAACAACCCTATAACCTGCAACATGCATCATACACCACTTAGCTACAGTATTACAATTACACTTATTTCACTTGGATAAAATTACACTTGGATAATTACCAGGATGAATACCACACAGTTAGTTATGTGGTATTCACACAGTTAGCAAACAAGTTGAACTGTTTAGTGGTTACCAAGAATAAAATTATTAAGTGGATACGAAATTAAAGTCCAGCATGTCCACAGTACCAGACAAAATCTTTGCCAGTCTTTTAAGAATGTAAAATTTAACGATATCTTGACTTTCATAGTTAATAATAAATACTTTAGCAGAGTTCCAGCGTCGACCTATAACCTGCAACATGCGGTCATTGTTATTTGTTAATATCCTGGCCACTATGGTTGTCATTTGCTGATTTTCATTATTGCTGTTCTGCTTTTATGCAATTTAAAATGTTTTTGATACACATACAGTATTCAGATGTATGAACAAGTTCTGCTATTGTTTTATTATTACATATTATGCAATGAAGTTATCATGTACTAAGGACCTGCAGTTATCTTCAAATCACAATTTGGTGCTTTCCCTCAGTGTTTCAATCCATGCCTGAGCAACATTTCCAGATAGAACAGCAGCAAATGAGAGGGCTGCAAAACACTTCCTCTTAACTGTACCAGGAAGAGATTTATGTGCAATGTGTTCACATTAGGTTGCAGACCTATATGCAGAACTCGATCCCTATTTTTCAAAAAATGTGTTCATATATTGAGTTATTCAACACAAACACTACAGTGTGTGTAATTACCTAAGTGTAATTACCTAAGTGTAGTTACAGGATGAGAGCTACGCTCGTGGTGTCCCGTCTTCCCAGCACTCTTTGTCATATAACGCTTTGAAACTACTGACGGTCTTGGCCTCCACCACCTTCTCCCCTAACTTGTTCCAACCGTCTACCACTCTGTTTGCGAAAGGGAATTTTCTTATATTTCTTCGGCATCTGTGTTTAGCTAGTTTATATCTATGACCTCTTGTTCTTAAAGTTTCAGGTCTCAGGAAATCTTCCCTATCGATTTTATCAATTCCTGTTACTATTTTGTATGTAGTGATCATATCACCTCTTTTTCTTCTGTCTTCTAGTTTTGGCATATTTAATGCCTCTAACCTCTCCTCGTAGCTCTTGCCCTTCATTTCTGGGAGCCACTTAGTTGCATGTCTTTGCACCTTTTCCAGTTTGTTGATGTGCTTCTTAAGATATGGTCACCACACAACTGCTGCATATTCTAGCTTTGGCCTAACAAAAGTCGTGAACCATTTCTTTAGTATATTGTGCGTGTGTGTGTGTGTGTGTGTGTGTGTGTGTGTGTGTGTGTGTGTGTGTGTGTGTGTGTGTGTGTGTGTGTGTGTGTGTGTGTGTAAACTAATAACATTTAAGTGAAACAGTGAACATTAAAAGAACCAAGGTGAGCACAGGAGCTAATGTCCCTCCTGTACCAATATGTCGGAAGCTCTCACATGACACCACCAACCAGCTTCTTTTACAGCTCATGAAAGCAGATGGTTTTTATTTTTGTTTGGTACACAGCCCAATTGGTAATTTTTAGGATTAATCCCTAAGGCCCAACATTGAATAAAGCTCATTCAGGGATTGTTTATGAAGCTTTGTTTGAGGTTGTATTAGATAAACCACATACAGGGCAGCTTATTGATTTAAGATTTTGTCTATATTATTTCAGGTCATAAAGCAGCCAATTGATCTTGACCGAATTAATCACAAATGGAAGAATGGAGCCTACATCACTCTTGATGACATCATGGCCGACCTGACGCTCATGTTCCAGAATGCATGTCGATATAATGAACCAGATTCTCAAATATACCGTGATGCACTTACTCTGCAGCGCCAGGCCCTGGAGGTACGGGGAAGTTGCCAGCTTTTCAGCACACAGAACAAAACTGACATATTGGTAATGGGAAAACGCATCAGTGTTGTGTGAAAGTTGATATGATGTCCCAGGTGGATTTTTACTAGATTACGAGTTCATGTATATTTTCATATCATTGTTTTTTGTTAATTTTTTCTAATAGCACGCACACTTTGTATCAAGGGCTATCATCAGCGAGTCCCTTTTTTTTTATAAATAAATGCATTGAATTAAATGGTTAGGTTTTAGTTAATTGCATGTTCTAATGTGTATGTAGTTCATATATGGTTGTTCCCTAAGATAAGATCCTCTATGTCCTTCTGGACAAGGACTGTGGCAGGCTGATAGGTGATACACTGCATCTGCACACAAGAAATGTTTAAAATGATCATTGCAGGGTTATAAAAGATGTTAATGGGTCGCCGAAAAGAAAGCCTAATACTGTCCAGGTTGAAAAGCAAAAAGTACATTTTGTATAAACTCAAACCTGTGTTGGAGTATTCGCTACAAAATCTCTTAAGACCTAAAATGCTGAACACGACCTTTACTGCCCTCTGTCCGACTAAGAACTTAGTAACCCAAACCACCAACAGATAACAAAGCTTCACTTGTGACATAATCCTTGGGCCACACAGAGCTCACATTATTTCATATTGTGCTTGTGATATGTTGAAAGACTAGGACCAAAGCTAAGTAAACTTGTTCATCTATTGAATTATAGTTCATTTGTGCAAGTGGTTTATGTGATTCATAAGTAAAGTACAACCTTGATTCAACGCACTATATGGGGCCAACCCCGGTGCGTTGGATTCGTTGCAAGAGCTGACTTTCAAGAGGCATTTGCGTCAGTGTCTATTTTTCTTGTAAACAATAAAAATGTATTATATTATATACTGTACCTATATATTACTACTCTATTAAAAAATACTGTGTTACAGTTGTTGTTTACCTTATTGTTGGAGTTATGTCCATCTTGAATTCTGGTGGAGTTTTGAATGCTGTACAGTAAATACGTAATGTACTGTATTATGCCGTTAGCACTGTATTGATAAGTAGTTCTGCTGTATGTTGAGTACTGCAATACAGTGGTACCTCGGAATGCGATTGTCCCTGTATGCGAGGTTTTCGGAAGGCGAGGTGTATTTACTCCAAAAATTTGTTTCGGAAGGCGATGGTTACTTCGGGAGGCGAGTTTGGACGCGAGTTTGTTGATACGCGTACAGCCGACCTAGCGCATTCGTCGCCCCTCCGCCCCCCGCCCCGCCGCCCCTCAGTTTATTATTGTCTCGCGCTCAGTGACTACCCCCACATCAATTCTTCTCGCGGATTTTCAGTGTTTTGTTTGATTTTTGGTGATTTGTCTATACAATTTGTTATTATATATCTCACCATGGGTCCCAAGAAAGCCAGTGGTAAGGATAAAGGCCAGAAAGCTCATGTGAGGATGACAATAGAGGAGAAACAAGAGATCATTCGGAAGCATGAGAACGGTACACGTGTTGTTGAACTTTGTAGGCAGTACAACAAAGCCACATCAACAATATGCATTATACTTAAGAAGAAAAATAAGATTATGGGTGCTAAAGTGGCAAAAGGAGTAAGAACATTAATGGCACAAAGACCACAAATACTTGAAGAAGTGGAAAAGTTGTTATTAATTTGGATACACGACAAGGAGTTGAGGGGTGATAGTGTTTCGGAGGCCATTATTTGTGAGAAAGCCAGGGTGTTGCACGAAGACCTTCTAAAGAATACCCCTGCAACGAGTGATGCAGATAAGAAAGAGTTTAAGGCAAGCAGGGGCTGGTTTGAAAAATTTAGAAAGAGAAGTGGTATCCATAGTGTTAAAAGGCATGGGGTTATGTGATGTGATTATGGAAGGGGACTCCCCTTCCAAACAGTAACTCCTCTCCTCCTCCCCCCTCCTCACCATCTTCCATACGCCTACAGCACTCGACAGCAAGGTAAGTAATAACTGGAACACAGTTTTGTAGGTTTATTTAGATGAATTAGGTAAATTAGGTATAAAAATTTAGTTTGATGTGGGGTTTTTGGGGTAGTCAGGAACGGATTAATTCATTTCCCTTTATTTCTTATGGGGAAATTAACTTCGAAATGCGAGTTTTCGGAAGGCGAGGCGTCTCCAGGAACGGATTAAACTCTTATTCTGAGGTATGCCTGTGCAGTTTATGAAAACTATTTTACACTAAAATTACTGTACTGCAACCTTGATTTGAACACTTAACATTATGCACTTAAATGTGACACTTATTCTAACTGTACACTCCACACACGATGTTCTTAGATGTTTGCTTGGTGCTCGCTGCTGCTGTGTTGGCTTCAGCTGCCTCTGAGCCGAGTAAACATCCCTCCCACCGGTCGCCGTTTTTTTCGCATTTGTTGCCGCTTAGCTTCTGAACTGGAGTGCTATGCAGCTGGCCCTCCCCTCCCCCTCTCGGGGAGGGGAGGGCTGCGCAAACGAGCAGCGCGGCAGCAGTGTGTTACATTTGCTTGTTTGCTTGTTTTTGTCTTCAGCAGTCACCTTCCTCTTCATTATGAATGTGACACCTTGATATATGTAGAGGTCTTTTGGATCATGGTTTGCTTGACCAGTGGTGTTCCCCCTTGGGTTACTGGATTCTCCATTTCTCTTTCCTCTTATAGGCTCTGCATTTCCTTGTGCTCCATGGAGTGATATCTTCAGTAAACCCTCCCAGAAATCTAGTTTTAAATGTAATAAAATTCCTTTTTCTTGTGGGTCCTATGAGTGGATTTCTGTTACCACTCTTCACTTGGAGGTTTTCGGGTGATGTCTTGGGGCACCACATGACTCAGGTGGTCAGCTGGCTTGTTTTGCTCCAAGGCTCATGTATTTCAACTCTTGCAATAACTGGTTATGATAAGATAGCTGCAAACATATCCTCTAGTCCATAATGTTTGAAAGTTGGCCTTCTTTTTGGCAACTTTATGTGCCAAGATTTGTGCCTGATGTTTTTAGAAGACTTACCATGTTTATGTTGGACATTATTTGCTTCATGTTCCACTGCAGTGACAGTGTTTGGCCTAAGGTCACTTGTCATTCTGTTAGTCTTTTGTCTACTGCTGACTTCCTAACATCTCTGCTGCCTTCAACCGAGTCCCCCTGTATGTTTTTCTTGTCTCATATAGAAGTCTTGCCTCCTAAGGGGTAATTGAATGAGAACAGCTACAAATAGAGCTTTGAGTTGATTGAAGATATCTTTCCAAGCTTAAGCTAGTTAGTTGCTCCTGGTTCCCTTCTGTTCTCAGCATCTTGGGAGTAGTCATGGATTTTTATTTACATGTACCTGTTTTTATTATTCTGTGTTTAATTAAACTTATCTCTAGTGCCACTGTATCATTAATGATCATGCAGAGACCATTTGATAAGCTCCCTGTGAGACCAATGTTGAGATTATTACCAGTCATAACCTTATCCAAAGAACACATTGCTATTTACTTTGAGCAGAAATCAACTGCCTTATGCCCAGAAAGAGGCTTTACTTATTTATGTTAAGCTACATTTTGTCTCTGAAAGGAATTTTTGTATTTTTGCTCTAATCCCTAATTCATTGTGCAAAAATCTAATTCTTGTGCAGTATTTAATTATTCCTCCTCTTGCTTGATCAACACATTAATTCATCAGTATAATTCAATAGTTTGACATCCTCAGTAGGGATTACAGGAAAAGGCCTTCGTGCAATTTATGTATAGTATAGTGATGCAAATAAAGTCCCTATTTTTATTGGACCATATGACTCTCCTGGAGACATTTTAGAACCATTTAAACCTGGCCAGAGGGAGCGGGCAAGACCTCGGTCAATATTGTGAATGGTATTACGAGCAGATGCACCAAAATTTCTACAAATGCACTGATGCCAGGAAATAATCCTAATATTATTATGTTATTAGTTGCTAATGATACCCTAGGAAATTTGGCAGTAGAGTTAATTACTAATATCAACTATTAATTATTAATTATTTTATTAATATCACACAGGCAGTTAAAGGTATTCAATTGAAATTTGGGAAGTCTGTCTTGAAACCATATTGTGTTGTATTGTTTCATTATAACTAATTGTTCTCTTCTTAGCCTCTTCCCATCATCAAGTATGTGATGTCCTAGGCAACTGTTATGGTCATCATTATATAATAATTTGGGTTTGTACCAGTTTTGAATACTGATGGTATCCATTTGGTTCCAGTAAGTAAAATTGTAACATAAGTAGATATACTGTAGTAATGTAGTATTGAAATATTTTTTAGGTATCATTTTTCTTTATACTTGCCAGAAACGACTGGAGATGAATAACTCGGAATCGGTTCCCAATGTTAGTGCGCTAGTTCAGGAACTACTTATGTCACTTTTCATCAGTGTCTTCAACCATGAGGAGGAAGATGGTCGTTACACTGCAGAATCTTTCTTTGAGCTATCTGACTATGAGGAGGTAAGTTTGTCAGTATTTGTAGCATTAATGCAGTTCCCCATCTCCCTCTTGTGCCCTCCTCCCCCTCATCTCCCTCTCTCTTCCTTCCCATCTCCCTCTCGCTTCCTCCCCCCATCTCCTTGCTTTATCTCCCCCATCTCCCTTCCCCCTGTCTTGCTCCCTCCCCCAACCCCCTCTCACTCTCTCTCCCCCCCCCCCCCCCCCGCCATCTCCTTCTCGCTTTCTCCCATCTCCCTCTCACTTTCCTCCCATCTCCCTCTCGCTTCCTCCCCTTGCCATCTCCCTCTCGCTTCCTCCCCTCGCCATCTCCCTCTCGCTTCCTCCCCTCGCCATCTCCCTCTCGCTTCCTCCCCTCGCCATCTCCCTCTCGCTTCCTCCCCTCGCCATCTCCCTCTCGCTTCCTCCCCTTGCCATCTCCCTCTCGCTTCCTCCCCTCGCCATCTCCCTCTCGCTTCCTCTTTCCCTACCATTTCTTCCTGCTTTCACAATCTTAGTGTTCAGAAAAATATGAACTCTAAGTATTAACATTGATAAAATAATATAATGTAAAAAATTCCAAGGTGTAGCATCATAATTGCTACATTTACATGCACGATATTTTATACACTGCTTAATAACAGGTTGATGGTAAAAAGACTCGAGTGCTATCGTTTGACATCATGAAGCGGCACCTGGACAAAAACATGTATACTCGTCTGGATCACTTCCAAGATGACTTGTTTTCCATATGTGAACGTGCTCGCAGGTGTTCTAAGGTGGATTCCCGAACATTCTTAGATGCCATAACATTACAGACGGAATATATGAGAATAAGGTTAGTTTGGTATAAATGCTGTTTATTGATTGGAACACTAGGCATCGCTGGTAGAGACTAGCGAATGGTAAATAGTGATACCTGGGTGTGCTCAACATAATGTGAAATAGAAGCATATATTATTGTACCAATGCAGTAGTGTGCAAATATTTGGATTAAGTAGTCAAATATCAAATATTTAGTAAAAGAATATTTTACTTAGATGTTTATGTATTTCTGTTCTTTCTTTTTCATCGGTCTCACATCAGTAGGCACATTCTCCTGCTACAGTATTTTATATTTTCATTAAACCATGCAGTAGCTCTTTTTCCCTGCCACTCACTAACTTAACAAAACAGGTTCAGAGAAGTATTTGAACTGGGTGAAGTGGTCCTAATTTTCCGAGCAATACTGCAATACTGCAGCAGCAAAACACTTCTTTTTTAGGAGGACCTCTTCTCGGTGGCTCCTGAGATATTTGGAACCTTCCAAATCATTAGGCCAATATTTGCAACCTTGATTGGAACTATATACACATTGGTTGTCTTGGTCCAAATGCTAGTAAGCACCATTCCCTCACTAGCAGATGGCAGTCCTGGTGACCCGAGGGTCCCGGCCAGCCCCCCCCCCATTCATTCATTTCATTTCTTTATTATGCACCCCATACCCATCCAGGGTGGTAGTGGAAAGGGTTACGGAGGCACAAAATCGGTTCAGGAACTGAACCCCACAATTCATTTAGGTAAGCAAGTGACAATCTTGTGAAGCTAGTCACACAATTTTTTAATATTACTTACACATGTACATATATATACATACATATACATATATGTATGTAAGACCACTTATGTAAGACCACTTGTGTAAGACCACTTACGTAAGACCACTCCTGGAGTATGCAGCTCCAACCTGGAGTCCATACTTAGTTAAACACACAACAAAGTTAGAGAAGATTCAGAGGTATGCCGCCAGAGTTGGCATATCTCCAAGAACTGAGAGGTACTGTATGAGCTACGAGGAAAGGATAAGGGAGCTGAACCTCACATCACTGGAAAACATAAGAGTAAGGAGAGACATAATAACCACCTACAAAATTCTCAGGGAAATTGACAGGGTAGACAAAGACAAACTCTTTAGCATGGGTGGAACATGAACAAGGGGGGACAGGTGGAAGCTTAGCACCCAAGTGAGCCACAAAGACATTAGAAAGAACTTTTTCAGTGTCAGAGTAGTTAACAAATGGAATGCATTAACACTTTCGCCCGGGCATGACGCAGCATTGCATCATCCGTTTACTGTCGGTAATGCCGGGGATGACGCAGCATTGCGTCATCCACTCTAAATAATCGCCAAAAATCAGGTTTTTATCCAATTTTTTGGGGACTGGTTTTAAAATGCGCGCCGATGTCTTCCCATGTTCTTTGTTGCGCCTCGTGGCCTGCAGGCGGCTCGGCACACGCCGTCGGCCCATCGTTTTCGCTCCACTGTTGTGACCGATGTCGACTCCCCTCGCATCTCAAATGTGTGAACATTTCGGCTATTTTCTGTGGCTATATTTCTTACTGCGGCTTTAGAAACTATCTACGCTTACTCCACGATGGATAGTGATTATGAACAAGGCCCTTCCAGGAAGAAAATTGCGAAAGAAAGGCTTGAAAAGGGCGGGAATTGGGAGTGTAGCTGGAAGGCGTCTGAGCGCTCACTCGCGGCTAACGCGTGGCCCATCTTCAACTCGTCGGCGGTTGGAGCGTGACCAGGTTTTTTATTTTATATGCTAATGTTCCTCTAGAGAATTCTATTGCGAACCCATTGAGACCAAAATGAAAGACCTAGGACGAAAATTGAGGTGACCAGAGTGAAAATAGTGAAAACATTTTATCGCGTTTGCGTGCTCCTGGGTAACTCGTTCGCACTTTCTCTGTTTGCTGCGGGTAATTAGCCGGGCTTTTGGAGTTTATATGCATTTAGTGCTGTAGAGAATTCTATTGCAAACACAATGATACCAAATTTAATCTCATAGAACGAGAATTAAGGTGACAAAGTTGAAGAGAGTATACACTTTTCAGAATTTACGCGCGCTCCCGTGACACCCTGGGACCCAAATCGCACAGTTGAGGGGTGGCGTGCGGGGTACGCCAAAGTGTTAAGTAGTGATGTGGTGGAGGCAGACTCCATACACAGTTTCAAATGTAGATATGATAGAGCCCAGTAAGCTCAGGAATCTGTACACCAGTTGATTGACGGTTGAGAGACGGGACCAAAGAGCCAGAGCTCAACCCCCACAAGCACAACTAGGTGAGTACAACTAAGTGAGTACATATCAATAATCTTTTTATATCACAAGTTATTCAACAAAAGACTCGCAACGGTCTCTATATAAGGCACTTTACATCTGTGGTGAATCACACCGTTATTAGTGCTGCTCCACGCCCATCCAACTGAGTGGCAGCTTTTCAGTCATTTGCATGCTGTACCTTAGTAAGCAAACTTTGGATAATTGGCTAAGATTCCTGGTAGTACATCGCTATGAATGAAGTACTTACACATTCCTTGTACACCATTGATGGCTCTCGAACAGTTCATGCATGGATTTTGAACACCGTCGGAAGGAGGATCAGGACAAGGAATGGGAGCAACCAAGGGATCCACTAGAAAGATACATTTTCTGGAGGAGCCTCTAGTGGCTTCCTGAAGATATCTCACTGATATAACTTCCATCTCCCTACTGAGTCACACACTACAAAAGTCCAGTGTTGGCCTACCAGGGACCAGAGCCAGAACCTGGCCCCCATCTCCTCCCCCTCACAGAGACTCAAGAAGCAGGGGATTGTTACGATCTCTCACTGAGAAAATGCCCAGAAAGTAAGAGAAACGGTTCAGACAACTGCAAGGTTCGTAGAAAACAAACCATCGAAACGGCCAAAGCAGATTTATGCTCACATTGTTGCCCCCAGAGTTGGCCTGTTCAATTTCCTGGTTTTGAGGTTGGAGCAGTTGGTGGTCTTGCTGGTGCCCTTTTTGCTCCTCTTGCTTCCACTCGCCGTCTAGTTTTGTTGTGTGGATCACAAACCACTCCTGCTTCAGTGGCCGCCCCTGTTTGTTCCTGTTTCCTTGGTTCTTTATTCCTAGACACGTTTTATCCCAGGTTGTCAGCAGTGTTGTTACATGTAGCCTGCCTTCAGTCTGCCTTAGGGCCTGTGATGTTTACATCTTCATGGTTTTGGCCATTGTGTTTGCTAACATGTCTTCGGTTCTTATATGGGGTTAGGTTTTTGAGGTCTGTCTGTCTCCTTCCTTTTATGTTCTTTGTTTTCTATCTTCTCTCTTTGGCAACTTCAGGGGGCCTCCAGTGACTCCTGTAGAGACCCAGCATTGAATATAATGCCATGTTTGTTTCTGGTGGGGTTTACTGGCTTCACGATTATCCCCTTTCCTTACTCAGTGTACACTACCACACATACTACACGTAAACTTCTTTTCCTACACGGTTCTATTTTCACCCCATGAAAATAAAGAGATTCTGTGATGATAAATGTTTTTTTTATCTTATTAGAGATGAAGTGTGTAACCACGGGGCAACTCTTCAGTCTCAAGCTTTGACATATACGGAGGTGGAGTTGAATAACCAGCTGGAACAGATGCGAAATCAGCGAGGACTGGAACAGGAAGGGGAAGATGAAGATTCTAAGGTTGGATATGCAAGTTTTTGGCTTTAAGTTCATATGATGATGTAATAATGAAATCAAAGTATTAATTTATATTATCAAAAATTAATTGGTTAGCTTCCATGAATTTTTAAAACCCAAATAGTGAGAAAAACTCGACAAGTCAATGTGTAATTCTGCAAAGTTATGAGAAATTATATAATAAATTATTGTGACAGCTTTGATGAAGCCCACACAGTTGAAACAATATGTAAATAGTCTACTCGTGTGTTGGTGCTTACCTTTATATTATTATAGAAGAAGCATAATTAGCTCATACAGAATATGTGGAAGACAGTTGTAAAAGATGATTTCTTAAGTTTTGTGTTTAAAATGTTTGTAAATTGAATTAAAAATGTAAAATTCAAGGTTGAAATGTATGTATGTGTGCATTTGTTGAACTTGTGCTGCCCCACCTAGTTGTACTCGCCTTGTTGTGCTTGTGGGGGTTGAGCTTCAGCTCTTTGGTCCCGCCTTTGTGTCAATCAACTGGTAATTACCTAAGTGTAGTTACAGGATGAGAGCTACACTCGTGGTGTCACGTCTTCCCAGTACTCTTTGTAGTATAACATTTTGAAACTACTGATGGTTTTGGCCTCCACAACTTTCTCACTTAGCTTGTTCCAACTGTATATCACTCTGTTTGCAAAAGAAAACTTTCTAATGTTTTTTCAGCACCTTGTTTGCAAAAGAAAACTTTCTAATGTTTTTTCAGCACCTTATTTTCCTGAGGTTGAATCTGTGTCCTCTTGATCATGATGTTGCTGGTTTAAGGAATTCCTCCTTGTCAATTTGGTCAAGTCCTGTTAGAATTTTGTATGTGGTGATTGTATCACCTCTTTTTCTTCTGTCTTTTAGTTTTGACATGTTTAATGTCTGTAGTCTCTCCTCGTAACTCTTGTTGAAACCATTTTGTAGCATGCCACTGAATCTATTCCAGTTTCTTTATGTGCTTCTTGAGATTTAGGCACCATACAACTGCTGCATATTCCAGTTTTGGTCTCACGATAGTCATGAACAGTTTCTTTAGTATTTCACTATCGATATAATTAAAAGCAAGTCTGAAGTTGGAAAGTGGCGCATACGCTCCTCTCACAATGTTCTTTGTGTTCCTCAGGTGACAGCTTACTATCCAAAACCATCCCCAGGTCTTGTTCTTTATTAGTGTTCTGTAATTCCATTCCATATAATTTGTAAGTTGTGTGTGGTCTATTTTATCTGAATCCACATTCTATAACATGGCATTTATTCACATTGAATTCCATTTGCCACTTTACGCTCCAAGCACTTATTTTATTTAGATCACTTTGAAGGTCATTGCAATCGTCTGTCTCCCCTATCTTCCCCAGTATCTTAGCATCATCCGCAAACATGTTCAAATAATTCTGTATTCCTTCTGGTAGATCGTTTATGTAGACGATGAACATTACTGTTCTCTTTTCTCCCAATCTATCTTCCCGTTGTTGAAGTCTCCCATAATTTGTAGTCCGGATCCATTCCTGCTAGCGACAGAAGCTGTTGTCTCTATTATGTTTGTGATAATTGTGTGTGTAATTACCTAAGTGTAGTTACAGGATGAGAGCTAAGCTCGTGGTGTCCCGTCTTCCCAGCACTCTTTGTCATATAACGCTTTGAAACTACTGACTTTCTTGGCCTCCACCACCTTCTCCCCTAACTTGTTCCAACTGTCGTGTGTGTGTGTGTGTGTGTGTTGGGTACGGGGTGCATGTGTGGAAGTCACATGAAAAATATATACAGCTCATTGTTTGTTTCAGCCTCCTCCGCAGCCCACCGATGGAACTAACAACAGCAGTTTAAGTTATAATGAGGTCCAGTACTTTGTTGGAGACTTCGTATACCTCTCTCCTCCAGATAAGGTATACAAAAATCTTTATTCATTGACATATGGTTGAGTACATTAGCCAAGATTATGCATCTGATACTTGTTTAATGTAGAGAGTATAAAAGGGTCTTAATACTACAATTGACTTCACTCTTGACTCTCAATTGAAGATCTTGGGTTTGATTTCTAATTGGGACAGAAATGGCTGGGCTCATTTACTTTCCCCTAATGATTTCGGTTCACCTGTTAGCAAATTAAGTGCAGTAGGCATCTGTTGTGGAATTACTGTACATCTTGGGGAAAATTAGTAGTACAACGAATCGAAACCTCGATAGAGGCCTGAAGTATACTGTATATACCATATATATACTGTATACACTTGAGAGATGAGCCAGGATGTGAATGGAAACTGAGGATTTTGTAAGTGTCATAAATAAGGTGTATTTCAATATAATTTAGTTGCTGCCGAGTTGTGGGACTAAATTGTACTGACTATAGTGTTTATTCTCATCGTGTTAGACATAAGCAAAGACACATACTGTACTATTGTACTTTATCACCCTTTGCAGATGATGCTAGAAAACTGATGTAAATCAGCTTTTATCAATGGATCACTGAAAATAATGTGATGGCTTTTAAGACACTAGTCCTCTCTAGGTTGGAATATTGTTGCACAATAACAGTCCCATTGATAGCTGGAGGAATTACTGATCTGGAGATTGTGAAAATCTCTTTTACTGCCAGAATCCACTCAATAAAACATCTAAATTATAGAGACTATTTCCCTATAATTTAGGGAATTTCCCTAATTAATTAAATTAATTAATATAATTTCCTTATAAGAAATCAGTTCAGTAGGAGACACTATTGCTAGAAGAATATATGTATATATTGGTTATATAAGTTTTTAAAATTGACAAAAGATAGGCAGGGGCAATTTAATATTGAAAAATGTAGTCCTGAGCTAAGGTAACAAAAATATTTACCAGATGTCACCTAGACAATGTTGTAATTGACAAGTCTGAAAGCAAAAGTATTTAGGAGTCATGATTCACTTTGAGTTGGTGTGGTTTTCATTCATCCCGATACAGGCCCTGTTACCCCTGAAGATTAAGTTTCGAGGCTAGGGCATGGGGAAATAAACTGTTATGTGGTGAAATTGCTCTATGCCTAGGTTCTTGTGATGGTAGTTCATCATATGATAGATTTAAATTCAAAACATATTCACTAAACTTGGCCTATAAAAAGTGGAATATATTAGGCTATAACACCCTTATTATGAATGATCATGTTTCTCATGGCAACATTAGAAGACATAGCAGGTACTTTGGGAAAGCCATTGAGCATATTTAAAATAAAATTCTATGGTTTATTTTCATTTTATGTTTTTTGTGATAAAATGTAGAAAATTTGGTGATGCAGCCAAAAAGGGGGAAATTTTCCATAAATTTGGATTTCGTTTGAATTTGGATGTCAGTATTTAGGGTCCAGGTTCCATTTTGATCCCTGATGGGGATTGGGCTGAAAAAATGGTGTTGTAACCAAGAGAGTTAACAAAACCTTCAGTAAAATTATATATTTAGCTAATGGTTTAATTCATTTGAAATATCCTCATATTGTGGCTTTTATTGTCATATCCAGATTCAGCCATTGATTTTTTTTTTCAGAACTGTGACTATCCCATTCTGCACATAGAGCGGCTGTGGACAAACAGTGAGGGCCGACAGATGGTTTATGGCTGTAATTACTACCGGCCAGCAGAAACATTTCATCAGCCAAACCGCAAATTTTTTGAGCAAGAAGTGTTTAAAACAGACCAGCATCATGCATACCCACTGACTGAGGTATGTATAGCTTAGTAGTACTGTATTGCTATTCGTTACATTGTAAAACGTCCTTTAACTTGCATCTTTTGATCAGTGACAGTATTTGAATCGATGGCCAGATAAGACTTGCAGAAGTAGCCAAAGGATCAGAGACAAGGCAGATACTATTGACAATAGTGATAGATGATGTTAGAACAAAGCAGACACTATTGACAATAGTGATAGATGATGTTAGAACAAAGCAGACACTATTGACAATAGTGATAGATGATGTTAGAACAAAGCAGACACTATTGACAATAGTGATAGATGATGTTAGAACAAAGCAGATAACTGTTCGAAACAAGAAATGAAGAGGGCCACGTGGTAGGAGAGAAAAAATGGTGACTGGGAGGAGTTGAAAGGAATCCTTGGCAGAGTACAGGCAAGTGTACTTCTTTCTACCCCAAAAAGTAGAAAACTTATGAAGTTCTGGGGTACACTGCGGCTAACATGTTTGTTTATATGTCACACCTTGGATGTGAGTCATAGTCTGGTTGTTTTGGCTGCACTTGGTGTGTCATCTGGTGAGTGGCCTCAGTAACTGGGTGTCCTGCTTGGTTAGCTGTCTGTAGGCACTGATAATCCCCTCGTGGGTCTTTGGTGTGGTTGGTTCGTCCCATTGAACCTGCACCCTGCTATGTGCAAGTTTGAAGGGTGTTCATTATCTTGGTTACCAAAAGATAGTTATTCTTTCTACCTCTGTCAAGCTGCCTGATCATAAGTATGCACTGATACATTTGTGTCACTAAGATGTGCACTGTAATATTTGCTTAGAACAATTAAACATGGGTTTTGCTGTTATTACACTTTGTACACTCTATATGTATAACTATATACATTTTCATGCTCAATTTTGAACCATTAAGTCGTTCTGGTGGGTGTGGTGATCTTATAACATGTTATCGCAGTTTAGCTTAGCTCTGCATGTTTTGCATGAAATATTAACTGCATGGTTTTCCAAGGGAAGCCCCTTTGTGTCTCCCTGAAATTATTATCACTGATAGTGTTCCAACTACTAGGTCACACATTTCTGTCCAGGTGTTGGACGAAGACTGCAGTTTTACCCCAGAACTTTCATGACAAGCTTCTGGGGCTGAGGGGGAACCCAAGAAATGTTCATGGTTACCCTTCAACCTCTCTTGGACTTTGATTCCCCTCTCCAGAGGGTCTTTTGCTTCAGAGGGGGGGGGAGGGGGAGGGGGAATAACTTTTCATATCTCCTACACATGATTATGATCATTTGGCCGCTCTGCTTGGGTTTGGTTCCGGGTCCCATTTGGTGTCTCGCAATTGTTGTATTTCCCGAGGTTTCTGTTTATGGCATTTCTCCTTCAGTGGCCTATGCGGATTTGTTTCTGTACCACCTGCAGATTTTGGATCTCTCTTCAACCAGTGAAGCCTCCAGCAAGGCAAGGATCTTCAACAAGTGAAGCCTCGCCAGCAAGCCAAGGCCCTTCAACCAGTGAAGCCTCACCATGCAAGCCAAGGCCCTTCAACCAGTGAAGCCTCACCATGAGAGCCAAGGCCCTTCAACCAGTGAAGCCTCACCATGCAAGCCAAGGCCCTTCAACCAGTGAAACCTCACCATGAGAGCCAAGGCCCTTCAACCAGTGAAGCCTCACCATGAGAGCCAAGGCCCTTCAACCAGTGAAGCCTCACCATGAGAGCCAAGGCCCTTCAACCAGTGAAGCCTCACCATGAGAGCCAAGGCCCTTCAACCAGTGAAGCCTCACCATGAGAGCCAAGGCCCTTCAACCAGTGAAGCCTCACCATGAGAGCCAAGGCCCTTCAACCAGTGAAGCCTCACCATGAGAGCCAAGGCCCTTCAACCAGTGAAGCCTCAGCAGCTGGCCATCAAAACTGGCCTTGCCGAGCTTATGTATAGTAATTAGTGTTGGGTTGTGTTAGGTTTGGTAATTGAACAATATTAAAGCTTTTCATCAAGCAAGCTGACGAACTCCAACAGGGTAAGTTGAAATTTCTGTTGATTTTCAATAAATTATTTGTGATCTGTATGTGTTGTACATGAAGATTCTCCCCTAATCATGTAATTTTGTGTTTATTGCGTGTGGAAATGCAAAGTACTGTATGTTGGTTGTGGTACTGACAATTAAGAATACGTTCATTTTTGGACTCTTCCTGTAAAAAGTTTGCTAATTCTGGTGCTCGGCTTACTCATGGGGGGCGGGTTTCATATGATCCAGATTACCGAGTGTAGACAGTATATATAAGATTATTTCTATTTATTATTATTATTGATTATATTACTGGTACTCATATGGATTATTGATTATTGTAGAGAAATATCCTAAAACCAAAAATTCAGGTACATTACTGGAACAAAACAATAGCCATTGATATTTATAGTCGCTGCATTAATTGTTATGAGCAATATTTTTGTCGCCCTTATATCAGGTAATTGGAAAGTGTTACGTGCTGCCTCTGCTTGACTACATAAAGATGAAGCCAGAAGGTGTAGACCAAAAGGATGTATTTGTGTGTGAATCTCGCTACAACAGCCGCAATAGATTCTTCAAAAAAATCAAGGTTAGATGAATTTGTAATGTATTTCAATATGGTGCAGATCCCATTTTGTACACAAAAACCTAGTTTTAACTCTGTGGATGCATTTCTGGAAACTGGAGTGCTAACTGAATCTGTACTGTTGGAGGTCATTACTGTATTGTATAGTCCCACGAGATAGGTTGCTGACATTTAAATTAATAACCCAGAACAAAACATTAGATTTTTTGGGTTAATTTAGCAATAGTATAGATAATAGACATAGTTTAATAAGTACATTTTGTATTTGAAATGAACTATGAAAGAAATAATAAATACACAGCTGATATACTTACTGGTTTACATTGTGTACTCTGTACAAGGTGAACTTTGCAGCACTGAGAAAGAAGTTTGTAGCTACTGAGGTAAAGATGGGCCAGATTGTTGCTCATTTTTCGAAGAGGTGCTATATTATGGACCATCATACTTCTTGAATAAAGTATCAAGGGTTTATTTGCAAGCTTAAAGCTGGTACTCCCTCAGCAGCTCATTGTAGCACTATGTTGAATCAACAGCAGCTCTCTTCACGGTAGTGCCACAGTAAAAAAAAAAAAAAAAAAATCCAACATTTTCATTAAGTCTATACTCTTATTGATTCCTTATTTCAAAACACGTGTGGTTAGGTTTCTCTGGCACAGACAATAAGTCACAATAACCTGTCTGAAAATTAAGACACCCAATGTACAAATCTGAAAATAAAAGTATTGATGCAATTGTGGTCCATCCACAATTTCTACACTTCAGAATTTTTACATTCTGGTGTAGAAATAGAAATGCACTTCAGAATTTCTTCACTGGTGTAGAAATAGGAAGTGCAGGCCAATGCCAGGGAAGGTAATCCTGAAACAAAGTTGGGGCAAACTAATCGGCAAAGTACAAGGAAGATGGGGATCAAAAGCAATAATGGAGTGTAATGAAAACAGAAATGCTAATCATGGCAACATCTCTGGGAGACAACAAAATCCCAATAAACACTAACCCCACTTGGCTCAAAAAAAAAAAAAATAGTCTTAGCAGAAGAGTAGTGATGTAAGGCAGGCTGGACCAGTGAGTGATGAGAGTGCATCTAGTAGTGCACTTTGGCTCCAGAATGGATGGAGGTGTTTTTATGAATATAAAATGGGGGTGTCTTTAATCCTCTGTATGTATACTGATTTAATAATTCTTGTGCTGGGGCCTCCCCACCAAATGAAAGGGGGGAGATAGGGTAATAAGTGGTTATTATGAAATAGGTAGGATTAGTGAAATTTTGACTTATTATTAGCCTTTAAATACTGATCACTATTCCAGGAATTTGCTAATGAAAGCAAGGTGGGAATTCTTGTCTACAAAATAAAAAGTGTTGACCAAACCACACACTAGAAGATGAAAAGACGACGACGTTTCGGTCTGTCCTGGACCATTATCAAGTCGATTGTCTTGATAATGGTGCTGAACGGACATAAACGTCGCCGTCTTTTCATCTTCCAGTGTGTGGTTTGGGCAACATTCTTCACTCACGTTATTGTGATTCATCATCTGCTTAAAAAAATCAGTATTAATGTTAAATAATTTAATTAGAAATTGTTTTTCTTTATTTTCTTTTATGCAATATTTAATATTTTCTGCAATTATAGTTATATCAAGCCGGTAGTTTTAATTTTGTATTGTACTTTGACAAATTCAGTCCTTCGAGGTACTCGGTTATGCAATAGTAAATTCGTATGATTGTTATCAAGAAAGGGCTAAATAGGATTTTTTAATGGAATTTTTTTTTTCATATCCTCATATATATTATTTATATATTGTTTTGTTTACCAGTCCTTCCCATTCAATGTGGGGGAACGTGTTAGGATAGTGGAGAGGGCAGAGCCCCTAGAGATGAAGAGGGTTGACTCTGTTTTCAAAGAGAGAATAGAACGCCACAAAGAAGAACTTGCCGAGCTAGACGAAGAAACAAAGGTCATTCGTCGCCAACTTCCGGTAATACACTGCTATGCATGTTAAATATTTTGTAACCCTTTTGTAGTCCTTTAACCATGGTTAAAGAACTTTATTCTTGGCAATCAATCAATTATAAACAACCACATGTAGATAAAAATGTCTATCATTAAACTTACTAAATCATCACTTTTCCCCTTATAAAAGCTCCATAATTAATAGATTGCCAAGATTAAAGTTCTATAACCATGGTGATACCTTGGACTTTGTATTTTCATTGTGTACATAAAATACTGTCTCATCATTTCACAGTAAAGAGTGATGTACCAGTTATAGTTTCTTCCAAGTATTGCTATCCCTGCACAGCCCTGTCATTACCTGAGATTTAATTCCAGAGAATACTATCATGCCTTGTAATCTTAATTTAAATTGCAATAGATGAACAAACTTTTACATAAGTTATTTGTATACCTTCATTGTTAAACATTTTTACAAGGACTCCAAGGTAGCTCCCTGTTCCTAGCTACTCTGGGTAGTTCCTGACCCTTCTAGTCACACCAGCCCCTGACAAGTCAATGAAAGCCTTACAGCAACCAGTGATCACCTTCACCAAAATAACAGCCACCAGATAAGTAGTATGAAACAAAACAGGCAAGAACAATGTAAGTCAACAACTTGGAATGCGATCCACCCAGTAGTTAAGTAATTCACCCTCTAGTTCCAACTGCCCACCACCAGGTGGCAGTCCTCGGAGCTCACGGATTATTCAACGACACACACAGTTGCCTGATGCAACCACAATCATTACTGCTCCCCTATAGTCCCCTATACCCTTTAGGTCCCAGATTTTGGGACCATTTGGCAATGTACCGTACCAACTAGGTGTGGTAACAATTAACTACCTCAAAAGCCCACCTAGAAAGCCAGTATTGAATATATAATTAATCCCTGGGCTGCACATCTAACATCCCCATGATGCGCAAGAAAAAAAAATTCTGAATTTTTTCTTTGACATTGTTAATTAGCCTCCAGGAAGTACAAAAATCTAAATAAAAAGTGTCTTCCTCTTGTGGTTTAGCTGTAGTGACCCAGAGAAGTTGTGTTTTTTTTTTTTATGTAAATGAGGTAAGGTGCTGTGTGGGAATAACTTTGTGGATTTATTTTTGTTATTTCTCACTTTATTTATTTTGTTTTCTCTGGGAGGCCCCTTTGGCTCCCTGGAACTATCGGGTTAATATGCGAATCATTAGACCGGGGCATTAATCTATGGAGTTCAGCCTACCGGGGACCACTAACCAGAACCTGGCCCCACCACAAAGAGGTGCAGAGAGCAATGATCCTAGAAAACCCTCCTGTTGTTGGAGGTTTTCCTAATCTGCCATCAAACGGGGGTTAGGCACTCAAAAAGGTAAGCATAACAAAACAGACCCCACATGTTAAAAATTGCAACCGAAAACTGAACAGAGATGCAGAGCTCCCTCCAATCCCAAGGAAACAAGCAATCAGGCAAACATCACACTGCAGTGTTTGCCTTTGTGGTGTCCTCTGCGGTGTCGTCGTGTGTGGTGCCAGGTGTCCTCAAGAGTACTGGGGCTGCATGCGTTTAGGGGGCATCCTTCCCTAAGTGCCCTGTGAGTACTACCCTTGCATGTTCGGGTTCTCTTCCCCAGGTGCATTCGGGAACCAATTCCATAGAGATTTTTGCTGCTCGGCACTTACCCCACCCTTGGGGCCAGCTGGGGTTTTGTGGCCCTTGTTTGGCCTTTGGTAGAAACTGGTATCGTGCTGGTTGAAGCATCAAGGTGTTGTGAAACCTGCCTATCTACGCGGTGGCTGGTTCCCATTTCCTCTGGAGACATTGTACTTTTGAAGGGTTTTTCTTCAGAACAAGAGGGTTCTGTTCCAGGTTTGAACTTGGTTGGGTCTTGTTTGTGACACTCGGACCGCTTCCATGTCTCTCCCTGTGGAGGTGTTACTGCGGCTGCAGTCCCACCCTCAGCTGTTTTGGGGGTGAGAGTGGGGACTTCCTCTTCGGGTTTTTCAGGGTCCAGTGCCTTGGCGCCTCCCCAGCCCTTCGTTCGATGTGTTCATGGACCCATCGTCTTTTGGCTGGGGCTTTGTGACCAGTGCTCACCAGGCTGGCCAGGGGCGGTGGGGGTCCATCCTTCCGTCGGGCTCACAGCACGGTGCGAGAGTTCGCGGCTGTTTGGCTGTCGCTTTGGAGAGTTCAGGTCGCTCAGGGTTCGACCATTTGGCTCCATTTGGACTGTTCTCCAGTGGTTCATTGCCTGAACCTCAGGGTTTCTCTTCGGTCCTTGCCTCTTTGGTGCTGGTTGTTTCGAGTGGCTCGCCTGCTGGCTTCTCAGGGTTTGGCTCTCCATGCAGTTCATATCCGGAGTGTCCAACGTCCTGGCAGACGGCCTTGTCTCAGTTCATTCCACTGTCCACAGAATAGACAGATGATGCTGACTCCTTCAGTTGGCTCTGCCAGATGTATAGACTCCTGGAAGAGGACCTTTTCATGTCGGCGTGGTCTTGGTGTCTCCCGTTATATGTGGTGCCCTTTCTTGACTATGAGACTTTCGCGGTGGATGCCTTTCCGTAGGACTGGTCGAGGTGGGGTTACCTGTATCTCTTTCCTCAGGTCCAGCTGTTGCTGCTGGTTCTGGCTCAGTTGGAGTCTTACCACAGGAGAGTAATCCTCGTGGCCCCTTGGTGGATGGCCCAGCCTTTGTTTCTGGCGCAGCTTGCTCGATGTCTTAACTTGGGGCATTTTCCCCGACTCTGCCTCTTCCAGCAGGTCGGTTTGGTTTGATACAAGGCTGATTTGGTCTTCTCCTCTGTGCTTCACGTTTGGTCTTTTTGACGCGGGTTTATCACCATTTGTATGGTGATCAGGTGGCTTCGTTGATGGTGTCCCACCTGAGAGCATCGTCTCTGTGGCAGTGTGAAGGTTCCTGGTGTTCTTTATGCCATTTTCTCTCTCTCTCTCTTCGTAGGTTGTCTTCTATTTCTGATGGGGTTGTTTTGTTCTTTCTGTGTTGGCTTTTTCAGGACTGTCATTTGATGCCTAATGCTGTCACCTTGTATTGTGTGGCATTGGCGGAGCCGCTCCAGCTTGCATTCAGGGTGGATGTTACTTCTGCCCCGTTCTGTAAGCTTTCTTGTGCTTTGTTTCATCTCTGACCTGGTCATGTGCCACCTAAGCCATCCGGGTCCTTGGACAGGGTGCTCTTCTATATTTTTCTTCCCTTTGGTTCAAGATTGTTTTTCCAAGGCTCTGTTTTTGTTGGCATTGGCCTCTGGGGGTTGGGTTGGTGAGATACATGCTCTCCTCTGGCCCAGGGGTTTTTGCTCCTTCGGTCCTGTTAGTGGGTTTCTTCGGTTGTAGCCTTCTTTCTTTTCTGGTGAAGAATGAGACGGATGCTTTCCAGAGGAGTCCTTGGGTTATTGATGCTTGGTTGGTCTGGCTGCGGGTGCATCTTGTCTTGTGTTCGGTTGTGGCTCTTCACCATTACCTGAGTGCTTTGGCTTCTGTGGCCAGGGATGCGCTTTGGGTTGATCCGGTTTCCCTCGTTCCCTGTTCCAGGACTCTGGGTCTCCCAGGTTGTCCGCAGGGTTACTAAGTCTAACCAGCCTGCAGTGTATCCTCATGCCCATGACATAAGGAAGTTTGCTGCATTGGCTGCCGTGTTTAGCAACATGTCTTGGGCTGATATTTGGGCATGGGGATTTTGGAGGTCGAACAGGGTCCTGGCCTCCCGATATTTGGTTAATGTTCTTGGGCCTGGGCTTTCTTGTGTTGCTTTGGGTCGCAGGTTGCAGCGAGTTGTCTCGACTTCGCATTGAGGAGTGTGTGGCGGCCGCCTCCTGGGTAAGTCCCTCTTTTCCTTAGCTTTGATTATCTAGCTCCGCGGAGCTGAAGGGGAAACCACAGAAAACCAGCGTTGAATGTAATGAAATGCCATTTTCTGGGCGAGTCCCAGAGGCTCCCTGGCAACCCTCCCTCCCTTCCTCCAGTCGGCACTTTTTCTGTGGTTGATACTTAGCCTCCGAACTGGAGTGGCTGGGTCGCCGGTTTGAGGGGGGGGTGCATGTCTTCCGTGTTGTTGACTTGCCTTGCTGTTACCTGTTCTGTTTCATCCTACTTTTCTGGTACTTACTCTGGTGGAGAGGGTGATATGTAATCCTCCTGGTACCTCTCTGATGAAGAGGGGGGGGGGTGGCATGTTTTGACCTCTGGTTCCCAAGTAGGCTTTTATTGACTTGCAAGGACCTGGTGTGGCTGGATTGGTGAGAAGTTAACCAGAGCAGCTAGCAACAGGGCGGCACTTCGGACCCATCGGAAAGAAATATTTCATTGCATTCAATGCCGGTTTTTCTTAACCATTCATTATCATATAAATTTATTCTTTGTAAATTAGACCGTATGTGAAAAATTATATTGAAGAGATGGACTAAATTAAAGAAGTGTGTGAAACTGAAATATGATGTGGAAAATAGTCAAGTAATTTTACACCAGCATCAATCTTAGGCATGCAGTAATATGTAACAACATTAAATGAGGAAAGTTATGTCATATTACGCGGACTAACGATCAGTAAAAATATTAAATCGTGGTAAATAATATTTTGAAAATTATATTAATAAAAAACATAAATTTGGAATAAATCTAGATCTAAAATTTATAGTTATAGATACATCATGTTCTTAGATGAAAGGCTGCATGTGCTTAGTTTATAAACATGAATGTTGCCTTATGCTAAGTGAAATATATATTCCCACACTATTTTGTTGTAGATAAATTAGAAGGTAGATTCATCATATTTGAAAATTTGTTAATTTGCAGAATGTGGTGAAATCTCAGCCAGATGGAATGTCGGGTCACACATATTACGAGCAATATAATATTTCATCAGGAGCCATTAAGCTTGGAGATTATGTGTATGTCAGAGGACGAGAATCTGGCAAGAAGTCAATTAGACAAATATGTCAACTATGGGTTACACCTGAGTAAGTTATTTATTGATATTGTATTTTTTGTAGTATTGTTGTTGTGTGTGTATGTGCACAGAGTATTTTACTTAAGGGAAATAGTACAAAGGAGCACAGATCAAATTTGAATATGCAAAGTATTCATAAAAACCTCAAAGTATCTCTTCAAAGTGAGTATTGGTCGAAAAGAGCAGTGATGTAGAGAGAGAACTTTATTGATGTTTTGCCAGCTAGTATTTTATCTGATGTGTGTCTTTATAGGTGAAGTTTTTATCTTCAATTAAGAATACTTCTACTTAGTGCTTCACTACGTGTAATAAGGGTGTTAAAAAGACCCTACATAGAATTACATAGATCCTCGTTAGCATAGACCCTGGCCAGGTGCTAGAGAAAAACAATGACTATAATACCAATGGAAGTGGTTAGGAGAAAGCTCCTGCTGCAACCATGCTTGATGCACCATTCCTGATGAGAACAAAAGTGTGGGAAAATGGTAAGGTAAGGTAAGGCAATTATCAGAAGAAAACACTGAAGTGGAAGGTGGGGTATGTGAACAGTAATGAGAGTAACCATTCATACTAGAAGATGATCTAAAACTGCAAGGAGAATGAGGAAATCTGAAGTATGGGAAGCCACCTTACTAAGTAATTATATTGAAAACATTTCTAGTGTAGCACATAAACATCAGATCTCTGCCAAACAGATGGAAGGCTTTTGTTTCACATTGGCTAAAGACAAAGGCAATTTTGGCACTGGTATATGGAGTTACCATGAACCCACATCACCGGACAGGGCAAGGGCAAATATTGCTCTATTAAATATATAAAAAGTTTGTTTAGACTTCTTTCCACTTCAAAGTGCTCAAATACAGAAATGAGTCCATTTCTCTAATGTGAATAATGAAGGGACCAACAATCGGGAGGAATTTAAGAGATACAGTATAAGATAACCTGGAAGTGGCTGCAAAGCTAAACTCGAATGCACCATATCTGGAGACATTTCTTGGTTCATCAGTAAGAATTGAGCAAATCATGCCTGACCAGAGAGGTCCAAAGGTAAAACTGCTGAAATATGAGAGGAAATGTTTATCCAGACACCACAGTGACCCAGAAAATGTATTTTAAGGGGAGTGGAGTATTACACAGAGATAAAGGATAATAAAGGGGCCCATCTGGAGGAATAACCTCCCATGCTTTGGTACCAATGTCCAACCTGGGTCAAATAGTATCCTTTGTCCAACTTCCAGCACCCCTCAAACTCCTGGATCCCTCATCCCCAAGTGGAAAAGTACCAGAGGCGCAGCTGAAAATTTCATCTCTATCCATAAGGGTGAGTTATAAATCGTCCAACATAAAGAGAGAAATTCCAGAGAACAGATCAGATTCCATCACTGTCACTTATCATCTTGTTATATCAGTGAGCTTATCTTCTCTGGGTTTAATAATTTGCCATATAATGTAAACTGCAAATAAAATGAATGTTCTGGTCCTAAGCATAGCAGAGAAATAGTGTTTGGCTATTCTGTATTAAACTTTTCTTGTAATATACTGTACACTACTATAATATAATTTTTCCTGACTGTGTTTACTTTCAGAGGGACAGCCTACTTCCTGGGTACCGTGTTCAAGAATGCATCTCAGAGCAACCCAAATGGAGAACATCTATTTTACAAACAGGAAGTATATCTCACTGCTGGGGTGGAAACTTTGCCTGTATCGGATATAAGTGGCCGCTGTGTTGTTATTGATGTCAAGGAATATTGCACCTGTAAGTAATGATGCATTTGGTGCATGTGTTGTGTTCATTCATGTGTGCTATTATTTGTGTATGCTGGTGTACCCTCATGCTTTTTGTTTATTTAAATACATAGGCCATTTACTTTATTTACCATAGTTTACAGTTTTTAGTTGTTATAGCCACCTCAAATGTACAAGCAATAGGAGGAATCTCACGAAGGCTTGAGCAATTACTCTACAACCCCAAATTGGTAATGGTAGAGAGGAGCATTATAAACACCACATGCTGAGAGCCTGTAATGGCAAGAATATGTGCATAGGTCTACCTTCTGTATAAGGGACAGAGTGGAAAAGGGAACAGTTGAGACATCTGGCCAGGAGACAAGATAACTTGAGTTAAGTAGGCTACAGGGGAGCAGAAAGAATGGTGTGTTTCGGAAAACTACCTTCTTAAAGATTTTTTTCCATGTGTGTGTGTGTGGAATCCCAAGCTGTTTTATGTACAACTCTCCTGTACAGTGTACACTGGCTGGAATAAGTCCACCTGGGGAAGGCAAAATGTGCACCAAAGCCAATGAAAAGAATGCTCAGTCCACATTTCTCTCCAACCAAATCACGCTGTTGCTGTTATATACTGTACACTAGTAGTATTAATTGCTATCTCCAGTAGGGATTCGTGGCAAAAAAAAAATCATTTTTTTTTTTAAATGTTTTGAGAATACTTGATTATTTATTTGAAATATTAAACATGCATCCTGGTATACATGATCATAAAAGTAAATTTTCTTTTCAAATTGGGCTGTGTATCCCAATTGCAGCTTATGATGTGTTTGAAGGTAACTTCGGGCTAAGATTTATTCACTTGTGTATTTTATTAGCTTAATTTGAATTCTTTTATGTACTAACCCAAAATACAATAGCTTGTAACTGATACTGGTGTTTGTGTCAACAGTGCGTCCAACAGAGATAAACGAAAATGATGTTTATGTATGTGACAGCTTCTTAGATGAAATAAATCAGAGAGTGAGCTCGCTACAGAGTGGTCTGCGCAAATTTAAACATTCTTCATTGGTCACACAAGATGAAATCTACTACTTCAGGAAACCTCTTGTTTTACAAAAGGTAATGTATAATAAAACACTACCAATAGCAAACTTTTTCTTCATTCCCATTGGAGAACTTAATGATGATGGCTTACTAAAATGGTATTCCTGTAAGAGTATACTCAGACTTTGCCATCTCCTTTTTGTTAACATGTTATAGCTGTTCACTTACAAGATGGTAGCTTGAATCCTCTTCACCATATTTGCCTAAACTCCTAATTAATCACCTAAAGTTAGGTTGATACCTGGTGTGCATAAAAAAAAAAAAAATCCACTTTCCTTTTTTTACCTGTATAACATTTTTTGTATTGTAAAAGTATTGTTTGTTGATGTGGGGCAAAATACAAGAAAAATACCTTCTCATTTTAGTTTGGCCATACTGAGGAAACGAAATGTTTATGACATATTCTGTGGGATAATTTTCAAGATAATTATTTGTAATAGATTCCTCATCACTAACATCTTCCAACTCCATAAAAGTCCTTGCCATTTTGCATGGCATCAGTGGTTCCAAGCACAGGTGTCAGTCAGTGGGTGGTGATGCACCAGACATGATGCCCAGGCTTTTTATTATGGCCCAGGAAGGAAACTAAGGTTTACAAACATTTTTCAATATGGGCTAATGATTGCTAGAGAGATCTATTGTTAAGCAATATCAACGTAGAATCTTTAGGACTTTTGGATTTTACTGGGCATGTCTAGTCTCCCACAGGTGATTGATGCATCATCTCCTATCACTTGAGGGTGACGATAACAGTTGAAGGGTTAAGGGCACAGAACGAGGCAGCATGTTCTGGAGGGCTGAATGGTAGCTCCATCTGGCTCCCAGCCAGACTAACAGCCTGCCTCCCTTATCAGTTCTGGAGCTTATGGATAACTAACCATCAAACCTTGATGGAAGGGAGGGAATTGGGTAGCAACAGAGGTTGCTACCGGAAAGAGGCATTTCATAACACTCGATGCCGAGTTTCTGCGGGAGATCCCTGGTGGCTTCCTGAAGTTAACTAACCACATTGAAAACATGGAACTTGCCTGGGAACAGGAGAGACAGCTGGTACTAAGATGGAGAGAACCCACATTGGGAGATGTATCTTGAAGCAACACATGACCAACTGGGACCAGGAACATTAATCAGACTCCAAGTGACCAGCTCCCTGTTAGACCACCAAAACTCCTAAGCCCAAATATCAGCCCAGGAAAGATGCTGCTAAGGTGGAATACTTGTGAATATAGCGGAGCCAAGGGTAGACTGCAGGCTGGCTAAATTTAAGGACACTTCTGATGACCTGTGAAATGTGTCTTGGAACAGGGGGTCAAGGAAATAGGTTCAACCAGCAATGCATCAACCGAGGCAGAACCAGTGGCCCATAGGTATCAGTAAAGAGCCGCCACAAAGCACAACAAATGATAAACCCCAGGCAGACCAACCAAGCATCAATTCACCAAATTACTCCTCCAGAAGCTATCTAACTAATTCTTCACGAGAAAAGGAGAAGGCTGTGAAACTTCGAAAACACCTACTACCTTCTACCTACCTTCAAAAATGCCAAAGAAGTAAAACCCATGCCTACATGAAGCTCACCCGCTCAGTAGCCTGAAGCAAGAGCCACACTGCCTTAAGAAAATATCACAAGGTGAAGGAAAGCCATAAACTAAGATAGAGAGAGAACTGCCAGAACTCTGTCAAGAGGCCAAGACAGTTCTGTAGGGGCATGAGCAGGCTGGAGGTGAAAAAACATATGAAACAACTTGAAGAATGACTGAAGAGGAGTTGATACTGAACACAAGTTACAGTTACAAGAATTTACTGAAATAAACCATTGAATACAAATAAAAATAATAAAAATATAATATAAATGAATATTGAATACAGATAAGTTCAATATTCAATTTGTATCATTGAATACACACAAAAAGAATGCCTTATGTCTCATGCAAAATGTTTTACTTCATGATCATATTGTTACTGTATTGTAGCCATTCTAAATATTTTATTTTGTTTTTGAAAAATGGCTCATTAAGAATTGCATCCAAATAACATAGTTACCACTTAAATATTTTTTCTCATTTCAGTTTGATCCTTCAATAACTCCCTTAAAGAAGCAGCCACAGAACTGTGTAAGTTGACTAATACTTGTTATTTAGAAGCAACCCTCTCTCTCTCAGCCTGTGAGCTGTTCCAAGCAGCAACCTGTCCGACCAAGTTAGGGAAAGTCAAGGCCTAGACTGTAGGAGTAGAATATCCCAGAACCCACTTCAGGTATTTTGAACATTTTGTCTATTTTCATTGTGTGCGCATTACAGTATGTCTTCTGTGACTGCCATTCCATTAGTCGGTAGAGTTGGCACAGGCAGTCCAGTGCTAGGTTATCTTGAGATGATTTCGGGGCTTTAGTGTCCCCGTGGCCCAGTCCTCGACCAGGCCTCCACCCCCAGGAAGCAGCCCGTGACAGCTGACTAACACCCAGGTACCTATTTTACTGCTAGGTAACAGGGGCATAGGGTGAAAGAAACTCTGCCCATCGTTTCTCGCCGGCGCCCGGGATCGAACCCGGGACCACAGGATCACAAGTCCAGCGTGCTGTCCGCTCGGCCGACCGGCTCCCTGCTAGTGTGGCTGTTGGCCTGTCCGACACAGATGTTTATTTTCACCATGTCTTAACTTCTTGGGTCACAATGTTTTCTTTGCCTAGTCCAAATCCTGAATTTACGGCAAGCAGCACTGTTTGGTATTACTAAAGATTTGTGATATCTCGTGTAGTTGCTTATATTTGGGTAGTGCAATACCTGCGAGTATGCATGGTATGTTTGCTGTGTCTCCTACTCAGGTTGTGTTTTTGTGACCTATTCTTTTCAAAGTGTTCCTTGGCCTTGGGTTCTCTGCAAGGCTCTGGAACATATCCATTCTCCCTGAGGTCATCTTTCTGCTCGGGTCTGATCGCCGATCGACATTAGACCTCATGGAAAAACAATCTTTTTTTTTACCCTGATGTTGTAGCTCAACAGTGAAGTTGTTGGCTGGCTGGAGACTGAGAGGAGGCCTCTCACTTGTTTCTCTTGAGGATTGAGAGGAGGTCTCTCTCAGATTTGTTTGGTAGTTTTTGAATTACCCAACAATTCATAGTGAAAAGCTTTGGATTGTTTTGTGACTTGCAATTTGAAAGTTGTCACCTCACTTGTGGATTGATCTCCGATCTTCTCATGCTTCATGCTCCATAGAGGGGCGGAGTCAATATGAGATGGAACTTGGTTCAGGTGGGCAGAAATGTCAACAAAAACCTGGCATATATATTATGGGCTTGCAGTGTAAGTTCCATGAGCTAAAGGAAGCTACTTATGGACCACTCAAGAAGGGGTATTTCATAAAACTACCCTCTATATTTTTATAACTCAAACTTAATTGATCTTGAATCTCTTTAATGTGTAGGTTTTAAGCCAGTTATACCGTTCATGTAATACCATTATTTAATGTTGATTTATGAAAACATAATTTTCCTCCCAAAAAAACATATAAGCTGTTTTCAGGAATCATCACCAATGACACCACGTATGGACATGGATTATGAGGACTCCATGGATGGGCCGCCGCCTTCTGTAGCCTCGGTAGACTCTGGAATTATTGCTGGAACCCCAAAGTCTGCTAAGAAACCTCCTACTGGGGTATGTCAACAACATATCCATACCTATTTATAACATTTTAACTGTAATTTTAAGACATCAAAATAATTAAATTACAATAATTTGAGGCATTTGCAGAGATTGTGTGGTGGAGACTTTATTGTAGAGGCCATTACTGTCATCATTAACACCATGTTGGGGGGGATATTGCCAGACCATTGAAGAGCAATAAATGACATTGGAAGAAATTGGAGATACAAATGAGTTGTAGAGACGTTAGGAAATACTTCTGCAGTGTTTGAGTAGGGAAAACATGGAATGAATTGAAGATAGCTGCAACCAATCAAATCCACAACTTTAAAAGTAGATATAACATAGTTGTTTGAATTATAGTACAGTAATTGACCATCAAATATCCAAAAGTAGAAATGGGACTCAAGAGCTAATTTTCTCAACTTGCAAGAACAACTAGGCAATAACTACTTGTCACACTGGCCAGCATGTTACTGTATGTGCATCAATCTCCCAACTGTTTGTGAGCAATCATAGACAAAATGTTGAATTATTTAATTTCCTCTAAACAACCAGCTTTAAGTCCGTCCTATTAACTGTGTTTACAAGTTAATGTTCATTCAACCACATTTTCTCACAAAAGTAAATTCTGCCTATTTAGACTTCCTATCCTCTACTTCAAATATACTTTAATGTATTCTGACCTATAGCACTTTGTCACTCCTTAACACATGACCATCGTGTAGCTACCAGTGGGTCTCTTTTTGATCTACATGTATGACCTGCATGAATTTGTTAGTGATGTATCCTAAACAATGGTCGGTGTCAGAATATGTCAGGGTGAAGAGGAAGTGAAAGTGATGTTTCTCCTCCCCCTCCCTTCCACCGGCCTGTGTCCTCCCCCCCTTCCACCGCCCGGTGTCCTCCCCCCCTTCTACCAGCCTGTGTTCCCCCCTTTCCACCGGCCTGTGCATGTCATAACATTTGTAATCATTGCAATACATAGCACTCGCCTAGTTGTACTCTCCTAGTTGTGCTTGCAAGGTTTGAGCTCCAGCTATTTGGTCTCGCTTCTCAACTGTCAATCAACTGGTGTACAAATTCCCGAGCCTACTGGGTTCTCATTTCTACATTTGAAACTGTATTGAGTCTGCCTCAACCACATTACTGCCTATTGCATTCCATTTGTTAACTACCCTGACACTGAAAAAATTCTTTCTAATGTCTATGTGCTCATTTGCATACTAAGTTTCCACCTGTGTTCCCTTGTTCGTGTTCCACCCATGCTAAATAGTTTGTCTTTGTCCACCGTGTTAATTTCTCTGAGAATCTTGTAGGTATTGATCATGTCTCCCCCTAACTTTTATCTTCCAGGAATGTGAGGTTTAGTTCTTGTAGCCTGAACCCCTCATAACTCATACCTCTCAGTTCTGGGACTAATCTGGTGGCATACCTCTGATTCTTCTCTAACATTGTTTGATGCTTAACTAGGTATGAACTCCAGGCTGGAGCTCCATACTCCAGGATTGGTCTAACATAAGTGGTATACATAGTTCTGAATTATTCCTTACACAAGTTTCTAAGGGCAGTTATTATGTTGGCCAATCTAGCATATGCTGTTGATGATATTTGTTTGATGCGGGCTTCTAGGGACACGTTTGGTGTGATAGCAACCTCCAGATATTTCTACTGGGCTCTTCCAGGATTTCGCCTTCTAGATGGCACCTTGTGTTCGGCCTCCTGCTACACCTAATTTCATTATTTTACTCTTACCCGAGTTAAATGTTTGTTGCCATTTTCTAGACTATTCCTCCAGTTTGTCAAGGTCGTCCTGTAGTCTCTGTCTATCGTCATCTGTCATGATTCTTCTCATATATTTACATCATCAGCAGCAAACATTGAGAGGAACGAGTCTATACCGTCTGGAAGATCATTTACATATATCAGAAACAGGATGGGTCCAAGTACAGATCCCTGTGGGACTCCGCTGGTGACGTATCACTCTAAGGTCCCCCTTCCCCCTCCCCCTAAAAAAAAAAAAAAAAAAAAGTGGTATTTACCTATCAATGAGCTTACCTCTGTGTCTACTTAGAGTTACAGTTCTTTGGACCCAACATTTTGTGCCTGGTGCACCTCCTGTACTCGTTACACCCTCTGTATTTGTATCTGGCGATAAGTCAGCCCAGCAATATCTTTCCTGATTGTGCTTATGTAATATAGTTTGTGTTTTATTTTTATTTTATTTTTCTGTGTGGCAGAAACAATTTCAACAGATGACAGGAAAGAAGCAGATGACAGGCTACATACTGTTTGCTGCAGAAATTAGAAAAAGCATAACGTTAAAAAACCCCAGTGCCAATTTCGGGGAAATCTCTCGCTTGGTTGGAATCGAGTGGAAACGCCTAACAGAGACTGACCGCAAGACTTACGAGGACCGAGCCCATCAGATGAACCTGGAGAGTGCTGAGAGAGCCTTGAGTGGCAATGGCCCAGATTCTCCACAAACACCACAGGTACTGTAAGACTGACATTTTTATTTAATGTGTGGATTTTTATATTATTGCATTCATCAATTTTTTAACCTTGGTTTATAGCATTTCATTTATACATGTAACATACCTGGATTATTTATGGTACTGTATATCTAAAATAGTTTACCTAGCATACCAAAACTACTAATTTGGTGATATTGATCATTCAGAATACTCAGCAAACTTCAACACAAGATCTGCCACTCCCTAACAACCCTGATGTGGTGTTTGAGTGCATGTGGGAGAGTTGTGACTACATGTTTGAGGACCTTGCTGACCTCAGTGATCACCTCCTCCTAGAGAACACCGGTCACGTCCAGAAGGTTACACAAGGTAATCTTGCAAACCTATTTTTCTTATATGTTAGCCTCGCTAACATATAAACCTGTTCAACAATTATTATTAATTACCCTTCAATGTAAGGCTATTGAAGTATGATCGTACCTGCCTATGCACAAACAAAACTTAAAAAATTCCAAAGAATATGTTTTTTTCATAGAACTATTGCTTTGTATGCAGAATGTAAAAAAAAACTGAAAAAAACATAAATATGTACCTTTTTCTGGTTGGAAGACGTGAGGAAGTTTGTGTGATGGCAATCTGGACTGGCACCTGTTGACACCCGATGCACTGTGGTACGAGAGTCATGACTCCAGGGTTCACCTTGGCTGTTTCTTTTCCATACTGTACTATAATATACTTCAGTACTTTTTCAACACTTAGTATGCATCATTACAGCCATATATACCAGTATGATTAGTTCTGCAAGTTTTTCTCTTGGGGTAGTTTATTCCTGGGCAGGTTTGAGGGAACTCACCCTCACAACCTTAGAAAGAAGAATATTCCCTTCAGTATCCTGAGGGGATTAAAAAAGTTGGACAAAGGAACCCCTATTTAAGTTAAATGAAGGTAGGACAGGGACAGTGGTGGAAACTGGACCACTGAAATTGAGTCATAGAGATGTAAAGATGTTTTCGTTCCCTGTATGGGTGGTTGGGAAGTGTAATGCATTGAAGAGGTCATTGAATCCACTGCCATCCACACCTTTAAGAAAAAAATGATGGAAATGTTAATGCTGAGAAAGCATCAGGTACTGTATAAAGAGCAAGATCATCTCACCTGTAGTTACTGATAGGTAAATGCCTAGTGGCAGAATACAATCCTTTGAAAAAGGACTTTAAGATAGAGAATATGATTTCAGAGTTATTCTGTCACTCCCTTATTCTTCCTTCATGTCTCTTTTTTTCTTACTATGTCTTTATTTCTAAATCTATTCAGAATTTTTTCTAAAGATCAAGACACCTAGGTCGTCTGTTATTGGTGGTAGTACTGGGTGACGTCACCGAGGCACCACCGTGTCGAGGCGACGTCACCGAGCCACCACCGTGTCGAGGTGACGTCACCGAGCCACCACCGTGTCGAGGTGACATCACCGAGGCACCACCGTGTCGAGGTGACGTCACCGAGGCACCACCATGGGGAGGTGACGTCACCGAGGCACCACCGTGGCGAGGTGACGTCACCGAGGCACCACCGTGGCGAGGTGACGTCACCGAGGCACCACCGTGGCGAGGTGACGTCACCGAGGCACCACCGTGGCGAGGTGACGTCACCGAGGCACCACCGTGTCGAGGTGACGTCACCGAGGCACCACCGTGGCGAGGTGACGTCACCGAGCCACCACCGTGTCGAGGCGACGTCACCGAGGCACCACCGTGTCGAGGTGACGTCACCGAGGCACCACCGTGGCGAGGTGACGTCACCGAGGCACCACCGTGGCGAGGCGACGTCACCGAGGCATCACCGTGGCGTGGTGACGTCACCGAGGCACCACCGTGTCGAGGTGACGTCACCGAGGCACCACCGTGTCGAGGTGACGTCACCGAGGCACCACCGTGTCGAGGTGACGTCACCGAGGCACCACCGTGTCGAGGCGACGTCACCGAGGCACCACCGTGTCGAGGTGACGTCACCGAGGCACCACCGTGTCGAGGTGACGTCACCGAGGCACCACCGTGTCGAGGTGACGTCACCGAGGCACCACCGTGTCGAGGTGACGTCACCGAGGCACCACCGTGTCGAGGTGACGTCACCGAGGCACCACCGTGTCGAGGTGACGTCACCGAGGCACCACCGTGTCGAGGTGACGTCACCGAGGCACCACCGTGTCGAGGTGACGTCACCGAGGCACCACCGTGTCGAGGTGACGTCACCGAGGCACCACCGTGTCGAGGTGACGTCACCGAGGCACCACCGTGTCGAGGTGACGTCACCGAGGCACCACCGTGTCGAGGTGACGTCACCGAGGCACCACCGTGTCGAGGTGACGTCACCGAGGCACCACCGTGTCGAGGTGACGTCACCGAGGCACCACCGTGTCGAGGTGACGTCACCGAGGCACCACCGTGTCGAGGTGACGTCACCGAGGCACCACCGTGTCGAGGTGACGTCACCGAGGCACCACCGTGTCGAGGTGACGTCACCGAGGCACCACCGTGTCGAGGTGACGTCACCGAGGCACCACCGTGTCGAGGTGACGTCAGGTGACGTCACCGAGGCACCACCGTGTCGAGGTGACGTCACCGAGGCACCACCGTGTCGAGGTGACATCACCGAGGTATTACAGTGTTGAGTTTGAGAACACACTTTTCTATTGTTGAATTCTGTTGAAGAATTTTTCCTTCAAAGTGGCCTTGAAGGGAAATTTTTTGTATGATACCAGTGCTTGTGATAGAAATGAGTGCTCCTGATTTACTTATGTGGCACATCCATATAACTACACGGAAAGCTGCAAAAATAAAATGCTATACTCAGTAATCAACTTTTCAGAAACTTAGATAATTTAGTTTGAAGGGGTAAAAATGGAATCTATCACTGTTACTCCTAACCTTCATGTTCTACATACAGAATACCGAACTTAAAATGAAAATTAACTTTCAGTGTTTGAGTGTGGATGGCGAGGTTGTTCCCGACACAAAAAGAGCTCCTTGGCGCCTTTTCCAATGGTACAGAGGCTAGTGAGACACGTTCGAGAAGTTCATATACAGAAAAATACTGGTCGCATCATTCAACATCATGACCGGTCCAGGTAAATTTGCCAAGTTATCCTGCATTACTGATGTTGGTTGTGAAGAACACGGAACACTGAGAAGAGAGTGAACTAATTATTAAGCTGTGCACATGTTAGTGTTTCTCTAAGACATAAGACATGAGTGTTTCTCTTAGACATTATTGTTCTTTAATATCTTATTTATGCTGCCTCACTAATTAAAATTTTCTCATAAATTTTTTCTCCACTTTTCTGTGGGAGCACCTACGGCTCCCTGGAGCTTATCGGGCTAATGTATGTTATATTAGACCGGGACATTAGCTAAGGAGTTCAGGCCTACCAGGGACCAGCGCCAGAACCTGGCTCCTTCAAAGAGGTTTCAGGGAGCAATGGCCCTGGAAAACCCCCTTGTGGTTGGGGTTTTCCTTATCTGCCATCGACCGGGGTTAGGCACCCAGAAAGGTAGGCATAACAAAACAAACCCCCATGGTAAAAAACTAAAACAAAAAAACAAACAAAGAGGTAGAAACTCCTACAATCCCAAGGAAACAAGCAAACATCACACTTTACTGCCGCGCCGATCGTCTGCACAGCCCTCCCCGCCCCGAGAGGGGGAGGGGAAAGCCCCGGACCTACCATGCCGGCTGCCTAGCTTCAGTTTGTAAGCTAATGTCAACCAGGATAGACGCTTCTCTGGCCTCGGTTTCCTAGGCGGTGTTTGCCTTGTGTGGCGTTCACTGCCGTGTGTTGTGTTGTGCGGTTTTCTGCTTTTGGGCAGAGTTTTTTGCCCATCCAGTCTGCTTGCTTCCCAATTTTGCTGGCATATTTTCGTATCTTTTGCATCGGTCACAGCCTTCTGTTCTGGTGGCCATTTTCTTCTGCCGATTTCCTGGCGTGGCCACCAGGGCGGCGTTGCGGTTTGTTTACATGCGCCTGGGTGTGCGAGCGAGCGTTTTGGGTGAGTTTTAAACCCTTTTTCAGGGGTTTTATTCTCCTGTTATCGTTTCTAAGCTGTTCTGGTGTTTTCTGCCCATTTCCTGTTCCTCTGGGAATGTTTGAGTGTTGATTTTACACCGGGTTTTCCATTTTGTCTGTTTGGGCTCAATGTCCCTAGCTGTTATGCTTGCTCCCACACCTTGTCCCTCGGTTTTCGGTCTGTTTTGACCGTTTCCCTGGGGGTTCTGTCTGGGGGGCTGTGCTTTGCCTTTCTGTGGTGTATCTCCGCCAGCAAATGTGGTGGTTTGGGCTCCCCCTGATTCGATTCCGGGTTCCTTTGGGTTCTTTGGTTTCGTTCCAGTGGTTTCTTCCTCTTGGGCCCCCTTTGTGGGTTCAGGGGGCTTTGTTTCCTCGTGTGTGACCCAGTTCTGCCTTCTGGAGTTCTGGGGTCTTCCTGGCTTGCAGACTGATCTTTCGGGTCTTGGCACGTGTTGTGGTCATGCTGGGACTTTGAGGTTTTGTTGTCGAGGTGGGCCTTTTGATGCAGTTTTGTGCCTTCTTTGCCTGGCTGGCGTGGTGCTCTTTGCCCACTGGTCGGCAGCTTGTAATTTTCTTTTCACGTTTATGTGTGTGTACACATGTACATGTGTACACTGTGTGTGTGTGTGTGTGTGTGTGCACATGTGTATGTGCATACACGCATGTGTGTAACATATCTTGTGTGTGTGTATATGTATGTGTATGTGTATATACATATGTATACATGTGTATATGTGTATGTGTATTTTTTTAGTATGCTTTCTCGCATTTTGTTTCACCTCTGGCCTGCTCATGCGTCACCTGAACCGTACTGGTCTTTGATCAGGATACCTTCTTATCTTCTCCTCAGTTTGTGGTAGCCCCTTCGGTTCAGGTTTCTGCTCTTTGGTACTGGTGGTAGGTTTGTACGTTTGCAGCCTTTCCCCGTCCTGGCGACTGTCGAGACGGCTGTTTTCCGGAGGGGTTCTTGGGTTATTGATGCTTGATTGGTTTGGCCAGGGGTGCGTCCTGTGTTGTCCAGTTGCACTTTTTGCCGTTACCTGCATACCGTGTCTGGGGATGTGCTTTGGGTTGATCCGGTTCCCCTCGTTCCCTGTTTCAGGGCTCGGGTCTCCCAGGTCATATGCAGAGTTTTTCAGTCTTCCAGCCTGCGGTCTGTCCTTGCGCCCGTGCTGTTCGGACGTTTGCAGCTTTTACTGCTGTGTTGGTGACGTCTAGGGCTCATTTCGGGTGCAGGGATTTGAGGGTTGCACAGGTTCTTGGCAGCCCATTCTTTATGCACGTCTGCTCCTGTGCGTTCTTGTTGCCTTGGGTCGCAGGTTGTGGCCTGTTGTCTCGGCTTCGCGTTGTGGAGTTTGTGGCGGCCGCCTCTCGGGTTAGCCCTTTCTTTTCCTTCTCTTTGGGTATGAAGCTCCAGGGAGCTGTAGGGGCTCCCCACAGAAAACCAGCGCTGAATGTAATGAAACATCATTTTCTGGGTGAGCCCCGGAAGCTCCTTGGCAACCCTCCCTCCCTCCCACCGGTCGGCGTTTTTTTTGCTTTGGTTGAAGCTTAGCTTCTGAACTAATGCTAGGCAGCCGGCGCGGTAGGTCCGGGGCTTTTCTCCTCCCCCTCTCAGGATGCGGAGGGCTGCGCGGCAGTAAAGTGTGATGTTTGCTTGTTTGCTTGTATCCTTGGGATTGTAGGGAGTTTCTACCTCGGTTTGTTTTTTTTGTTTGTTTTTTACCATGTGGTGTTTGTTTTGTTATGCCTACCTCTCTGGGTGCTTAACCCCGGTCGATGGCAGATAAGGAAAACCCCAACCACAAGGGGATTTTCCAGGGCCATTGCTCCCTGAAACCTCTGAAGGGGCCAGGTTCTGGCGCTGGTCCCTGGTAGGTCTGAACTCCTTAGCTAATGTCCCGGTCTAATATAACATACATTAGCCCGATAAACTCCAGGGAGCCTCTGGGGCTCACCCAGAAAATGGCGTTTCATTACATTCAACGCTGGTTTTTTTGTCATTGGCTCTCTGCACCTTTTAGGTGCATTGAGTGACCTTGGCTGGGTGCTGACTATTGGGATGCTTCTGTTGGTATGGTGGATCCTGGTGCTGTCACCTGACAGTGGGAAAGTGGAACTAATAGTTGAACAATCTGACTATTGACTCTTTATCCTAGATCTGTTCATATTTATACAGTAGAACCTCTATTAACGAGTTTAATCCGTTCTGGCACCGAGCTCGTTACCTGGAAAACTCGTCTTTGGAAACAAATTTCCCCATTTAAAATAAAGGAAATAAATTTAATCCGTTCCACTCCCAAAAACATCCATACTTGTATGACTTTTTTTTATGTAAATATAATACTGCACATGTAAATATAAATGTTTTGTTGTAGTTTTTAATATTTACTTTACCTTATGAAGAGTAGTTGCTGGCTTGAGGGAGACGATGGAGAGGTGGGAAGGAGGAGAGGGGTTATGGTGTGGAAGGAAAATCCACCTCTGAGTCAGGCGGACTCTCTCTCCTTGGGAATTTCACCCAAATTTCATTTCAAATGTCACACAAGGATGCGTTAGACCAGCACCAAATAAAAAACTACGTTGATTATACTCGTTGTGTCAACAATATAATAGTCTTACCACGAAGATACAATACAATGCCGTTTTCTCAAATAGGCAATGTGGTTATTAAAGAAAACGGAAATTTCATGGCAAACATGTATACAATCCCCAAGTCGATCGGATAAGAATTGGATTTTAAAGAAATATTTGCTCAAATGACGCTTGAGCACAATGTTTGGGTGCATTCAAGATAAAAAAAGTGTGTTACGTTCAAGCGACATATACCTGCGAAAGTGATAACACTTTCATAAAGTGTTATCACAAAGTGATAAATTAATTAAACATTTTCACACACTGGGTTGTCACTGCTTTATCAGGGCAGCTTTTCCAAGAATGCGTTCACCTTTTCAAACATTCCAAACACTTCCCTGATCTCAGTGGAAGAGGCAGCATCCTCCCTTACCTCCTCATTCCCTTACTAATGGTGTAAATTGTTGATGAGGACCTGCCATACTTCCTTGTGAGATCAATCACACAGACACCACACTCATGCTTTGCTATAATTTCCTTCTTGAAATCCATAATAATTGTCTTTCTTCCTCTTGAAAACACTATCTTTAGCAAGCAGCTTCTTTGGAGGCATCGTGTGTTACAAATTGTAGTCGCAAAACCACTAAAAACCCAAAGAAAAGCTCAAATAAATCCAGAGGGATGCTTGTCGTGTGAGATACAACAACAACACTGGCGTCGGAGGCGTCCGAGAATTTGCGAGAACCCGCGAGACGCTAGGAAGCGCCATGTGGTTTCACTCGTTAATAGAGGCGAGCTCGTCAATAGAGACAAATTTGCTGCGAGTGGCTTGCTCGTTACTGGAAAAACTCGTTAATAGAGCCACTCGTTAATAGAGGTTCCACTGTATTTGTGGTCTGTTTTGTCTCAATCTACCTTTTTGGTGACTATTTTCTTGGTTTGGGTAAACTAACATTCCCTGCTTTCTGGACTTTTTGAGTGGACAAGGTTTTGGCCTCTGGTCTCTGGAAGGCTCTTAATGACTTACAAAGGCCTTGTGTGACAAGAAATGTGTACATCTACCATGGTGGGTTGCAACAGGGAGGTACTGAAGACCTGCCAGGAAGAGGAGTTTCATTACATTTAACTCCAGTATTTTTTATAATTAAAACTTAATAATGTAAATATGATTCTTTGTGTAATGTGGTGTTTTATGATCTTATATTAGTAAGTACGTATGACATTCACGGTGAATCTGTTATGTTTTAACAGGAACTTCGTAGCATCAACTCGTCGGTCACTATTGTCTCTGCAGCCAACCCCAGCTACTCCAGCGACCACAACTTATCCCACTTCTGGGTCCCCTCAGTCCACTGCCCAAGGTGAGTCTTCCTCTAGGAATGCTTGCTGCATCACTCGCTTGACTCGTCAACAGGCTGCCCTGATTATCAGCTCAAAATAGTAGCGTCTCTTTATGATGCACAAAAGTCCGTCAGTTTGCTTTATACATAACCTGTCCTGATAATATAGTGACGTCATGCATGTTGAGTGAGTTTTGACTGTAATGTTCATACAGTTCAAATTGGCAGCCATTTGTATGTGTGTCTCAAAACTACACAGAATTTATTGCTTGGCTATATTTAACATAAATTATTGAACTATAAAGTATTGCACTATATTAAGTTTTATAAAGTGATGTACAGCACACTTGTAATATGCTATGATACATAATGAAATAATTCAATATTTTACACAGTATTGTTATTAGGCAAACAACTTCCTTTCCAAATATTCTACATATACATAGCTGTAACAGGTTTGATAATGCAGTACATGCTTTCATACAAATGGCTGTAACTGGTTTTGTAATTCCTGCCACATACTGATGGGTGTAACTGCTTATATAATACACTGAAGAACAATTAGTGGAAGATACATCTGAAGAGGTTTTGTGTTACCCGTTGCAACTGCCATTTAAGTTTGTACTTCTTTAACTGTCATATTTACCCTGATCTAGATCCCTTCAGTATTCACCTTTGGCTAATTTAGGTTCAGTTTGGAAGCAGGCTATCTGAGTTATGTTTTGGTCTCTTGCTGTGGAATGCCTCTCAAACCAGTGTTTTTTAAATGCCCTTGGCATGTTACATTTTAACCATTAAAGTACCTGCTAATTACAAGAATTTGAAGATGGTCTTTAATAATAGTAATAATGGGTTTTGCAAGTGTTTTAGTTGGCATTAAAAGCAAAGGGAAGCCTTCAGATCATTTGTACAAAATAATAGAATGTCATTAGTAACTTCATCACCAAGAATGGAGTCACTATTGAGTGGGCTGCAGCTGCCTTATAATATCGTAGTACAATATATTTCAGTGGTTTGAATAATTGAATGTACTGGTACTGTACGGCATTCTTTATTACACTTGTCAGTTTCATCTCCATTACTACGATTATGTGTGGCAGGTTTTCCACCCTTTCTTTTAGCTCTACTCCTTCATTTGTATATATATAGCATAGTACTGCAGAGCAGCTTCATTAATACTGTACAAATTAATGCATGCATACTTTCATTCAGTCACTGAGTATTTGCCGTTATATCAGTATTGTCACATTTTGGTAAATTTTCAGCCCCATTCTTTATTAATAGCACTAGAAAAAATATATTGTAAAGTATATATGAAGTATTAATTTTTATTTTATAGGGATGACATTTTCTCTACATTGAAAATTTACAGAAAGTGCATTTATTTTATAATAATCATAAAGTTTCAAGTTTCTTAAATACCAGCCAAGTGTGATGTTGCTGCTCTACTTAACATATTAACAGAAAACACATTTATTATGGAATCTTTTACTTTATTTCTAACATATGATAGAGCAATCATATGTGATTATTTTTATGCCATAAATATAAATAAACAAAAATTATTCTTTGCATGAACATAAATGATCATAAACTTTCCAGTTGCATACACCGCCAATCGCTCAATGGCTCCTCCCAATCTGGTCCTGCTTGCCCCCCAGCCCCTCCATACCTCCAGCTCTTCCACACTTCCAGCAAGATTACTTCCCTCATGCACACACTGTCATTTTTATTTATTAATTCTTGGATTAATTATATTTTCTGTGGGGAACCCCGTCGGCTACCTGGAGCTATCGGACTGATATGCTATATTAGTCTGGGGTTCCAGTCACATGGAGTTCTTGCCTACCGGGAACCACGAGCGAGAACCTGGCTCCCTCAGTGAGGTGCAGGGAGCAATGGCCTATGAAAATTCCACTATTTGAGAGTATATTCATGTCTTCCATCAACCGGGGTTAATCACCCAAAAAGGTAGCCATCCCAAAACAAACCCCACTTGCTATGAAATTGCAAGCCAAGACCAAACAGAGCCCAAGATTCGCCCCACCCCTCCCCCAAGAAAAAATGCAACATGCATACATCAAACGGACGCGCCGCTCGTTTGATTCCCCCGTCCCTTTCCCTTCCCCTGATGAGGGGGATGGGGGTCTCTGCCCACCCAAGCCAGCTGCTTACCATCCTTGGTTACGCTCTGGCTGTTGCTTGGCTTTTTCTGTTTTGATCCTTTTTCAAGGCATCCTCCCCTGTTCCGCTGGGGACTTTTGGGTGCTGGTCTGTCTCAGTCTTGTATTTACTGGCTGTGGTTCGGGGGTAGTTTTATCTTTTCCGGCTACTCAGTCTTCAGCCCTTGATTTCCTGTCTGTTTTTTTGCCGTTTTAGCGTTTTAGCCATAGGACTTTTTGTCGAGGTCATTTGTCATGCCCTTCATTATTGTGTTTTTCTTATGGACACCTATTTTTGTCCTTGGTGCATTTTCTGCTGGTGTATGTGATGATTAGGGCTTCCCCCAGGTTTGTTTTTGGGTGCCCTGTGGTTCCTCAAATTCATCCTATCGGAGGTTTTTTTCTCTCGGATTCCTTTGGGAGGTTTGGGAGGCTCTTGGCTCATGCTGTCGGTGTGACCCGATTTTGTCTCTGGGTTAGTTCCGGTTTTGTTTCCATTGGGATCCTCTTACCCTGCTGGGGGCGTTTTGAGGTTCCGGTGTCTTCCTGGCTGGCAGCCTCCTTGGATGGCTGGTTGGTTTGAACTCCCAGCCAGTCCACATGTCTGTTCACCAGGGGTTTGGTTCTTTCCCAGCTTGCAATGTTTGAGTTCCTGGTGGCCTGGAGGAAGGCCCACTTGATTCCGTCCCAGGTTCAGACTTGGTTGGGCCTTGTTTGGGCTTCTCGGATGGCATCTGTGTGTTGCGGTGTTGCTCCGGCTGCAGTCCCACCTTCGGCCGCCCTTGAGGTGTAGTCCCTGGTCACTCGGCGGTTGCTCAAGCAACTTGGCTCTGTTCAGTCTTGGGTTTGCAATTTCCTGCCAAGTGGGGTTTGTTTTGGGACGCCTACCTTTCTGGGTGCCTAACCCCGGTCGATGGCAGACATGAATATACTCTCAAATAGTGGAGTTTTCCTAGGCCATTGCTCCCTGTGCCTCTCTGAGAAAGCCAGGTTCTGGCTCGGGGTTCCCGGTAGGCAAGAACTCCATGTGACTGGACCCCCAAACTAATATAACATATGTATCAGTTCGATAGCTCCAGGGAGCCTCCCGGGCTCACCCAGAAAATGGCGTTTATTACATTTAACGCTTGTTATTTGTTTATATTGAGATACCTTGATTAGATTCATTAAGTTAATATGATGCAAGTACTCATTATAAATATTTACAATGTGTATTATTTTCACCAATTGAGGTGACCATTTGCATTTACAGTGAGTAGAGAAAATCAAAAGGTGCCATCCAGTGCCACCTGTTCATGCCACAAAACCAGTAGCTCCAGAAATGTCCAACAAACTTGGAAAACTGATTCTGCTCCTACAGTTCAGTTTTAATTGTAGATATGATAGTGTCATAGGCTCAGGAATCTGTACACCAGTTGACTGACATTTGAGAGGCGGGACCAAAGAGCCGAAGCTCAACCCCTGCAAGCACAACTAGGCGAGAACCTAAGGGGCTGCCAGGCCACTGCACTGCAGGGTGCCTGTTTGAACATTTGTTGTATCCAAACAGATGCAAGCTACCACATAAACATTATTGCAATTGTTTTAGTTTTAATTATTTCTTCAGGCAAATCTGTCATTTATTTTGAGGCCCAGTTTTGCATGCCACACCAATGGTTTCTGGATGTTTGCATGAGTTGCATGATTTCAGGAGTACTTCAAGGTCGAGGAAGCCCCTACCCTCCAGGGATGGTGATGACCCCTTACTCTGGGCTTGTACCCAGCAGTCAGATGGGCCATCTACCCTATCCTACTTCAGGTAAGTAGCTCACATATACTCAAGTCATTTGTTCTCTCTTCATAGTATCAGCTGAGACCATTTGTAAATCATCACAGCTGATTTCCAAATTACTTGATCTCCAATATATGAGCTGTCCTAATTAAAAAAGACTGCATTATATTATATCCTCTTCAATTTGGCATTTATCCATACTTTTACTAAATGCAGAATAATATATTAATTATTTAATTAAATAACCATATTTAACATTTAAAAACTTCAGATATTGTATTTTTAAGCTTTTATAAATGAACAAATGTTATATATATTAAAAAAAAAAAGACACCATAGCCTTGACAGTAGAGATGTGAGAAGGTGTAAGAGTTTGTTGCATCCTGGAACATTGGTAATGATCCAAGTTGGCAAGAGTTTGTTGCATCCTGGAACATTGGTAATGATCCAAGTTGGCAAGAGTTTGTTGCATTCTGGAACATTGGTAATGGTCCAAGTTGGCAAGAGTTTGTTGCATTCTGGAACATTGGTAATGGTCCAAGTTGGCAAGAAAGTTTGTTGCATCCTGGAACATTGGTAATGGTCCAAGTTGGCAAGAAAGTTTGTTGCATCCTGGAATATTAATAAAAAATAAATAACATTAATCAGTCACATATGTTTTTACTAAATTCTCTCACAGGTGTGAATGGGAGTCCAGTTACTGCAAGGTCTTTTGATCCCATATTTGTCGCTCCTCCTCCCAAGACGCAAAGGCTACTTCACTCAGAAGCTTATATAAAGTAAGCTTACTGTCAAGTATAAAATTAGGATAAGGATGAACTAAATTTTATGTAGATAAACTAAGGGTTACAAGAAAGAACTAAGATATGCATGGATAAACCTCGGTTTATAGAGACCAATCTTTATTTATAGGGTAAAACTTCAGTTGAATAAACCTATTCAATTATAGGTTTATAATTGTGTATTTTATTACACAATTATATTATGTTTATTTTTATGGGGAAGGGGGGTTTATTTTCCCCTCCCCCAAAAGGGGGAGGGGGGGGGGAGTTCTTTGGCTCTGTTGGGACGTAGGTTGCAGTTTTCACCAGTAGGGGGTTTGTATTGTTTTGCCTACCTTTCTGTGTGCTATTTCCTGGTTGATGGCAGACATGACATACTCTAAATGTAGAGCACTCATTGCTTCATGCGCCTCTCTGGGGGGACCAGGTTCTGGCTCCTGTTTCCCAGTAAACATGGAACTCTAGGGACTGATGACACCAAACTAAATTGCACATGTCAGTTTGGATAGCTTCAGGAAGCCTCCGGGGCTCACCCAGAAAATGGCGTTTCATTACATTCAATGCTTTTTTTTTTTAAGTGTTGTTTTTGCTTTCCTTAACCTCCAGTTGTTGGTTGGTTTGGGTTGTTGGGTGAGCTTTATGCTCTGCTCTGTTGTTGGGGTTTTGTTCCTTTGGTTCTGGTGGTTGTTTTGTTTAGTTGCAGCTGGCTCCTTTTCTCCTTTTCTTTAAATCAGTCAGCAGGCTTCCAGGGGGGTCCTTTAGTTTTAGATGCTTGATTGGTTCGACCGGGGGTGTATCATCCGCTTTATCCAGTGATGGCTTCATGCCACACTACCTTTCATGCCACCGGTTCTGTTTCAGTGTAGACTTCTTTGGTTGATCCGGTTTCCCTGGTTCCCTGTTCTAAGGGTTGTATTTCTCAGGATGTCAGTGACATTACATCTAGCTGGCATGAGGTATGTCCTTGTGCTCGTGATGTCCAGGAGTATGCCGCTTTAATGGCTGTGTTTGGTAATATATCATGGCCTGATATTTGAGCATGGGGGTTTTGGAACTTTATACCTGCAGTGCTGCCATCTCCCTGGTAAGTGCCCCTTTTTTGTCCTCTGTGAGTAGTTGGCTTCAGGGAGCTGACGGAGCTCCCCTCAGAAAACTAGCGGTGATTGTAATGAAATGGCTGTTTCTGGGTGAGCCCCGGAGGCTCCCCTGACACCCTCTCTCCCTCCGCCAAGTCATTAGTGTGTTTTATCATTATAGAACCAAGCGGTAAGGGTCCTGGTTGACCTGGGTCAGCAGCTCCCTCCTTCCATAGATGAGGAGGGAGGTGGGGCAAACTAACAGGGGGGGGAGTAGGTAGTTTCATGAAATTTTGCTTGTTTGTTTTCATTGTTGGGGAGTTCTTTTGGCAATGTTGGGGCTTTGGTGTCATTTTTAAATCATTCATTAGTCTGCTTTGATTCGCCTATCTTTCTGGGTGCTTCCCTGGTGGTGACAAAGATAATAAACTTTAAATATAGTGTTTATATGCCATTGCTTGCTTTCCCTCTGTAGAGGGAGGGGGGGGGGGGGCAGGGAGCAAGTTCTGGCTTATGGTTCCAGGTAGGCCAATTGAACTCAGTGACTGATGGCTACTAGTAGATTAGTATGGCACTTAATCAGTCTCATAGCTTCAGGGATCCTCTGGGGCTCACCCAGAAACTGGTGCTTCTTACATTCAACACTGTTTCTGTGGGGAGCCCTGTCAGCTCCCTGGAGCTATCGAACTGATACAAGATATATTAGTCATGGGGCATCAGTCAATTGGAGTTCAGCCTACTGGGGACCACGAGCCAGAACCTGGCACCCTCAGAGAGGCAAGGGAGAAATGGCCAATGGAAACCCCCCATGTGGTTGGAGACTTGGAGCATGCCTTGTCTGCCATCGACCAAGGTTAGGCACCCAGAAAGGTAGGCATAATGAAATAAACCCCATTTGGTAAGAAAATTGCAACCGAAGACTGAACAGAGGCAGAATGCCCCCTACACCCAAGCAAACAAGCAAAAGTCATTCACCGGGACCTCGCTGCTTGTCCGTGCAGCCCTCTCCCCCTCCCAGGGAGGGAAAGGGAGGAGCCCTTGGGCCAGATTCACGAAGCAGTTACGCAAGTACTTACGACCCTGTACATCTCTTCTCAATCTTTGGCGGTTTTGTTTACAATTATTAAACAATTAATGAGCTCCGAAGCACCAGGAGGCTGTTTACAACAATAACAACAGTTGATTTGAAAGTTTTCATGCTTGTAAACTGTTTAATAAATGTAACCAAAGCTGTCAAAGATTGAGGAAAGATGTACACATTCGTAAGTACTTGCGTAACTGCTTCGTGAACCTGGCCCCTGGATTCCTGCGCCAGCTACTCACATGCCCAGTTTGTTGGCTGATGCGGTCTCAACTTTGGCTTCGATTTCTTGGCTGTATTTTGCCTTAATGCTGTTCTCTGCTGTTTGTGGTGTAGTGGCCAGTTATAACATCAGTGTACTGGGGCTGAATGTGCTTAGGGCTTTCTACCCTAAGCACCCTGTAAGTACTACCCTTGGGTGCTAAGGTTACTTTCCATAGTGTCTTCGGGACCCCCTTACTTCTGTAAGGGTTCTTGCTGCTCGGCATTTACCTTGCCCTTGGGGCCAGCTGAGGTTTTGTGGATTTTGTTGCTGGTAGGAGCTCTACTCACCTAATTGTGCTTGCGGGGGTTGAGCTCTGGCTCTCTGGTCCCGCCTCTCAACCGTCAATCAACAGGTGTACAGGTTCCTGAGCCTATTGGGCTCTATCATATCTACACTTGAAACTGTGTATGGAGTCAGCCTCCACCACATTACTTCCTAATGCATTCCATTTGTCAACCACTCTGACACTAAAAAAGTTTTCTAATATCTCTGTGGCTCATTTGGGCACTTAGTTTCCACCTGTGTCCCCTAGTGTGTGTGCCCCTTGTGTTAAATAGCCTGTCTAAATAGCTGTGCAGATAGCGGCGCGGCAAAGTGTGATGTCATGATCGTTTGCTCATTTCTTTTAGGGGGAGTTCTATCCACTTGGTCTGCTTTCGGTAGCAATAATTTCACCAGAATAGGGGTTTGTTTTGGGATGCTTATCTTTCTGGGTGCCTGACCCAGTCGATGGCAGACAGAATGCTTCCAACCACACAGGGGTTTCTATAGGCCATTGCTTTCCATGCCTCTCTGAGCAACCTGTCCTCTTAAGAAGAACGTCGCTTTTGGCCGTTTGCCCGTATGGCCGAATATGGACGTAATTTGAAAAAGAAAAAAAATTGAAAATAAATTTGGGATTTTTTTTTCAACAACAGTAAGTTAAGGGTCCTCTGATAGGTTAGGTGGGCAGGAAATTCTCATAAAGTTTCAAAACGTTATGAAAAACGTTAATGGAAAGTTCCTCTTCTAAGCTCTCCGAGGAGGGCCGGACGAGTCAAACAGAAAACGGAACAGAACGTCACTTTTGTGAGTCGATTTCATTTCAAATTACGTCCAAATTTGGCCATAGTGCGCATACGAGCATAAGGTGACGTAATTTTTAAGAGGACGGGTTGCTCTGAGTCGGCCAGGTTTTGGCTCGTGGTCCCCGGAAGGCCCACAGAACTCCATACACATGACTGATGCCAAAGTCTGACATTAGCGTATCAGCCTAGTAAGCTCCGGGGAGCCTCCGGGTCTCACCCAGATAATAGCGTTTCATTACATTCAACGCTTTTTTTTTTTTTTTTTTTTTTTAATATAAACTTGAATGATTGGTTATGATTATATACTTACCTAAATGTGCTTCAGGGTTATTATGAAAGTGTTTCACTACAATATTTTCCTGGTAAATTAAGTTAGAAATGTTTGTGTGTATTGTTGTAGATGTAGGCCCATTTATTTATTTATTTTTTATGCTCTGGGGAAGTGTTGATGGGAGTCACACAGGTTGAATAAATCCCAAATGGACAAACATTGAGGAAAGTTGCAAACACTTGAGTCACAGTAATGTGGGTGAAGATATGATAAGCAAACCGCACACCAAAAGATTAAGAAAGGACAACTATTCGGTCCTTCCTACATGACTTGATAATTGTCCAGAATGGACCGAAACGTTGTCGTATCTTCATCTTCTGGTGTGTGGTTTGGTCATCATATCTTCAGCCACGTTACTGTGACTCATTGTTTGCAACTTTCCTCAATGTTTTGTCACGAGGTCACTGACTTTGACAGTGACCTTGTAGCTGCAAAGTTTGTCCATTTTGGATTTATTCCACCTCTGTAATAATTTTCAAAGTAGCATGAGCTTGACATGAAGTGAGAAAAGAATATAAATTGAGTTGTAAACACATTCTTAGAGTAACTTACATGTTAATTTGAAAGTTTATTTTGTTATTTTCAGATATATTGAAAATTTGGACAAACCTTTTCTCAGTAATTGGGAGAGACATTTAATGGCCACTCAAGAAAATACAATCATTAATGATTCTGGTCGTCTTCCTGCACAGTGGCTTTCTACTGGGCCAGGCGCTCATGGCACTGTTGTTAATGCTCTGTGGGCCCTCAGGGAATACATGATGAAGGATTCTCTGGGGATTGCTAAAATTTTGTGACCCGACACAAAATCAGAAGAAGTAAGGAAAGAAGAGGCAGGTAAACCTGTAACTCAGACTACAACAGTGACAATTCTTCCAAAAAACTTTTCCTTCACTGTTTCTACATCTGTTAATGAATTGGGGTGATTATCAGGTTTAAGTAGACCTGATTTGTGTAGAAATTCTATTGCATTTTCCATGTTGGATAGACGGCCCCTTGTATGATATAGCTATTCAAGCCATGCCTCTACATAATATATATGTATAGGATGCAATTAGTTGTTTCCCTCTGTTTTCTAGAGAACTTTTAAGTAGTACCAGAAAAGTTATTGATGTGCAGCTATATTACCATTAGCTCCGCTTACTTGCAGATAAAGTAATAGCAGTTATTTTAAATGTGTAATGCAACCATATTTAAGGTTTTCTTATTTTACAAACTTTTTTTTTTTTCCATTCGGTCAGTTTCATATATACAGTCTATAAGACTTAAATTTTGTTTGGAAAGGCACTGTATAGTCAAATGGTTTTTATTTAGTATATCTTGGTTACATTTATCCAAGTTTAAGTCCCAGAATAGTAAACTCTCATTGTTTTGTCACTCTTGTGTGTTGTTTATAGCCAGTAAAATTGGTGTATTAATTTCCAGTGGTTTGATCTATGGAAATGAATAGTGGAAAATGCTTGTACATAGAATGATACATGATATATTTTATTAGGAATAATGATAGTTAATCATTGCTGAGTTTCTGGAGGGGGCCGAACTGTGGCTTCCTGTAGCCGGCCGCACCGAGATGGTTCCACACATATAAAAGTTACATCAACCCCATGAGTGCTTAACCCTTGGACAGCAGCTATGGAGAAATGGTCATACCTCAACCCGTCCTCTTAAAACAATGTCGCTTTTCACTCGTATGCGCACTATGGTGAAAAATGGACGTTGAAATTAAATCGGCTTATGAAAGTGATGTACTGTCCAGTTTTCTGTCCGAATTCTCTGGCTTACTTGGAAAGGTTAGGAGAAAAAACATTCAATTAACGGTTTTCGTAACATTTTGAAACTTTAGGAGAATTTCCTGCCCTCCAAACTTACCAGAGAACCCTTAACTTACTGTTTTGGAAAGAAAAAAACAAATTTATTTTTAATTGTTTTTCATTTTCAAATTATGTCCATTTTCGGCCATATGGGCAAACGTCCAAATTCAGATGTAATTTATGAGAGAACAAGTTGCATACCTACCTATACACAAAAAATATAAAAATTCCCCCCAAAATAGTTTTTCATTATGAATTTTTAATTTGTATGCAGAATATAAACCCAAAACAAAAATTAATATCGTTTCACAGTATGGAGGCACTCTGGCATCTCAGAGACGCAGACTAGTGTCTATTTCTGGCATTTGTCAACACACGGTGCTCGCCTTTCCTGACTCTGATTTATTGTTTGATGTTTCACTGACCAATTGCCAATTAGCATAATTACTAACTATAGGGTGAATAACTACATTCACACCCTCCTGGGATTGAACAGCTTCATTCATTATCCAACCTTTTTGCACGACCGATTAGCTCAGATCCACCTGTCACATCAGGTGGCAGGTGGATTCTTCATTGAGCCCTTTGACCTCCTGAATGTCTACTGATACGTTCCAATTTATCTAAGATTCAGGGATTGGTTAGGGATTCTTGTGGGGTGTAGTGAACTGAACTTGAACTGACTTGAATACCACTTAAACATTCCACTGAAAAGTTCTTCCTTTCAGCTTGAATCTGACTTCTCAAGTATTTACCAGGTTAGGATGGGTAATTGTGCTTACCTGGGACTAGGGACTAGTCCTAGGTTAGTTCCTAAAAAACTAGGGACATAACATAAATTTTGCGAGCTGCTATGATTTTACTGCATCAGTTTCTGGTCTTGGGGAATTATACGTCAAAATGTGATGTACTATTAAAGAGGACAGGTTGGGTTGTGACCTGACTAAGTCTTTTGAGGGTTAGTTTTTTTTTTTAGCCTGTCTCAATGAGTGGATGGCGTGGGCTCCCAGCCAGTCTGCATGTTTGTAAGCCAGGGATCTGGTTCTTTCCCAGCTTGCCAGGTTTGGATTCCTGCTGAACTGGAGAAAGTCTTACTTGGTTCCATCCCAGATTTAGATTTGGTTGGGACTGATTTAGACTAGACCTAATCAGCTTTCCTTTCCCTGCCTCTTGTGGCTCTTCTTCACCTGCAATGCCGTCTATCTGGTGTTGGACAGGCCCCAGAACACTCGGCAGTTGGTCAGGCAGTTGTGATGGAGCCTGAGTTTTCCCCATGGGCAGTTTGGTTAATGGAATTATTCAGATTCCTCCAGTTAAACTTTTTCATCGCTGCTGGGACCATCAGGTTCAGGGTTGGTGTGCCTTTCACTGACTTTGCTCTGCCAGTTTTCACAGTTCCTTCTTCTCCCTATTGATTGATGTATTCATGTAGCTACCATTTGGCCTCTCCAGACAACCAGCACTGAATGTAATGAAATGCCGCATTCTGGTTAGGCAATGGTAACTTCCTGATCCCTCCCTCCACCTTCCAGATTTGTCAGTGGATAGTATTTAACTTTGAACTGAATTCTGTTGACATGGGGAACCAGAGCTCATTGTGGTGCTGCCACCTGGTTATAGCTAGCTGTAACTAGATGGCTCAAACTAACTGCTGGGTGAATCATTTGAGGGGGCCAAATTCTAGCGCTGGTTTCCGGTAAACTATTAAGTACTCTTGGGGCTGTTGTCACTGATGTGGAGCCACAGAGGCCCAACCAGAAAGTGTTTCATTAGATTTAACACTTTTTTTTTTAGTAGAATTTAAGTGATGTCATTCATATGTTTTATGACGTAAATTTTGAGATTTTATACATTATTCATTTAGTTCATTTTACTTGTACTCAACTCTATCAGTTATTACTCTTATTCATAGAATATAGTACCACAAACCTCTCCGCAAGCAATCAATTGTATGTTTATATATATATATATATATAACTGAAAACTATATATATATATATATATATATATATATATATATATATATATATATATATATATATATATATATATATATATATATATATATATATACAGAGCACCACTTGGTTTCCGAACTTTAGTTATCCGAAACTTCCAGTTTCCCGATTGGGGTTGGGAAGTCATGCTACCCGAACAAAGTTCGGGTAGGAAGGGGTCCACCAAGCGTCACGCCGGCTTGTGGTGGTGGGTGGGAGATGGTCCAGTTTGCCCACTGTGACTTCACAGATTCACGGCCTATTATTCCTATTATTTTGAATTGCCATAAGGCTGGAATGTTCATTCTGTGCTTTTGTTTTACATATCTGCACAATCAAGAAACATCTGTGCACCATGTTGGCTCCAAATGCACCCATTGCGTCAGTGATGGCTGACTGGTGGGTGGATGGACGATGGAACTTAGGTGGGAGGCAGTATGAATGAGGGGGGGGGGGGAGAATCAGTGAGAGAGGGGGGGAGAGAGATGCTAGGAGGGAGGGGGAGGTAGGGAGAGATGCTAAGAGGGAGGGGGAGGTAGGGAGAGATGCTAGGAGGTAGGCAGGAAGGGATGGAAGTAGTGAGAATTAGGGAGGGAAAGGCAGGCTGGCAGGCACAGGCAGGCAGGCTAGCTTGCAGGCAGACAGGCTAGCTTGCAGGCAGACAGGCTAGCTTGCAGGCAGGGAGTGAGTGGTAGTCACGAGGTTGAACCGCGTGACCTTGAGAGATGGGATGTAGGGGGGCGGGTGGTTTGTTGGTGGTGGGGGCGAGACCGGCTCATTCCCGAAGATAAGCCTAACACACACTACCCGTTAGCATGATGGCAGGGGGAGAGGCAGGCTGGCTGGAAAGGAAGCAGGCTGGCAGGCAGGCAGGCTGGCAGGCAGGCAGGCTGGCAGGCAGGCTGGCAGGCAGGCTGGCTGGCAGGCTGGCTGGCTGGCAGGCTGGCAGGCAGGCTGGCTGGCTGGCAGGCTGGCTGGCAGGCTGGCTGGCAGGCTGGGAAGGAGGCAGGCTGGCAGGCTGGGAAGGAGGCAGGCTGGGAAGGAGGCAGGCAGGCAGGCTGGGAAGGAGGCAGGCTGGGAAGGAAGCAGGCTGGCAGGCAGGCTGGCTGGCAGGCTGGCTGGCAGGCTGGGAAGGAGGCAGGCTGGGAAGGAGGCAGGCTGGGAAGAAGGCAGGCTGGGAAGGAGGCAGGCTGGGAAGGAAGCAGGCTGGCAGGCTGGGAAGGAAGCAGGCTGGCAGGCTGGGAAGGAGGCAGGCAGGCAGGCTGGGAAGGAAGCAGGCTGGCAGGCTGGGAAGGAGGCAGGCTGGGAAGGAGGCAGGCTGGGAAGGAGGCAGGCTGGCAGGCCGGGAAGGAGGCAGGCTGGCAGGCTGGGAAGGAGGCAGGCTGGCAGGCTGGGAAGGAGGCAGGCTGGCAGGCTGGGAAGGAGGCAGGCAGGCAGGCTGGGAAGGAGGCAGGCTGGGAAGGAGGCAGGCAGGCAGGCTGGGAAGGAGGCAGGCTGGGAAGGAGGCAGGCTGGCAGGCTGGGAAGGAGGCAGGCTGGCAGGCTGGGAAGGAGGCAGGCTGGGAAGGAGGCAGGCTGGCAGGCTGGGAAGGAGGCAGGCTGGGAAGGAGGCAGGCTGGGAAGGAGGCAGGCTGGGAAGGAAGCAGGCTGGCAGGGTGGGAAGGAGGCAGGCAGGCAGGAAGCAATATATGGGTGTTGAAGTGAACTGTGAACCACGTGACCTTTGAGAGTGTGTGTGTGTGTGTGTATGGGTTTGGGGTGGGGGGTGGGGGTGGTGTGTCGGTGGTGGGGGGAGAGGGGGAGGTGTGTCGGTGGTGGGGGGAGAGGGGGGGGGGTGTGTTGGTGGTGGGGGAGGGACCGGCTGACTCCGTAAGCCTAACCACACTCCACAGACCTGTGACCCAGATTTGTTTCTTAAATGTACAGTACATCATCGTATATTTTAGGCAGGATGTGCCTGCAGGCTGGCAGGAAACATCCAGAGGATGTTTGCCAGACGTCTTAATAATCAGTTAGGAACAATTAAGGACTTTTATAAAGCGGATCAGGACTTCACTTATTGATGAGTACAAACAAAACACGGTCGCATTTACGCCATGAACCTGACGATTTTTTTCCCTAGAGTTTTGTTCATAAATTTTTGGGAAAAATTTCTTTTTACATTTCTAGTTTATTTTTCCCCTCTATTTCTCGTATACGAACTTACATGTTAACCGACGGGTCTCGTCCCCAAGGGGTTCGGAAACCAAGTGGTGCTCTGTATATATATATATATATATATATATATATATAAAATAAATAAATGTATATGAGTAAAGCTTGAATGGTCCCCAAGCACATATATAACTTAAATTCTATGACCCCCTCATAGGATTTGAACCGGGGTCATCAGGGGTTTCTACATCAACAGCACTGATACTCTGACCACTGCATGAGTGGTCAGAGTACCAGTGCTGTTGATAGACACACCCCTGGTAGCCTTGGTTCAAATCTTCTCAGTTGTCATAGAGTTTAAGTACAGAGGAACCTGGAGTGACGAGTGTCTCCATCTACGAGCATTTCGGGTAACGAGCGAGTCACTCACGGACAATTTCTCTCGATTGACGAGCAAACCACGTGGTGCGGTTCTCGCAAATTCTCGGACAAATTCAATTGTACGTCTCAAGTTCAACTGAAAACAGTAAAGCACAACATTTATAATAACTACATGTATCATAACACACAGAAATCACAATTGCGTGATGCATCAAATGAACAAATCCACAAGGGCCGTGACGAGGATTCGAACCTGCGTCTGAGAGCATCCCAGACGCTGCCTTAATCGACTGAGCTACGACATGGAAAAGGAGTTGAAACCGAAGTTCTACTGAACTTACTGGATCCTGCAGCCTCTCCGAGGCACAAACCAGCATTTTACACAACTTCCCCCATGCACTCGAGCTATGTCAATAGGCCATTCTCCCTCTTCGCCCTTACTTCATTACACATGTATTACATTACCCTTACTTTTACATGTATTATAATTACATTATAAAATGTCATATTGATGTTTTTCAGGGGTTGAATGGATTAATTTTATTTCCATTATTTTAAGTGTGGAAATTCGTTTAGAAAGACGAGCTCGGTGCAGGAACGGATTAAATTCGTTAATTGAGGCTCCACTGTACATATACATATATACATGTATGCATGTTGTACCAAACAGGCCAAGTTGCCTAACAAGCCAAATTTTCAAGAAATATAGTATTATATTTTTCACAATTGTTTTCTCATGGAATGATTAAACTTTCCATTAAATTGTATATGATTTGAATTTTTTTTAGTTTGAGTTAAAACTAACAAATTTGATCATATCGAATCTTCCTAACCTAACATAGTCAGTAATTCATGTTTTTGAAATAATATATTATCAATTGGAATTAACCACTTTTGAAAGAAACATTTGAAAATAACTCTGCTTGTTAGGCAAATCAGGCCTTGCATACTAGGGTCATGTAATGAGGTTCTAGCTATTAGGTATGACTAACTATATATATGTATGTATGTATATGTATATATATATATATATATATATATATATATATATATATATATATATATATATATATATATATATATATATATATATATATATATAATATATATATATATATATATATATATATATATATATATATATATATATATATATATATATATATATATATATATATATATAAATATATATAAATAATAACACACACACACACACACACACACATACACATACATATATATGTATGTGTATATATTTTTTTTAGATTTGATAAATTTACTTACATTTATTACAAATCTTACATATTATAAAAGTTATTAAATGGAATGTGTGTCTATTTACAGTAAATGTTATTGGGCATTAATAATTTTTGTATATGATTTAGTTTGTATATGAACTATGCTACTTTAAAAGATATTAAAAAGACAAGTTTTATTTAAATGTATTAAAAGCTTGTCAAGACATTATATTCTTAGAAAACAATTGACAAAAATTTATTGTGCCAAATGCAACATCCATTATTTTATTTTGAGTTGTCTTTTGTTGTTCTTGCTGTTAGTTACTAGCAGGTATAGGAATGAGATAATTGGTCTTCGAAGGTTGATCTTAAAACTTCATTACAGTAGAATACTTAAGTATAAAATCATTTTGGGGGGCTTGAAAATGATAACGGTGAATCATTGCCAGTTACTTAACTGTTCGAAGGAAGCTGCAAAGTAATAAGAAATACACGTGATGTAAGTTGATATAAAATA